AGTATCCCATGCTCACCAGTAGGGCTGACTAATGAGAACTGGTCATATTCAGGGTAGAATAGGTCCTTAGTACCCCATGCTCACCAGTAGGGCTGACTAATGAGAACTGGCCATATTCAGGGTAGAATAGGTCCTTAGTACCCCATGCTCACCAGAAGGGCTGACTAATGAGAACTGGTCTGATTCAGGGTAGAATAGGCCCTTAGTACCCCATGCTCACCAGTAGGGCTGACTAATGAGAACTCGTCTGATTCAGGGTAGAATAGGCCCATAGTACCCCATGCTCACCAGTAGGGCTGACTAATGAGAACTGGTCATATTCAGGGTAGAATAGGTCCTTAGTACCCCATGCTCACCAGTAGGGCCGACTCCTGAGAACTGGTTTGATTCAGGGTAGAATAGGCCCTTAGTACCCCATGCTCACCAGTAGGGCTGACTAATGAGAACTGGTCTGATTCAGGGTAGAATAGGCCCATAGTACCCCATGCTCACCAGTAGGGCTGACTAATGAGAACTGGTCTGATTCAGGGTAGAATAGGCCCATAGTACCCCATGCTCACCAGTAGGGCTGACTACTGAGAACTGGTCTGATTCAGGGTAGAATAGGCCCATAGTACCCCATGCTCACCAGTAGGGCTGACTACTGAGAACTGGACGGCCTCAATAATTTTCTGCCCACACGATACGGACGAATCAATGGCTGGTCTCTGTTTCAGATGAGCACAGTAGAGCTATTCTACCAGATGGAGAAAGAGACCCTCTCTCTTCTTACATCAATGCAAACTATATAAGGGTGAGTACATCTCTCAATGAATTAAATGATAAAAAGTTGAGAATTTCCTACGATTACAAAACCACTGTAACCATTACACATAATCTGAATGAGTATTCTGGGTCAGAACAAGTGGTTGTTGGCCTTTGAAGATTCGTGAGGAATAGGTCTTTACCAACCCATGCTTGTCGTAAGAGGCATACTTGCAGTTAAAGGCGACTATGCTTCTCGTAAAAGGCATCTAACGGAATTGGGTGGTCAGGCTCGCTGACTTGGTTCACATGCATGTCATCAATCCCAATTGCGTGGATCGATGCTCATGGTATTAATCACTGGATTGTCTGGTCCAGACTCGATTATTTACAGACCGCTGCATATGGCTGGAATATTGCTGAGTGCGGCGTTAAACAACAAACCAACCAAACCCAATGAACTGAAAATTTTTGAAAGGATAAGATTTTTCTGACAGGTTTGTGTAATGTTACGTGATGTATCCATGCAGGGTTATGAGGGCGAGCCGAAGGCCTACATCGCTACACAGGGACCTATGGCACACACCATTGTAGATATTTGGAGGCTGATATGGTTCGAGAGGGTGCCCATTGTTGTCATGATCACAAAGTTAAAAGAAAAGAATAAGGTAGGTTCATGAAGAGGTTTGACTGCCGACTGTGACTCTTCGTACAACCATCTCATTTTAGTTCTGTAGAAAGCAAGTATTGATAAAGCCATACAAATTTTATTTCTTTTTTTCTTGCCAATAGACGGGAAGCAAAATTTTAAAAATGTTCTCATGAGGTTAATTTTTTAAAACTAAGCTATACTACTCAAAAGAAGTTAAAGAACACTCGATTCTTTTATATTACTGTGATAAATCAGTCATGCAAAATCCAGATTTCATTCTTTACATGCAGCCATCATATAGCTGGAATATTGCTGAGAGTGGCAAAAACAATCACAAGAATAAGTCAGCGCTGTGTGTGATGACTGTTATCCATGTTTTGTGTTTCAGCCAAAGTGTGAGAACTACCTCACGGAGAGATATGGCATATTCGGAGACGTAGAGGTCACCGTGGACAAAGCAATAGAGCGCAACGGATACGAAATACGCCATCTTCATTTACGAGTAAACTTTGTTCTCTTACATGTTTTTCAAGTTTATTTTTGTCGTATCTACAGCCAGTTTTCAAAATACAGCATGAAAATCAAGGGGTCCTTGCCACGGCAATAATATCAATACCATATTCAACGTAATAGGGCCCAGGGCGCTCTCAAAATTAGGAATAGGGGGCTCTTATTAGAATATTATTTTGGTGGAAAAAAACAGAGTTGAAAGATAAATTTTGTGGTGTAAGCTGACAACCTGAAATGTTTATGTACGACAGATATATTTTTCCAGAATTAAATTGCCCATAATTAAGGGTGCATATAACACACGAGTGTGTATCATACGCGAATAAATAAGTCTTGTGTACATTGATCAGTTGGAAGGGGTGCTAATTGGGATTGTTCACTTGCAAATATATCAACAAATATCGCCCTGGGCGCTTATTGGAGCGGGGCGCTTATTACGTCGAATACGGTAAGTAAAGAATTTGGGGTCCCTAGATTCAAATACCACAGAAGCAAACCCTCAAGGGCCCCAGACTTCTTCATATTTTGAATTTTAAAATCCATTCTGGGTAGGAAGATATATTCTGAATAGTTAATGATCTGTCTGTATAGATTTGGGAAAATAAATAATATAATTACACCATCAAATACCACAGAAGTGACTCCTCAAGGGCCCCAGGCTTCCCCCTTAATTTTTAACACTGACAGGAAAATCCATCGGCAGGGCAGGAAGATAAATTCTGCATAGCTTGTGATCTGTCTGTATAGATTTGGGGAAATAAATAATATAATTACACCAACTGAATTAGAATAAACGCCATGATGATTTGTGTGTTCATGCTATCAACCACTTGTTTGCATGACCAGATTATTTACAGGCCACTGCGATACACAGAAAGCTACTTTTATAACGAACATGCTTTTAACAACGTGATGGACATAACGAACATATTTTTTGGTCCCGGACGTTTGCTTACATGATATGGTTTTAACAACGAAATAACCCGTTAAGATTTCGGGGTAGAATGGGTCTTCAGCAACCCATGCTTGCCATAAAAGGTGAATATGCTTGTCGTAAAAGGCGACTAACGGGATCGGGTTGTCAGGCTCACTGAATTGGTTGATGCATGTCATCGATCCCAATTGTGTGGGTCGATGCTCATGATATTAATCACTGGATTGTCTGGTCCAGACTCGATTATTTACAGACCGCAGTCATATAGCTGGAATATTGCTGAGTGCAGCGTTAAACAACAAACCAACCAACCAATCATAATGAAATAAGATTATAACGAACTATAATAAGGGGTTCCTTTGAGTTCATTATAACCTAGTGCTCTGTATCTGGAATATTGTTTGTTGCACCTATTATGGGGATCTGGGTTAGAATAGCCCCGCAACAGCCTAATTGCTGGTAGTAGTTGGCGACTAAATAGATCGGGTGGTCAGGCTCAGTGACTTGGTTGATTGCGCATCATCGTACCCTGATAGCGTGGATCGTTGTCTGGTCCAGATTGCATTATGTGTCAGCCACCATCATATTGCGGGAAGAGTGCTAAGTGTGGCCTTAAACAACAAACAAACAATCATAGGCAGTCTAAGACCATCATTCCCACGCTGTGTTGCAGTCTCAAGGCGAGACGCGGAATGTGATCCACTACTGGTACACAGCATGGCCGGACCACAAGCCCCCCACATCCCCCTGTATGCTGCTGGAGCTGGTGAAGGAAGTGGAGCTACGCAGATACAAGGCCGATGGCGTCACGCCTAAAGGGCCAGTCCTTGTGCACTGCAGGTACTGCTACAACTACTGGTTTAAAATAACCTCGAAATGTAATACGGGAGGAATATTATAATCAGCTTGTCTGTCCCTGTGTCTGTAAACATTTTTTGTCCAGATCATATGTCCAAAACTAATAGTTATTCTTTCATGATACTTTGCACAACTTTATATTTTTCCTGTTTCCATGGCAACTGTAATATTGTGATGTGTTTTCCCTTCCATATCTCTAAAACTTATAGGTATTCTCTCATGAAACTGGGTGGCACGGGTGGCCCAGTCGTCTAAGGCGCCGCGATTCACTGTGCAGAGTTGCGTCCCTTGGCCACGCCAGAAACCTATGATTGTGGGTTTGAATCCCGGTTCGCCCCAATTATGTTTCTAGATTTGTCAGCACCATACCCACTGGTGGGTTTCACCGAAGTGGTAACCGTCTGAGATCTGCATCACTTCGGGCTTTCCTCCCACATTAAGCTGACACGCCGTGATATAACTGGAATACTGTTAAAAGCGGCGTTAAACCCAACTCACTCACTCACTCTTTCATGAAACTTTGTACACACAATTATCACGTTGCCAAGTGGTACCTTTTGCTTTTGGGGGCCGTTTTAGAATTTTTTCTTTTTCATTTCCACAGCAACAAGTTTGACTTTGACTCATATTGTTTATATTGTTGTGTTTGTCCGGACCATATCTCCGAAACTACTTGGTATTCATTTTTCTTTCGAAATTGTTGGGGCCGGGGGAGTTTGTCATCTTCTGATGATTTTTGCACACTTTTTGTCGAGTGGGGTGTACCGGTACATAATACACACATACAAGTTTTGATGTATTTTCCTTCAAAGATATTACGATGAACACGTAACACCAGAAATACATGTCAACAACAATTGCTTGGAAAAAAACTGCATACATGACTTTGTCGTTTGGATAGAAACTTGAAATTTCTTTTTTAGCGCTGGTATCGGAAGAACGGGGTGTTTTGTTGCGACCAGCATCGGCATTCGACAGCTGAGAGAGGAACATTCTGTGGACGTGTTGGGAATTGTGTGCAGCATGAGACTTGACAGGTGGGTTTTCTGGCTGACAGATGTCTCCCTTTGTTTGATGTTGCTTATAAGTATTAGTAATATTTATACCCCAAGTCTTAATTGTTTGTCGGGGGAATATTTCTGATCTATGAAGGATGGAAATAACTCGAGTCAAAACGTTTTTAAGCATACTTGGCAAGATACAATATGATGTTAAATATATCACACTGAGCAAACTCAAAGGGACTTTTGAATTTTTGTTGTTATGTCTTTTTTTTTTATAGATTTTTACTTGCAAAAGCCTTGTCTGCTTGTCAATGCAAATTAAGCTTACAATACGTTGTGACAAGGTCTCTGATTGGGGCGAGTAGGGATTCACTGCTAATTGTAATTACCAATAATTAAGGTTCACTCATTGTTAGTGTTTTCTTGTGAGAAAGGGATAATAATGAGTACATCTTTTATTCATAACTAAGGCCCCGCAATTTGCTGTGCAGAGTCGCGTTCCTTGGGCAGGCCACAAACCTATGATCATGGGTTCAAATCCTGGTTCGCCCCGATTATGTTTCTAGGTTTGTCAGCACCATACCCGTGCTTGTTGGTTTCACTGAAGTGGTAAATGTCTGAGACCTGCATCACTTCGGGCTTTCCTCCCACATTAACCTGACATGTCATGATATAACTGGAATACTGTTAAAAGCAGCGTTAAACACAACTCACTCACTCACTCATAACTGATGATGACTATCAGTTCGGGGAGAAGAATCACTGTTAATTCATCATAGAGGATTCATTATTTGCCTCAATATTATATGATTGTATTCAGCAGTCAGGACTTTTGAAGAACAGTAAACTGTACGAACTCACTTATAACAAACTGACAGATATAACAAACTGTTGTTTGGTCCCATCCATTTGCTGTATATGGGCGGTACATGTATATACTTATACAGTCAAGTCCCGTTAATCCAACATGGTTGGTTGCATACAGAGCTCCCGATAAGCTGCGTATCTGCGTGAAATACGCATAAAAAATGCAGAAATACGCAGTAACATAAAATCCAAGCGTATCAAATATGCAACGAACATTACAGATACGCTTAAAAAATAAAACTTGTGCGTATCATCAAAATAGTGTTAAGTAACCCTGCGTATTGGATTAGCAAATCAGCAACTTATTTTGAAATTATAAACGGGCATTCCGTCAACCTTGCCAAACTCCACGATGACAGTTACATCATGATCATTTGCCATCACACTTTCTTGTGGAAGTATCGTGGTATTTTTGAGTCCTATAAAGCTCTCGAACCCACACGACACCAGTTTGCAGGGACTAGATGAATAGTGTTTTTAAATATTTAACTTGAATACCCACATGTGTAAAAACTAGTGGGTAACAGAAATTTGAATACCCTGATAGAATTACTGATACCCAATGATTTTAAAATGCATGGGTAAAATATCCACAACACCAAAAGCTTATCTGGAGCTCTGTTGCATATGATTAGGTCGGATTAATGAGTATGTCGGATAAATGTAATTAAGTTGTATCAACGTTCGTGATCGAAAATCGGACAACTACACAATAGATAATGATACAAACACGTAATAAAAATGGAAAATGAAATATTCATATTGTTATGTTACATTGTCAGCAGAATATGTTTTCTAAATATGCAACCTCTATTAAAGCTGAACACAAAACTACTGTTACAGACTGTATGACTTATTCAAAATACTTTAAAAAGCAGTCTGGAATGGAAGTCGCCAGTTTGAAACTGGTACCGCAAAGCTTAAGAAAGCTGCTTTCTTAGTGGCTAACGTTGATTTTCCTGTTAGTCATTTCATTGGTCAGCCATAGTTCGCGAAAGGTTATTCTGAAGTGATCTGCCCTCGGCGACAGCGAGAACTTGTGTCTGATTTTAATGAGATTGAGGTAATCTAAGCATGTGATTAATCCTGTTTTCTTTATATTGTTAAGCAAGTTTATCTCTGCAGCCGTTGTAAAATGCAGCTACCAGCCTACTCATATCGCATCAAAACACGGGGTGTGTGTTCAATAGTACAACATTCTACTGTATGTAGTTTGCAGTATTTGGGAGCTCCATGATCACATACCAATATGGTACAATGTGTGAAGCCCATTTCTGGTGTCCCCGCCGCGATATTGCTGGAATATTGCTAAAAGCAGCATAAAACCATGCTCACTCGCTAAACCCAATTTCACCTCACCTCTTCCCATAACATGTTTTCTCTCTTCCAGGGGTGGGATGATCCAAACGCATGAACAGTATGAGTTTATTCACAAGATGTTGAGTCAGTTCGAGCGTGATCTGGAGGACCCATACCTGACAGAGTGAAGCTCACCACGTGTCAACGAGGGATCTCTCACCTAATGCTACTGATTCAGACAAATCTTGTCTTCTGAAGGTTGTGGTCGCCATCTTGACTGAAGTATGATGGTCCACTTCCACTTCCTGGTTTGTAAGGGAAGAGTTATCGCCCTTCATGAAGGTTACTTGGTCAGGGATAAGAATGGTATCGTCGAATATATTACTGGTGGTTGAAATTGTAAAATGAACGTGGATCTGATAAAGTGATCCTACGTTGACAATTTTTCATGAAAAATTGCTGAAATCACGAATGATAACTTCATCTCTCTGTTGTGGTTTGTAAAGATCTGGAGTAAGATACTTGCTAAACGTTTACATGTTCATTGTTGAACACCAATCATTTTGCAATAAATTCTGTGTTCTTTTGATACCCCTGTACAGAAAGTTTGCATGTAATTTAAGTTTTAGATACTTTTCTACTTTTTCGATACTTGCTTTAGTAATTATTGTAAGTCATTCAACCTGTTCGAGATTTTAATCATATCATTGAATTTCATTGTGCATAACATCATTTTTATAATTTTGACTGAAGTTTGGAGAACCAGTATATAGTGACTCTTTACTTATCACTTCAGGGAGATCTGTTCTTCTTCTGCTTTCATTTTAGATTCGAGTTGAATTGTTTTCAAACCAAGCTGACAGGAAATCATGGCTATCGATTTGAAGTATTCTTCTTTGTTGGCTTTTAGAGTTTGAGGAAAATGTCTGGATTGGTGAGATGTAATGCCTTCAGTGCCTAGCAGCTTGAGACCGCAGTGTTAGTATAGGAGAGGCAGTACCATATTCAACATATTAAGGCCTAGTGCTCAGAAACATGCCCAACTTGGTTATGCTTATGATCTGATGTTGAATAGACAAATGGGAATGAAATCTCTGTTGTTAGTTTCATGAGGGACACTGGATAATAACTATGTCTTAAGGCGTTGGAGAATAACTATGTGTTAGGACATTTGAGAATAACTATGTGTTAAGGACATTTGAGAATAACTGTGTTAAGGACATTTGAGAATAACTATGTCTTAAGGACATTTGAGAATAACTATGTCTTAAGGACATTTGAGAATAACTATGTCTTAAGGACATTCGAGAATAACTATGTCTTAAGGACATTCGAGAATAACTATTCGTATGGACATTTGAAAATAACTATCTTAAATGTCATTAGTCTTTGAAATTAAGGGATATCCTGGGATCCTTAAAATTGCTGCTGTAGTTTTTGGATCTAAGGACCCCATAAGTTTTCAACTTTTAACATTGAGTTCATGACAAGGACTTTCATGCTTAAATTTGAACACTGCATTAATTTGTTTGATAGGCATTACTTAGGAGTTGACGGATGACAAATTAGACACTGTACTACTGCAAGAAGCGACGTTTCGGTATGGACCCTTATACTGTTGTCAAGCAAAATGTCCCTCATTCAGTCTTGCTTGACAACGGTATAAGCATCTGTACCTAAACGTCGCTTTTTACAGTATTTAAGAAGTTGTTATCCATAAATTGTGTCTACTTTGACACTGCATTAAGATTTGAAATTTTGTTTTTCAAAATATGGGGGTCACATTTTTGAGCAGGGTGATTAATATTTTGAATATGGTAGGATATGTTTGCGACAAGAAATATAAATTATTGTCTGATATTTGTTCGTGATGTTCATGTGTGATGTCTGTGTGCGACTTGACTGGCTTCATGGTAAGATGGGGACAGAAATGATTCAGTCAATCTTGTACCGGTTCATGTTGTCCGTTGTTTGTTATTAATATCATTTTGTGGAGGTTATGAGGTGAGAGAGGTTGGAGCAGGACTGTAACATATACTTGTGATTCCTCAATAATAATAAGACTTGGAGTAGTGATGATCCTTTTACTGGAGAGCACTTTCAGCTCAGTTCAGCCCTTACTATCTATCTATATATATTTGTCGTAATGTTATGACTCGACTCATGTCATTTCATGGAGACGCACACCATCACCAATGAAAGGACTGGTGTCCCAACCCAAGCATGCGAAGTAAATTTCAAAAAATTAATCTAAGGCCACACTTTTTTTTTTTTTTTTTTTTTTTAAATTGTAGATCTCAATATCTATATCTTTTTTTATTTTGTCAAGAAGTTGTGTGGGTTAGTCAGCACATAGTATCGCGATACATGAATTCTCTTATCAAGCCACATAGTATCGCGATACATGAATTCTCTTATCCAGGCACATAGTATCGTGATACATCAATTCTCTTATCTGGCCACATAGTATCGTGATACATGAATTCTCTTATCCAGGCACATAGTATCGTGATACATCAATTCTCTTATCTGGCCACATAGTATCGTGATACATGAATTCTCTTATCCAGGCACATAGTATTGCGATACATATATTCTCTTATCCAGGCACATCGTATCGTGATACATCAATTCTCTTATCCAGGCACATCGTATCACGATACACAATTCTCTTATCCAGGCACATAGTATCGTGATACATAGATTCTCTTATCCAGCCACATAGTATCGTGATACATGAATTCTCTTTTCCAGCCACATAGTATCGTGATACATGAATTCTCTTTTCCAGCCACATAGTATCGTGATACATGAATTCTCTTATCCAGGCACATCGTATCATGATACATGAATTCTCTTATCCAGCCACATAGTATCGTGATACATGAATTCTCTTATCAAGGCACATAGTATCGTGATACATGAATTCTCTTATCCAGCCACATAGTATCGTGATACATGAATTCTCTTTTCCAGCCACATAGTATCGTGATACATAAATTCTCTTATCCAGGCACATAGTATCGTGATACATGAATTCTCTTATCAAGCCACATAGTATCGTGATACATGAATTCTCTTATCCAGGCACATAGTATCGTGATACACAAATTCCCTATCCAGGCACATAGTATCGTGATACACAAATTCTCTTATCCAGGCATGATACATAAATTTGTTATGGTCCTATTCAGGAATAATCAGAATGTATTGCTTGAGTCAGTATTGTTACACATTGATCTTGTCTTTCCTCCTATATAATGCCCTTTGGAGTTGTGAGACACAATATCTGTTTACAATGACAAGACTTTATATTCCCTGCACAAGGCAACTTGCTCATGCAGCGGAGTAGTAAATAATACAATGTGTTGACAGAATCTAAGTATTGTTTTTGAAGTATAAGGGCTAAGGTACCGTTAAATAAGTGGTCTTCTATTAAAATTACTATTCAACATTGTTGTATCGAGGTCATGCAGCGTTTGCAATTTTGCCTCTGCATCAAGATATACAATTTTTAAAACATTTTCAAGGTTTTTTTTTCAGGCCATCCAACATGTGTAGCAATTTTGTTGTTGTAATAATTGCAGCAATATTATTTCCCCCCTTTATTTTCTGGAACAAATTAATTTATGCAAGAAGGCTCATGCTTCCAAGAATATCAAATGTTTTTTAGGGTATTGTTGGTTGAAGTATCGCTGAGAGTGCATGGATAGAAATTGTCACAAGACTAGCCTGAATATAGATGAGAGGGGTGTTCTCATCCAACTGAAAAATCAATTTTAAAACCTGGATTAGGGATGAGGGGATTAGGGCTGGGGTATTGTAGTCTTATCCTATAGCTCTCAGTCTATAGCTTTTAACTGTGTTAATCTGAAGCCTATAGTCTATAGCTTTGATTGGAGCACCCAAAAGTGTTCGCTATTCTCCCAGCCCTTGGGATACCTTAAACATGAGTGAGAATGACTTAGCCTAATGGGCTATGTGAATTTCTGTCCCTTAGGCGTCATGATTTCCCAATATCACATCGTGTTGTTACAATATTACTGTTACTAATGTTACACAAATTACTGTTACTAATGTTACACAAACTACTGTTACTAATGGTGTTTGGCCTGTGAAGATCCGGGGTAGAATAGGTCTTCAGCAACCCATGCTTGCTGTAAAGGCGACTAATGGGATGGGGTGGCCAGGCTCGCTGACTTGGTTGATGCGTGTCATCAATCCCAATTGCGTGGATCGATGCTCATGATATCAATCACTGGATTGTCTGGTCCAGACTCGATTATTTACAGACTGCCGTCATATAGCTGGAATATGGCTGAGTGCGGCCTAAAACAACAAACCAATACTAATGGTGTTTAACCCAACTCACTCTCTCTCCTCACAGCCTCCAGACTGTGGTCTCCCTGTAAATGTATGTTATTGTGTAGATACAAGTGTGTTCTTTTCTCAGGATATTCAAATACATTACTAATCAAATCCCACAACCCTTGAACCGTAGCACGACGTTCTTGTACACCTTGCACAGAACAGACTTCCCTCTTTCAAAGTGTCCATTTCTCTGTTGTCCTGTCTTGGCATATGGTCACAATATCCAGTCAAATCATATTATATAGTTGCAGTATAAGACTGTTGTGTGTTGTACATACATACCTAAACCATTTCCACAAAGTGAGTGGGGAGCGGGTGGCCCAGTCGTCTAAGACGCCCCAATTCGCTGTGCAGAGTTGGGCATGCCAGAAACCTTTGATTCTGGGTTCAAATCCCTGTTCGCCCCGATTAGTATCTAGGTGTGCCAGCACTACACCTGTGATCGATGGTTTTACCAAAGTGGTAAAGGTCTGAGACCTGCATCACTTCGGGATTTCCTCCCACATTTAGCTGACATAACTGGAATACTGTTCAAAGCGGCGTTAAACCTAACTCATTCATTCACACCACAAGCTAATTTTTTCACCAAGACCATCATAACTTCCTAATGTTAAGACCATAATAAATTTCCATCCCTCTTCGCCTCACTATCAAGTTCTCCGCCTGGCATTAAGTGCTTCCATGTACCTGATGAGGAGACCCGGGAAGATTCCGGGGTAGAATAGGTCCTCAGCAACCCATGCTTCTGTAGAAAGGGACTATGCTTGTCCTAAAAGGCGACTAATGGGATCAGGTGGTCAGGCTCGCTGACTTGGTTGATATAGGTCATCGTATCCCAATTGTGTGGATCAATGCTCATGATGTCAATCACTGGATTGTCTGGTTCAGACTCGATTATATTGGAATATTGCTGAGTGCGGCTTTAAACAAACAAACAAAATTGTTTGGAACTGATAAGATGTATACATTTTGACAACAGACAGAAATAACCAGCAAATTAGACAACTTTAAGGTATATCAGTATCAACTTGAGAATCATTGTATAACATATATAATAGATATGAGAATTACCTACCTATACCTACCCAGCGGAAAATACGAAGCTGGTTAGGTCATAATATATACTACTCAAAAGAAGTTAAAGAACACCCGATTCTTTTATATGACTACAGTTAATCTTTTAATGCCATGACATATTAACTTATAGTCATATGAAAGAATTGGGCATTCTTTAACTTCTTTAGAGTCGTATACATTACATAGTCCTACGGTAGGACATTTGAGATACCCAATCGGACATGTCCGGCGCATATGACAGTTTCCGGACCCCTGGTCCTACCAAACATGATCTATGTGAATCAGGGAGCACGGGTGGCCCAGTCGTCGCGATTCGCTGTGCAGAGTTGCGTTCCTTGGGCACGCCAGAAACCTATGATTGTGGGTTCAAATCTTGGTTCGCCCCGATTATGTTTCTTGGTTTGTCAGCACCATACCCATGCTCGTGGGTTTCACCAAACTGGTAAACGTCTGAGACCTGCATCACTTCGGGCTTTCCTCCCACATCAACCTGACATGCCGTGATATAACTGGAATATTGTTCAAAGAGGCATTAAACCAAACTCACTCACTCACTCACTGTTAACAGCTAATATAAACAGATGCCTTGCACAGTCTGTTCATTAAAATAGAGTAAAATGTCAAAACATAAAATGCCTCCGAATTTGAAGACTTTTGATGAAGTTCTAATTAGTTTATTGTGGCCTTATGGGAAATCCAATATAATTTAGGTAAAGTCCTGACCCTACGTTTTCTGATGTTTGGTTTTGTGGTTGTAGGAAGCTGATTGTGTTATTGGAGCACCCAAAATACATCACTAAGCAGATCCCACTTGAGACATATCTGCCATTCTGTTCACAACTGCACAATATTGACCTCAACTCAAATAATAATGTATGTTCAAGTTTTTAAACAAAACTGCCATTTCTGTCAATCTTGGTATTTATTTTTGTTTGTTGCATGTTGTTATTGACAATTTGACGAGTTGTCATATCTGCTGTTGCATCTAGCCTGTAATCACCAAGAATTTGCTCCTTGGGGATCCCTGGTTGCCAGGCAACCAGCCTGTCTAACAATACCCATTCTAGCAGGTTTCACCAAAGTGGTACCTGTCTCTGGGAACACTTCAGGCTTTCCTCCCGCAATAAGTTGACACAGTGTTGGAAGTAAGAGGAGTCTTCAGTGATAGACATTGGTCTGTGATCAGGGTTTGAAACTAACATAAGTTTGATTGACTAGTGAGTGAATTTGTGAGATGGGGTTTTCTCCGCTTTAAGCAATATTCCAACAATATCACAGCGGGTGACACCAGAAATGGGCTTTGCACATTTGTACCCATGTGGGGAATCGAACCAGGGCCTTCAGCTTGACGAGCAAACGCTTTAACCGCTAGGCTACCCAATTGCCCCCACTAGACTAGTATTTTCATAAGGGACTAGTGATATTTGTTGTGAACGACCATTTTTACCATTGGGTAGATGGTAACTGTGTACCACATGAGATTGGTGAACCGGTGAACATATTAATTTCTAACCCTGATGATAGATTTCAATGTGCCTGAACAATCCAGAAGGATGCGTTTATTGGACTATAATTTTCACAAACTGACTCTAAAATACAAGATAACTCTTTTATTGATGTGTATTACCTGATGACCCCATCAAGGTGTCCTAATTAGTCCGTCATTAAGTAGTTAGATCTATCATTCTGTAAGTCTCCATTACTTACAGGCTACGTAAGGTTGTTTTCTTGTTGTCGAAGGCAGAAAGTTCCATAAAACTATTGTGAGGCTGTTAAATGGCATTGTTGGCGTAAAATCAAAGAACTTGACATTGTAGGGAAATGAAATCGTTCAATAAATATGGAATCATTATTTCTATGTGATTACTCATTTCATGAAAAATGCATCTTCCCGAGGCAAGCGTGTCCACTAGCCTGTATCAAAGCCTAGTTTCTACCCTTGCCACAACAAGGCCACTTTTCTTGGCTCGACCCTGGCGCCACCTCGCGTAGATCACGAGTTGTGCCCCATGTAATGGAAACATGATATCCAATCAGATCACTGTTATCTCGTATAGCTTCACAAAGATGGCAACTACCATAGGCAACGACCTAGGTGATTAGATAACAAAAATATTCGCTATTTCATCCCTGATACAAAAACATAGCCAATTGTTGGGGGGGGGGGGGTGTTAAAAGATTTGTGTCAACAAAAACAGGCAGCGGAAAATGACTTTCATACGAAGGTGTACCAGTCGTGGATGTTGGTTTTGTGAAACGTTTTCTGATTGGACTATCGATACGGGTGGGCTTGATGTGTCAAGGGTGGAAACAAGAATGATGGAAAGACTGGTGGACAGTCTTGCCTCAGGAAGATGTAAAAACTGTAGAATGCTTGGTTTGCTGCAAGTTGTTGAACTTCCTTTTGATGTCTTCTCTCGTCATCTATCGCAGATTGAAATATGTGTTGCATCAAATTGTGCTAACGTTGCTTTGTAAGTTGCTAAATTAATCGTAGTTTGGTATCATTCATTTCAAGTACTACCACCATATTTGGTCTTCACAGCAATTTGAAAACATTTACAAGGATATTTTAGTTTACGTGAGGACACAAGGTTAGGTTTACAAAGTGGCCATGGCAATATCGTTAAGTAAAACCGGTGTCAATAGTTCAACCTCTCGGTGACCTGTCACAAATTTCAGTGTATGGTATTGTTGCTGACCATATCATACATAGCTCCATGGGAGACAGTATCGGCATTCATCTGTAATATTGAAAGGAAAAGGGTTAATGCCCACATATACTGAACACAAAAAGTTAGGGATCATGGATATTTTGGGGGATATTTTTATGAAATTGTGCGCTTAGTCTTCACTACAAAAAAAAAAAATCTCCCAAGCATTCATGATCATTTACTTTTTTGGTTCATTATATGATATTGGTTGAGGGTGTTGATTGGGCTAATTAGTGAGCACACTAATGAAGCCTGCACTGCATCCTCCGTACATCTGAATATGACCATGAGGAGAGGGTTAGAATAGGTCTTCAGCAACCCATACTTGTCATAAGAGGCGACTAACGGGATCGGGTGGTCAGACTCGCTGACTTGGTTGATGCATGTCATCATATCCCAATTGCGAATATCGATGCTCGTGATGTCAATCACTGGATTGTCTGGTCCACACTTGATTATTTACAGACTGCCATCATATAGCTGGAATATTGCTGAGTGTGGCGTTAAGCAACAAACAAACAAAACTCGGATTATGGTCCATGTAGACAACAGTAATGGCGGCAGTAGGATCATTCAGTATGTTGCTTGATAAAGGGATTGTTCATTTTCTTGAGGGGACACGGGTTGCCCAGTCGCCTAAGACTCTACAATTCAATGTGTAGATTTGGGTCCCTGTATCGTATAATTGTGGGTTCATATCCCAAATTTGGAGGGAATGTGTTTCTTGGTTTGTCAGCACCGAGGTGTTTCATCAAAGTTTCAAGTGTATGGCCTGCATCACTTCAGGCTTTCCTCCCACATTAAGCTGACACTCCATGATATAACTGGAATACTGTTAAAAGCGGAGTTGAACCAAACACAATCAGAAATACAGGCCAGGGGATGGACCATTATGACATTTTTTTTCATTGGTCGGTGACCCGTTTGTCGGTCAACCTGGAGCACTCTGGCATTTATTAGAGGCAATTTGGTACCTATTGACTGTACATATGTGTAACGTGTTATACTGTTGGTGACTTGTTGGCCTGCAATGTTTGTGACTTGTTGATTTATTTGCGCTGTAAAGCTTGGACGGTTTCGTTGTTGAATATTAGTGAGTTTGTCTGTCTCTATTACCTTTCATTATTTGTATTCTGGGCAGTCTGTGATATGAGACATAGGACACAATTATTAATTTACTGTTTGTACCCTGTTGGAATATGGCGAATTGTGCAATACATTGTCTTTAAACATTTGTCACTTGTTCTGTTTTCATTTAGCTCGATATTGTTCTAAAACTAGTTTTAAAATTATAATCTGTGATATATTGCTGGTTGTTGTACTGTCCTTTGATGACAGCTTTTAATATATAATATAAATGCATAACTTGTTCAAGTCACGATATGGCTGAAATACTGCCGATTTGACTTTAAATTATACTCACTCACTCACTCATTTAGCTCGGGCAAATTCCAGATTAGAATTGGTCGCATATGATGATGGTCTGTAAATAATCAAGTCTAGGCCAGACAATCCAGTGATGGACATCATGAGCATCAATCCATGCAACTTGGACACGATGACATGCAGTCAATTACCACCCATCCATGAAGTTGCCTCTTGAAACAAGCATGGGTTGTTTGGGACCTATATTCTTAGCCAGAATCCAAATCGGTCTCTCTTAACCTTGTCGTAAGAGGCAATGAGTGAGTGAGTGAATATGGTTTTACGCCGCTTTTAGCAATATTCCAGCAATATCACGGCGGGGGACACCAGAAATGGGCTTCACACATTGTACCCATGTTGGGAATCGAACCCGGGTCTTCAGCGTGACGAGCGAACGCTTTAACCACTAGGCTACCCGACTGCCCATTAAGAGGCAGTGAATATGGTGGTCACACTCCCTGATTGTTCCTCGATGGCTTGGACTGTTGCACATACTTTCAGTCACTGGTTTGCCTGGTCCAGACTCGATTATTTACAGGCTGTCATGAGATACCGTTAATGTTGTTGACAGTGGCATCAAACACCATTCACTCACACAATGCTAAAACATTCCAAGAGACATGTAAACATGGTGAGGGTGTTTTATTAATAAGATAAATAATGAATGACATAAATAACAAAGTTGCATAGAGTAAACAAAACATTTCACAATCACATTCAGAAGCTTCTCTCCCCTTATTCACCGTCTTTCACAAACAAATTGAGTGAAACGGATGAAGTTGCAACAAGAGTGAGTGAGTGAGTTTGGTTTAACACCGCTAGCAATATTCCAGCAATATCATGGCGGGGACACCAGAGACAGCTTCACACATTGTACCCATGTCGGGAATCAAAAATGGGTCTTTCGACATGACGAGCGAATTCTTTCACCACAAGGCTACCCAACTGCCCTGGACAAAAGGGCCGATGACCTACTGAACCTCCATTGTACCCACACAATGCTCACTGAAAGACTCCATGCTCAACCATGTTGTTCAACTAACCTGAACGTTTCACAGCCATTTACTGTTTGAATGAGTTTCAAATCGTATTACACCAGCCAATCAAATGAATGGAGAGGTGAAGCAAGAGGCAACGGCATAACATACGAACCAATCATAATGCAGCTTTAAGAAGTGGTGGTTTGATCATATCAAACCATGCAGCCTCTTATTTTCACTTGATTAAAATAATTTAGTTGAAAAGCTAACTGATACACCTAGCATACAAAACTGGAAATGGTCCTTCGATATCTGCTTCCTGTTCAAGCCTAAACTTCACATTCACTTGCAGATCCAGACTTGATTAATACAAAAAAACATTGTTTCAAGTAAGAGATAAAGGGAATGACAACAAATTATTGGGTCAGGTGAGGTGAAATGGGATTTAAAGTCGCGTTCAACATTATTGCACTTATATAGTGGTGCATGGTGTGTGCGTGCGTGCGTGCGTGCGTGCGTGCGTGGGTGCATGCGCTAGTCTGTTTTAAAGTGCTAGCCTACAAGTAGCCACACACACATGGCTATATAAGTGCAATAACTTTAAATGTGATGTTAAAACCCATTTCGCCTCACCTCACCTGTAATTGGACGAGAGTGAGTATGGTTTTACACCGCTTTTAGCAATATTCCAGCAATATCACAGCTGGGGACACCAGAAATGGGCTTCACACATTGTACCCCTGTGGGGAATCGAACCCGGGTCTTCGGCATGCCAAGCGAACGCTTTAACCACTACACTATCCCACTGCCTCGTCATTGGAGCCTCTACCTGTGCCTTGACGCCAGCTGGTACAAGGGTTCACAACACATCAACCTGCAACCTGGTTTCCCTCAACCTTCAACAATAGTTGGTGGCCATTTCAAGAAGAGGCACTTTGGGCATTCCTCTCACATAAAGATGAAACACAGTGATATAACTGGAATACTGTCCTAAGTGGCGCGAAACCAAACTCAAGACAAATTTACATGGCAAATTTCTATGAAACATGCAGTGAATAACTGATGCATAAATTGACCCTGGATGAGTGAGGATGGGTCCTCTACCTCAAGGTTCCACGAAGGTTTAGGATGTGCAACAATGTAGTGGGTGTGCGAGAGAAGAGTGAGTGAGTATGGTTTTACACCACTTTTTGCAATAGTCCACCAATATCACAGCGGGAGACATTGGAAAATGGGCTTCACACATTGTACCCCTGTGGGGAATCGAACCCCGGTCTTCGGCATGCCAAGCGAATGTTTAACCACTACACTATCCCCCTGCCTGGTCATTGGAGCCTCTACCTGTGCCTTGATGCCAGCTGGTACAAGGGTTCACAACACATCGACCTGCAACCTGGTTTCCCTCAACCTTCGACAATAGTTGGTGGCCATTTCAAGAAGAGGCACTTTGGGCATTCCTCTCACATAAAGCTGAGACACAGTGAGTTACTGGAATACTGTCCTAAGTGGCACGAAACCAAACTCAAGACAAATTTACATGGCAAATTTCTATGAAACATGCAGTGAATAACTGATGCATAAATTGACCCTGGATGAGTGAGGATGGGTCCTCTACCTCAAGGTTCCACGAAGGTTTGGGATGTGCAACAATGTGGTGGGTGTGCGAGAGAAGAGTGAGTGAGTATGGTTTTACACCACTTTTTGCAATAGTCCACCAATATCACAGCGGGGGACACTGGAAAATGGGCTTCACACATTGTACCCCTCGTGATGAGCCAACGCTTTAACCACAAGGCTACCCCACCACCCCTATGCGAGACAAAAACCTCATCTACATAGTTTGTGTTTCTTTTGTCTCAGCTTGTATTTGGCTCTTGACACTTGTTCGTGCACTTCAAAACAGGCATATTTGTTTGTTTAACGCAGCACTCAGCAATATTTCAGCTATGGGACTGGCGGTATGTACATAATCGTGTCTGGATCAGACAATCCAGTGATTGACATCATGAGCATCGATCTTCACAATTGGGATACATTGACATGCATCAATGAAGTTAGTGAGCCTGACAATGCGATGCGACAAGCATGGGTTGCTGAAGACCAATTTTAACCCAGACCTTCACGGGACAAAAAAACAGGTATAACAAAAGTTTATTGCATTTGTACTGTTGGTGAATCAATCCCATTAAAATATGATCTTTTAATCCAATACAATATCTCTCTGCGTAAAGAAGTAAGGACACTTCCTTCAAGGCTTTTAAATTCTATGTATGAGTGAGTGAAGAAATCAGACCAGCATATCTGATTTCTGTATCTCGAAAACAAATTAAAATCTTTCCTGAATGTACATGGTGAAGGCCATTTTTCTGCTGTGAGATATTGTATACACCTTGTAGTTTCCGAGCTCCATGGCATCTATCCCTAAAAGGAAGTACCATTGAAGGAATATCTGTGTCCTATGGGGGTTTCCTTGTATTAAAATCGACATTACTGAATCAATGTGGTAAAGGAACTGAACCAAATGGGTTTAGAAAGCTGACATCAGACTGACTCCATAACCCACACATGCTTTGTTTGGACTGGGCGGTCAAGCATCCCTGAGGGTTCCCCTGACTCAACCTTCCATGGAGGTGTCCTCAGATCTTCAGAGAGGTGTCGTATCTGAGTAAAAGATCTGATTTTAATGAGATTGTTGGTCAATGGGACTTGGAATTCCAATCCTTCATTATTATGGCTTCATCCAGCGTAGTAATCTAAGTGCTGTGGCTGCCATACATTTTCATGGACTTACAACAGTTGTAGGCTCCCTCTGTAACCATGACAATTGGACCAAGTAGCTAATGGACATAACTCCACAAAGCAGGGATTTATGCCCTGTTTCACCTGACAGCCTCCAAAAGTCATATAACCGGTCATTTTGAGGTCCCCTTTACTCGTGCAAAAGTATCAAGGTAACTTCACATCTTGGCCTTGGCAATGAAGAAAGGTAAACACTGGCATCGGACTTTACGGGCTGATTAGAAGTCAAGTTTGGATGAAGGTCCTCCACACGCTAGAGATGTGGGTTTGAATCTGGGTGCAGGATCCTCCTGGTCTCGACTAGCCGACTCCGACAACTCAGGGGGGAGGTGCAACATCTGGCCAACATAGAACACAACACAGTATCAGGGTGAGTGAAACAAGAGTCATCAGAAAGATGACATATCCCCCCGGCAGTTGTCTGTAAAGTAACCACAAGTAAATGCGCAATTCTGTATGTAATGAGTCAAGAGTTGAATGTTCTTTAAGAAGCATACATTGTTTCCACCATGGTCGCATCCATATGAAATGGAAAGTAAAACGTGTGTTTCTGTGGGTTTTTTTTATGCAAACAAATGACAAATTACAAGAAACAAGCGTATAGTCAACTATCTATCTGTATCATCTATATCCCCAACCCATTTTAACACGTTATGGTCCCAAACCAGGTAACTGACTCAACATTTCTCTTAGCCCATGTCAAAATAGCTCAGAGGGCCACGACAAATGAGTGAGTGAGTGAGTTTAAGCAATATGCTAGCAATATCACGACAGGGGACACCCATTGTACCCATGTCGGGAATCGAACCCTGGTCTTCGGCATGACGAGCAAACGCTTTATCCACTAGGCTACAGGACTGCCCCAGAGCCACGACAAAAATGTAGGTGTACTGATCAATACATCTAAAGCCCTACGCGCAAACTTTGCTGTAAATAACATCTCGATGTATGAAACAGAAATTTTTCAGAAATTTAGAAAACGAAGAAATACTGTGCAGTCCTTCAGTGAGAATATCACACTGGTCTGCAACAGACATGCGAATGAACCCACCTCAATTGTGAATTTTTTCCGCCTGAGTTTGAAAGCCAGGTCGAGAGTGTCGGGCATGTGCGAGATGAGAGAGTTGAGACGTGGCAGCTGACGGAGGTGCAACAGTCCTGCAACATAAGAGTGAGTGAGTGAGTATGGTTTTACGCCGCTTTTAGCAATATTCCAGCAATATCACGGCGGGGGACACCAGAAATGGGCTTCACACAATGTACCCATGTCGGGATTCGAACCCGGGTCTTCGGCGTGACAAGCTAACGCTTTAACCACTAGGCTACCCGACCGCCCCTGCAACATAAGAAGGTGGATGTATTTTTGTTTGTTTATTTGTTTGTTTCTTGTTAAATGCCACACTCAGCAATATTCCAGCAATACTATGACTATCTGTAAATAATCGAGTTTGGGCCAGACAATCCAATGATTGACATCATGAGCATCGATCTACGCAATATGGATATGATAATATGCATCAACTAAGTCAGCGAGTCTGACCACCCGATCCTGTTGGTTGCCTCCCACGACAAGCAGGGGTCACAAAAACCAGTTCTAACCTGAATCGGTGTGGATGACAAGCAATATTCCAGCTCTATCATGTTGGCTTGTAAACAAACAGCCGGGCACCCCTGCCTCGCCACACTATGATTACCTCTTGGCTCCACACAAGACCCGTCACCCTTGCCTCGCCACACTATGATTACCTCTTGGCTCCACACAAGACCCGTCACCCTTGCCTCGCCACACTATGATTACCTCTTGGCTCCACACAAGACCCGTCACCCTTGCCTCGCCACACTATGATTACCTCTTGGCTCCACACAAGACCCGTCACCCTTGCCTCGCCACACTATGATTACCTCTTGGCTCCACACAAGACCCGTCACCCTTGCCTCGCCACACTATGATAACCTCTTGGCTCCACACAAGACCCGTCACCCTTGCCTCGCCACAAAATGTGTACCCTCTGATTCTCTGTACAGTCAACTAACAACTTACCATGATATTCCTTAAAAGCAGGATTTTTCTCCTTACTGGATCCAGCAAAACTCTCGAGGCGTATCGCCGTGTCACTCAGACGTACAAGTCTTTCCACAAAACCTGGATCCTGAACACAGAAAGAGCATATTGTTGAAGTGTATAGTTCAAACAGAGTAGCTTCTAGCATTTTTCCATCAATATTGAGAGGATATTCCATGTGTCGAGTGAAATATCATGTTTCTCTCATCGAGTGACGGGGGGAAAGGAGATATTTTCAAGAGATGAGAGAAACATGATATTTCACTCGACACATGGAATATCCTATTTATTATATACTTTTTGTGTAGTTGTCTACCAGGGAATTAAATTATTTCATTACAAATGTAAAACCTTGAAACGTAAGTTCTCCCTGCCTAACACAGGGACGGTTCACCACCCCTTGTATTTGCGACTTAAAAAGTAGTTTGGTGTTTGCAAAATCTTAAAAAATCTTTAAAAAAGTATTAAAAAATATTTAGGGTCACAAAAATTGTTTATCATACATTTAGATATGATTATATACAAAATCTACTTTTTCAAAAAATATTCTTGAAAACTAGGAGACCGCTGTTGAAAGCGAAAGAATACACGCTGGTCAAGTAACAAAAATGGCGCTTTGCGAAACGAACAGTCTCGTTTGACGAGTTAAATATCAAATTTACAGTTTATAAGGAAACATTTTTGAGAGAATAACAAAAGGCAAGAAGTTATATTAACTCCATAAATGACCATCTGTCGTTATTTAGCCTTGTCAATGTGGACCTAAAGTAAAAAGAAGTCAACAGTTTGTGTACACGCTAGTCACTGATGACAATTTAAGGGGAGGTAACACTTGTTATGTTCGCTGCAATGATATATAAATTTTCTCAACTTCAGAAAACTCAGTCTTTCACACCGAAGTATATAATCAAATGTGTGTTTAGTTATAATCATGTTTCACTCTACATATAATATACAAGATTTTGTCTTTCAACATCTGTTTAAGTTAATATTAACATGTTGAGTCGGAAACATGGATTCTGTATCACAACGTGTATATCATAAGGTGAGGTGAGGTGAGGTGAAATGGGGTTTAACGTCGCGTCCAAGATTATTGCACTTATATAGCGACGTGCATGTACGTGTGTGTGTTTGTTTGGCTGCTTGTACTAGTCCGGACTGATGCCGATTTATAGTGCTAACACTGAGATACCATGCCGCAGTTTAACATGAATACCCCACTCAGACACAGTATACTGACTCCGAGCCGACCAGTCCTTGTTTTAGCCCCTTAATGCCGAGCGTCAGACAGGGTTACAACAAGTACCATCTTTTAACGTCTTCTGGTATGACGCGGCCGGGGATCGAACTCTTGACTTTCCGCTCTCCGTGCGGACGCTCAACCACTAGACCACGGAGGCGGTCGTACATCATTAGGGGCTGTGTTGAGATGACTTACCTGGAACAGGTGAGAAGGCACGGTGATGAGACAACAGGCGTAGGCTGTCCTCAGCATCGACCTGAGTGCATAGAGGAACCGGGGCAGGGAGGGGTCCGCACTCACACCATCTGACCCCACCCCACCACTCTCCCCCCACAGTGGAGAACCCAGGGAGTGTATTGCTGCAATGAGACAGGGGTGTGTGTGTTATACAGGAACCAGGGAGAGCTGTCAACCCCACCCCACCCTTCCACTCTCACCCCACAGTGGAGAACCCAGGGAGTGTATTGCCGCAATGAGACAGGGGTGTGTGTGTTATACAGGAACCAGGTAGAGCTGTCAACACCACCCCGACCCACCCCACCACTCTCACCTCACAGTGGAGAACCCAGGGAGTGTATTGCTGCAATGAGACAGGGGTGTGTGTGTTATACAGGAACCAGGGAGAGCTGTTAACCCCACCTCACCCCACCACTCTCCCCCCACAGTGGAGAACCCAGGGAGTGTATTGCTGCAATGAGACAGGGCTGTGTGTGTTATACAGGAACCAGGTAGAGCTGTCAACACCACCCCGACCTACCCCACCACTCTCACCTCACAGTGGAGAACCCAGGGAGTGTATTGCTGCAATGAGACAGGGGTGTGTGTGTTATACAGGAACCAGGGAGAGCTGTCAACCCCACCCCACCCCTCCACTCTCACCCAACAGTGGAGAACCCAGGGAGTGTATTGCTGCAATGAGAGAGGGGTGTGTGTGTTCCACAGGAATTAAGGAGAACTCGGGCACCACAACAACACCAATCAACATATCAATATGATTTTCCCACTTGAAGGACACCTTACCTATCCTAAGTATCCTCCTGTTGTCACACTGCTGGCTGGTGGAGAACTTGCCGGCCTCTATCTTGCTGTGAATGTGCTGGAGCAGCTTGCAGTAGTGGGGGGTCATGAATGGACAGGGGTCAAGGCTGGGAAGGGACAGAACTCTTGCTTTAGCATGTTCATGTATAATGTCATCATGTGTTCATTTAAAAAGGCTACTGGATCGACGTGAAGGATATCACTAAAGGTATGACTTAAATGAGAAATTATTTTCAGATTTTATAACACTTACTGCTGTAAGTAGTACAGTAAACTACGGTTATAACGAACTCGAGGGGACCACTAATTTCAGTTCGTAATAACCGTAGTTCGTTATAAGCATACATACAGCATATCTACAACAAATGGTTAGGACTAAAAACTAAGTACGTTATATCTGTCAGTTCGTTATAAGCGTGTTCGTTATAAATGTAGTTTACAGTATTTGAAAAACGTATATTCCCTCACGGAGTCCTACCTGTGCGTAAAGTTATGTTTTGATAGTGTCGTGACATCAGAACTGAGGACGGTCTCTTCTGACATAGACTTCGTCAGGTCATAGTAATGTCCGAACTTGGCGGAGGGTTGGTTAGACTGCAATTATAATCTAATTATAATCTAATAATAATAATAATAATAATAATAATTATAATAATATCTTGCTGATTTAATCTAGCATAACTGTCAACGATGACTTACGAGGGTTATGTCATCCAAACATGTCAAGATCTATCGGCGTAACCGATTGGCCATAAGGCCTGGGTACAACGTTGGCATCACAATCATTGTGGTATACTGCAACATCTTAGGTTATTGAGTGCGTATTGTTTTACGCCAATATCACATCTGGGGACATCAGAAGAGGGCTCCACACATTGCAACCATCTGTGGAATCAAACTTGGGTGTCACAAACAAATGCTTTGACCACTAGACTACCTCCATCTTCCCAATCGTAGCGCCACCAGTGACTATTTATGGAATAACCCACAAGGTACGAGTGATTACGGAAAATATGTCACAAGTGAAATTAATGTTTTAAGTTCCGAGCTTTGTCCCTCCTATTGACCAATCAGATTCCTATGTTACACATTACATGATACATGTTACATTTTGGTTTGGTTGGTTTGTTGTTTTACGCGGCACTCAGCAATATTCCAGCTATATGACGGCAGTCTGTAAATGATCAAGTCTGGACCACACAATCAAGTGATTGATATCATGAGCATCGATCCAGGCAATCGGGATCGATGACATGCATCAACCAAGTCAGCGAGTCTGACCACCCGATCCCGTTAGTCGCCTCTTACGACAAGCAGTCGCACAATACATGTTACATGATACACGATACAAGTTGCATGATACATGACACACAATACAAGTTACATTATACACGATACAAGTTACATGATACATGACACACAATACAAGTTACATAATACACGATACAAGGTACATGTTACATGTTACATGACCCCTAGCCTAGCAACTCAATATTAATGTGACTTCCCCCTCCCAATCCCCAGTGGAATGATATACATCCTTCCCTAACTCCAACCTTACCTTAATCTAATTATTTGTGTAATCAGACCTGAATGGTTGTTCATGCTATCAACCAGTTGTTTGCCTGGCCCAGATTTAATTATCTAAAGGCTGCTGTGATGGTAGATGGAATATTGTTCAATGTAAATCAACATTCACTGACTCTCACGGCATCTCTAAGTTAAGTCACATTGATATGACATCCACATAACAACCATGACCTTATCTTACAACTGAATGTGACTTGTTGACCCGACAGCTCACCTGAACTTGAGGTTTATTCTGGTACCTCCAGGCGATCTTCATGGACCCTGAATCTGCCCCTTCAGACATGGCCTCGGCTGGGTCGTCTGTAATAGGGGCAGGTAACTCCTGCAACAACCCAGCATAACAGTGTTCATCGTCAATTCTTCACAGTTTTAGCACTCCGAACTCAGCAAGTAATGTGTTTGTTTGTTTGTTGTTTAACGCCGCACTCAGCAATATTCCAGCTATATGATGGTGGTCTGGACAGGCAATCTAGTGATCCGTGTGACTATACCTGAATGAGTGAGTTGGGGTCCGTGTGACTATACCTGAATGAGTGAGCTGGGGTCTGTGTGACTCTACCTGGTAGAGTTGGGGTCTGTGTGACTCGACCTGGTAGAGTCGGAGTCTGTGTGACTCTACCTGAGTGAGTGAGTTGGTGTCTGTGTGACTCTACCTGAATGAGTGAGTCGGGGTCTGTGTGACTCTACCTGGTAGAGTCGGGGTCTGTGTGACTCTACCTGGTAGAGTCGGGGTCTGTGTGACTCTACCTGGTAGAGTCGGGGTCTGTGTGACTCTACCTGGTAGAGTCGGGGTGTGTGTGACTCTACCTGAGTGAGTGAGTTGGTGTCTGTGTGACTACCTGAATGAGTGAGTCGGGGTCTGTGTGACTCTACCTGGTAGAGTCGGGGTCTGTGTGACTCTACATGAATGAGTGAGTTAGGGTCTGTGTGACTTGAGTGAGTCGGGGTGTGTGTGACTATACCTGAATGAGTGAGTCGGGGTCTGTGTGACTCTACCTGAATGAGTGAGCTGGGGTTAGTGTGACTCTACCTGGTAGAGTCGGGGTCTGTGTGACTCTACGTGAATGAGTGAGTTGGGGTCCGTGTGACTCTACCTGAATGAGTGAGTTGGGGTCCGTGTGACTCTACCTGGTAGAGTCGGGGTCTGTGTGACTCTACATGAATGAGTGAGCTGGGGGCCGTGTGCCTATACCTGAATGAGTGAGTTGGGGTCTGTGTGACTCTACCTGAATGAGTGAGTTGGGGACTGTGTGACTTGAGTGAGTCGGGGTGTGTGTGACTATACCTGAATGAGTGAGTTGGGGTCTGTGTGACTCTACCTGGTAGAGTCGGGGTCTGTGTGACTCTACCTGAATGAGTGAGTTGGTGTCTGTATGACACTTCCTGAGTGAGTCGGGGTCTGTGTCGAGGTCTGTGTGACTCTACCTGAGTGAGTGAGTTGGGGTCTGTGTCGAGGTCTGTGTGACACTACCTGAGTGAGTGAGTCGGGGTCTGTGTCGAGGTCTATGTGACACTACCTGAGTGAGTGAGTTGGGGTCTGTGTCGAGGTCTGTGTGACTCTACCTGAATGAGTGAGTCGGGGTCTGTGTCGAGGTCTGTGTGACACTACCTGAATGAGTGAGTCGGGGTCTGTGTCGAGGTCTGTGTGACACTACCTGAATGAGTGAGTCGGGGTCTGTGTCGAGGTCTGTGTGACTCTACCTGAATGAGTGAGTCAGGGTCTGTGTCGAGGTCTGTGTGACACTACCTGAATGAGTGAATTGGGGTCTGTGTCGAGGTCTGTGTGACTCTACCTGTATGAGTGAGTTGGGGTCTGTGTCGAGGTCTGCCAGGAGAGTTGACTGCCTTGTCATGACACTCTCTGCTACAAAATACTTCACCAGCAGTCGGGCATAGCTACCATAGGTATCTTCCTCTGGAAAATAGGATTTGGAGAAATTAGTCAACAAAGTTATCGCCTAAAGGGTACATTACATTAACTGAATTTGTCCAGGCATCCTTCAGTCCAGACAAATATCATTATTTAGTTTTTGATGATTTGTTTGTTCTTTAATGCCACACTCAGCGATATTTTAGCTATTTGATGGCGGTCTGTAAATCGAGTCTCGATCAGACAATCCAGTGATTGACATCATGAACATGGATCCACGCAATTGGAATACAATGACATGCACCAACCAAGTCACCAAGCCAGACCACCCAATCCAATTAGTTACCTCTTACTAAAAGCGTAATCGCTTTTTACAGCAAGCATTGGTTGCTGAAGACCTATGCTGACCTGGATCTTCACAGGTGAGTTTTTGATGAACAGAACTGACCATGTTAACAGAATATGTTTTCCATAATTTCATTTTGTTTTAAAAATAAGAATTGTCCTGTCTGTTTTAAACAGCAACCTTTTATACCAGTAATTGCAATAACAAGGATGGATCCAGCTTTTTTTTAAAGGGGGGTCCTAACCATCAAAATCCTCTCAGTCAGTTTCACTGTCTATAACAGGGGGTGGGGGTCTGAACACCCTGGACCACACCCCTTCTGGACCCACCTATCAATAAACATGATAATAGTATCGAATACTTTGAATAAGTCATTGATCAGTTTAAAAAGTAAACAAAGAAAACATGATACAATCAATCAAAAAGTTGTTTATCACCTGAAACTAAACAGGATCCTGGTCTCCTTGATGGTTTCTCTCCCTCTACATCTTTATCTTTAAACGTTAGGTCATGACACAGACCCCTTGACTTTAATGCTCATTTCCAAACACTGCCCTTGGTTATATTTCTTTGGATAATCGACAATCCTGTAGATTATAGGGCTTGGTGCCTAGTTCCACTTTCATCTCCTTCAGCCATATCAACTTGAAGACCATGGGTTTGAAGCGACCAACAATGGTCCAATTTCTGTATCAATATCTCAGTTTTATAAAAATATTTACTTTTTTTTTTCTGATGACATCTTTTTAAGATTAAGAGTGAAGGATAAAGATAAAGTACCGTATTCGACGTAATAAGCGCCCCGCTCTATTAAGCGCACAGGGAGATATTTGCTAATATATTGGCTAGTGAACAATCCCAATTAGCACCCCTTCCGATTGATCAATGTACACAAGAATTATTTGTTCGTGTATAATACGCACTCATGTGTTATATGCACCCTTAATTATGGGCAATTAAACTCTGGAAAAATATATCTGTCGTATATAAACATTTCAGGCTGTTTGCATAAACCACGAAATTTACCTTCCAACTGTTTTTTTTCCACCAAAATAATATTCTAATAAGAGCCCCCTATTTCTAATTTTGAAAGCGCCCTGGGCGCTTACTACGTTGAATACGGTATGTCTTATTTGAAGCTACACAAAAACCTACCTATTAGCAGCACTGTGCCTACAGCCAAACCACCACCTGCAGGAGAAACAAACAAAGGTTTTCGTCTTATTATGCAATTTTCACGCTACATCACAGCAGCCTGTAAACAATCAATTAAAAAAATAATTGTTGTTTTAGACTTAGAAATAATAAAAGAATTGGTTCTCAGGCAATGTTTTTTGAAAATATAGAGCGGGCGGGCGATGTCTTTTTTCCTTTTTGGTCGTTCAAACCAGTATGTAACCATTAAACAGTCATTTACAATCAATCTGGGAAAGGGCCTCCCTACATAAATGTATTCCTTGATAAGTAAAATTCTGGAATACAGTATTTGACTACCATTGGACTTAGAACACTTAAGGATTTTTTTTTTTTTAAAAGTGGAAATAAAAACGAAACGTGCGCAAACTTTATGATGATGTGGGCGGTGCCTGAGAACCAAGAACTATTATTTTTTTTAGCCTCATGCCGCATTCAGCAATATTCCAGCTATATGATGGTGGTCTGTTAATAACTGAGTTTGGACCAGACAAGCCAGTGATTGACATCATGAGCATCGATCCACGCCACTATCTACTCCATTGGGAGTATGATGGCAACAATGAACCAAGTCACTGAGTCTGACCACCTGATCCATTTATTTGTCTCTCAGGACCGGCATAGGTTGCTGGTAAACAATCCTGACCCGGAATCCCAACGTGGATCAAGTCACGGCCAGTCAAACCAATGCTTGATGTTATGAATATTCAAGCAATATCACTGCAGGAGACACCAGAATAGGGCTTCATACCTGTGGGAAATCTAAAACGAGCGTTATATTTGATGAGCGACTACTTTCAGCACAAGGCAACCTCTGTTGATATCACACACAACATCCCATGTCGTTGGGGCAGATGGCAAGCAGTCAACAAAATCACTGAGCCTGAACACCTCATCCAATTTGACATGCAACAGAACAGGGTTTAAGTGAGTGAGTGAGTTGGGTTTAACAGTATTCCAGTCATATCGCGGCGTGTCAGCTTAATGTGGGAGGAAAGCACAGGGTTTAAGACTAACTGCATTTCATTGTAGGGATATTCAAGGTGGAAAGTAAGTAATACTGTAGTATTAATTGTTTTCCAACTTTAATTTGCAGTAGCATTGGACAGATTCATTCTTGTTCCTCTACGTCTTGGTTGGGAAATTCTTCGAAGCGCGATGGATGTTGTTTTCACAAGTCTTTTCCTTTGTATATTACAGTCAATTTGTAAAATGTGATTCTCTCAGGCAATTTATAAAATGTGTAAATATTTCAGTCATTTTGACTGAAAAATCTGTCCATTTCTTTAACAGATTGACCAAAATTGATTAAGACAATCAATAGAGTCTAAAAACATCACAATAGATTATTATGTAGGATTAGAAGCCAAACAATATAGAAATGTACTTTTCATCATAACATTTTCAGTCTCTTGATGATGATATCAAACATAAAAATGTTTGGAATTCGTTGTAATAATAATACAGATGGACATATTTTTCAGTCAATTTTTAAAATAACTGAATATTCAGGTGTTAATAAATTTCCTAAGTGAAAATTTTGCACATTTTGACTGTAAAAATATAAACAGCATTAAATAAGCAATGCTCAGGAGAAATATTTACTTTGTGTTGCAAGTCAAAATAGTGTAAACGAAAATCGGACAATTACCAAGCAAGTGACTTATCAAAACTTCGGCACCATTACCGATGCTACCCACAAAGATACCTACATTTCCTTATTATTTCCAAAACTGTATTTCATTTTGTTGATCAATGTGACCATACACCCTTATACTATCAATAAAAGTGACATATGCGCTTATGAATTGCGCACTAGTCTAGGTTTCTGCTATATCATCCGGGTACTCACGGGGAAAAACAATAACAAAGGCAACAACCAGTCCCGGGGAATTGCTTTAGATCAGTGCCCCTTTAAGAAAACACTGTTTCCATTGACAATTAGTTCTGGGCTCCTTGATCCAAGTAGCAGTTAAGATTTTGATTGGAGTATTTTATTTAACAATAATATCAGGGGAAGGTACATAAAGTGATTTCAGTCAATAGCTTTGAACGGTGGCTTTATGTATCATATGCGGTTTGGAAGTTCAGACGTGATAAATGTGACGGTTGGCAACACTGTTTATGAGATATACACTATATTCCAGATTTATCATGGCTGTCTGGACCAGACTATGCAGTGATTGAGCATCGATCAACGCCACTGGGATATTGGTTGTTGTTTACCCTGAAGGGTTTGATTGTATCAAAGACGTATGTAGATATTTGATTGTATGTTGATGATAATATTGTCTTATAAACGAATATTCAGAAATACGTTAATTTAATAACACCTGAGTTAGATGACGTGATAAAATGCGAGAAAAATTCCACAAAGACATAATTAATGACTAAATACCTATGACATTATCTAAAGACGGGACACCGGTAGATATCAATAATTGACTGTTTAACAGTGATGGTTTCGTTCCAGATATTTGCGGTATTTTCACACGTGTTTTCTTCTGAAAGCTTGTTGATGCTGCCATGTTGAAAATTTATTTAAGTCGATAAAATGGTTTAGATGTGTTTGGGGGCAGTTAGTTGTAATTCTCATATACACATTGTGATATATCCAGAAACATTATAAATATTGAAAATGATATGTCTGAACTAAGTAATAGAGAAAAAAACCCAGGCAACGCGCTACACAGTGTGGCTCTATTTTATCGAGTAATATGCATCTCTTGTGGCTTGGAGATACAAAATTAGGAGTACTATATTCCTAAAAACCGTTGTTATGTAAATATCACATTTCATACATTTCTTCCCTGAAAACATTAGAACACAAAGTCTGCAATAGCATAAGTGCACAATGTGACATACTGAACACAAAACAGACGCAAATACAAACACCAGATACTAAAACTATTAAAATTACGGCATACATACTGATTGAGTTCTCATGGTAAAATATTTAGTTCATTTAATATCAAATAATTTACCGATTATTTTAATATATATGCCAGTATAAAATATGAAACAATCGCTCCATCCTCAAACGTAACATATATCGACAGATGCAAATGACGTTCTTTTAGTAGCGCGGATGCCACATGACATTTCTGGATAATAGTACTAAAAATAAATGAACGCCATAAAGAGATTAAATGTTGATCACGAGAATACTTGTCCATATTGTCGTAGTGAATATGTTTACGTATGGGAGTAAAGACCATATTCAAATGTGTGTGTGTGGTGTCGTATGGAAGCACGGATCTATGTTAAATCGTGATGGGGGTAATGATATTTCACTGAGGCCTCATTTCAACTGAAGGTTTTTCTAATGACAGTATTAGTTGGATAGTAAGTAGTACCTAAATGTAAACAAGTATGTGTTCATTGCACGTGCGTTCGTGATCTCCGTTTATGTTTTGACTCATCCGCGATCAAATCCATTCTTTTGTGTTTACGATTAATTGTTAAAAAGGAAATAACATTATTCAATATTTTGTCAATATTAGTAATATAGTTTGGAAGACTGATTTGAAACTCCCGCCTTGACAAGTTGTAGAAGCCTAGCAGACGACGTTGCTGTCACAGAAGCAGACGATCATTTACATCCGGTTGTATTATTTTTGTTAGACGTCAGGGTATTATGTTGTGCTTCTTTTAGGTTAAGCATTTTGTTTGGAACGTTACTGCTGAAAAGACGCACCAAGGTAGGTATATTTAAAAGATGTTTTTGTATTCTAAATGATGCATGTACTGATGAAGTAGGCAAAGTGGCTTTCGAGATATGAGTATGACAGTCAGAAACTTATGCACATTTATCAGTTTATGGCATTTAAAAGATTATGTATATGAAGTACTTGCACATAGTGGGCCTAGATCTACTATTAAATATTCAGATTTATTTTGTTTATTATCTGTTGTCAAGATTTATTTAACCACTTAGTAACAAATTTGAAATTTCACTCAGGATCAGCTGGTATAATAGTTACTGACGTTTATTATGTTCAGGAGTAGTAGTAGGCTTACATTACGATATTCATGCATCACTTTTAAATGTTATAACTGATTATGATGATGTGTCATGGGGTTCATACCCAAACCTTTTGAAAAATCACATGGATCCTAATAGAAACAACAAAAATTACTAGATCTACCTTGTACCAATCCTTGATCTGTCACACTCTCGTTTTGATAACAAAATTCAAAACAACATAATATATTTTTTAATCTTATTAACAAAGTCTATTTGGCCCTAGATCTATGTGTTTTAAAATCTTATGAAAGTTCAGAATACTTTGACATTTCTGAAAATAGTGAAACTATTTCTTTCAGAAATGGATATCAAAACATACATGTCGTGTAAGAAACCTAGACGATCAATACGCCTTGAAGGAAAAGTTCAGGAACACATGAAAGAAACAGCAATAAAACAGAGCCCGCTTGGAATTTTCGACATATTGCCACTTGAGTTGAAATTCTACATACTTAAGTTTTGTTCAGGTTTGTTATTTTAACTGAAAATATACATTCAAATGTGTCTATGTCATATCCTATTATATATTTAGCAGACATTGATTCAAAATTGAAGAGAATTTCAGAATCCTTTTTATGATGCATTTCTTTGTTCATAGATTTAATTTCCATAAATCAACATAAGAATAAATTAAGTTTTTTACCATTCATCTACTCCATGATGGTAACTCTAGTTTCTCACTTGATATTTTTCTTATAATTTTCATTTCCTTTGCAGTTATTGATTTGAGTCTTATGACAATTACATCAAAAGCAATGAGGAATTTGATAGAAGGATACAGAGTAACAAGGCCTTTGAGTCGTCACTTCTTGGAATTGCCTGATCCTCATGTCATTCTGCCTTTAGATGAACAAGCAGAGTATTTCAAAAAGTATCAAAGATTAGGTAAATGCTGTCCCAGATACCTCTGACGAATAATGTTGTAACTTACATGCCAAGTGACTTGCAATTTCTTTTTATCTCACTTCACCACATGGTTTTAACTGCTATGTGTACAGAATTCATGTTGTAGTTTCTTGAAAAGTAACATATATTTCTGGTTATAACTGTTATAGAATGATTGCTAGCAAACCATGGTTATGGTTTATAGTACTAAGAATGATTTAATTCAATCAGCCAAAATTAAGGATGATAAGATATGAGCATGCTATTTTGAAAATAAATATTTTCCTGGAACCCTTATTTATGTACACAGTGTGCATGTTTGTAATACTTTGTTTGATACTGAAGCTGAAAACTATTTTGCTGGCAAGGGATTTTTTATTATTTCACCTGATCATCCCTCAGTAATAACATACTTTAGGTATTTGTGTATTTTGTTACAGGCCTGCTTATGAAGAGGTCCTCATGCTTGTATGCCACAAAGGAAAGGCTGAAATTTGTCAATGATTTCTTAACGAGGGTAACACTTTAAATATTATTGTCATAAACTTAAACTCTAGTGCCATTTTAGTATGAGATGATTATTATGCATTTGTGTATCATTTTCAGTGGGGTATGGTTTGGTACTGTACAGTTGTCAAAGGTATCACTGTTACCTGTGAAGGATCCACTGATTGTGAGTTTGAATCTCAATCCTAGTATTGATCCAATGGTTTGTCACCACAATACCCATATTTGATGGTAAACATCCACAGTTTGCATAACTGTAAGATTTCCTCTGAGCTGACACACCCTAATATGACTGAAATATTGTTCAAATCAGCTTTAAAGTCAACTCACTGACTCACTCACAAATCAAAATAATTTTTGTTGAAATATTTGGCCAATGGTAAAGGTTACTTGCTTTAAACTGTCCTTAACATTCATGGGTATTCTTGAATTCATTTATGCAGATGATGTGCTCCAACTCAAAATACTGTACTGAGGCAGTAAGTTGTGTTGCTCTATGCAGCTTTGGGCATTTCTTCCATACTGTGATAGCTGGCTGGGATGACAGTGAATGCCAGAAAGCATATGATGTTGTCTGTCAACATTCATGTATACTCAAGACATTGAAATATGTAGTGACAGGAAATCCAGGTAATTATAGTGAACATTTAACCTCAGCCATGTTTTTTTATGTTTTTATAGAAAGACATGATACTGATTATGGTACTGTCATCTTCAGACATATTGTAGACACGAAGACTCGAGTGAGATTTACAATTTTAATTAGTTAAAGGAATAGTAATCAAAGTCAGCTTGGTCTTAAAAAAGGACATCCTCACCACTTCATCTTCAATGCTTCACTGCCGTAAGCCTAAATTTAATTTTGAAATGCCTCCAGATAGTATGGGATAAGTGACATCAATTTCCTTCTTTTGTGTTGAAAAAAAAGAACAAATACAACCACAGTGTTCAAATGAATGAGGGTCGGGGAGGGGACACAGGAGGGGGCTCTGGGATCCTTGAGGTTTGTTATAGCTCCGACCAATAACTTAGGGTTGGGGTATATAGTTATACCAAGGAATTCTGTCTGTCCTTTCCGAGGACATTTTTGTGTGTGACCTAGAACTTGAAAACTACTGATTAGATTCTTTTCAAAATTTGTGAAAACTTTCTATACCAATTGGAGTGGTGCAGTGGGAAGGTTGATTGAAATATTTCTTAAAAATAAAGCAATTTTCATTTTTTTTACTGAGAATTTTGTTAGAATTTTGTGCTTGAACATTTGTGCGACCTATTACTTGAGAACTGGTACATGGATTCTTTTCAATTTAAAGAACACTCTCTTTACTAATAAGTTTGATTTTGATATGTGTATTTTCTGAAGAGTATGATTTTGTTCATGTTTTGAACATTGAATATTTTTTACTGCAACATTTGTGCAAACTGTAACTTGAAAACTACTTCAAGGTTTCTGTTTCTATTTGGGGCACAGTTTCTGTACCAATAGGAGAGGAGCAGTGCAAAGTGTGATTTCGACAAGTGGCTATTCTGAGAAAATATTGCTTTTTTCATGTTTTGAACTTAGAAATATGTTGGAGTATTTGGCCACACTTTTTTAATTTAATGTTTCACAGATTTATTCCAGTTTTCTGCACAAGGTCAGTCAAAGTAAAAACAAAAATAAATGTCAATTATTTATTTATTTATATGAAAGTCATTCTGACATGAAGTTAAAACTACAGGTAGCCTCTTTAATCACTGACAGTAGACATGGAATCTATATAAATTAACAACATTATATATTATATAAGTGGGTCTATATTATTAGTGGGAGACATACTGAAAATATATATTTTGATGTTAATTTATTTCTTAGACCGACTCCTTTTCAGTAGGAAAAATAAAAAACGTGTGGCCTTAGCGAGCCCTGCTTACTTTTTGCCTTTTTCATTTAAGGGACCCCTTAATAGAGTGTACTTTTAGCAGTAGGGTTATGACAAGGATCCCTCAAGACTTCCAGGCTTAATTAATAACAACCATCAGGCACCTTTTTGTTTTACTACATGTCAACACAAAGCCCCTTTATAACTTGCAACTTTGTGTTCAGGTTACAGTGTGGACCAAGAGATGAAGTGTCGTGTCTTCCTTAGGCGAGTGTTTCTAGATGCATGTCCAACATCGCAAGACAAGGCATTCTGGCTCAGCAGAATTCTCAAGCCATGGCCCATGGTCCACCAGGCAAAGATCCTTTATTTACTGTATGGGGCTGAGACAGATGGTCAGTACCCAGATTATTTTGTTAACATGAAAAATTAATCAATGGTTTCACAATATCTTTAATGCTATATGTTAAAATGAAATAGGCGGCCATGTCATTAGTTGACCCTTCATATTTTGACCTTGTTCTTAACTTTTTTCTCTTTTGTTTTTGTTTTTCATTTTTGCAGCTATGAAGCTTTATCACATTTAGATTAAAGCATTCTTCTAGAGACTATGCTATGAGATCAAGTACATGTATTAGTACAGTCCTTAGAGTCAGTAAGATATCCTATTTAGAACAAATACCATTCTTTTGATATAGAAGGTCTATAACAGTCCTTGTGTAAAATTTGGCAATCATGTTTTAATATGAAACTAATGTATTTGTTCCCATCCACTATGTTTTGCTTGTCAGTGAAACTTAAATTAAACTGTGCCATAATATACTGCACAGAATGTTTATTAATCAGAATGATTTAGAGACAAAAACATTTCCTGTTAAATAAAATTGCCATTATTGGGACAAGGAAATGTATTCAGATAGTCCTAGATGAATAGTAATCCAATTCATCAACTGTTTGTCTTGCATTTAAATCTTTATCAAACCTTTGATTAAAATTGACACTTAAGTTATATTAAAACTGGAAAATGTATATGAGCTGTGGTTTTGTGTGTGTATGTATGAAATGATATTGAAACAAGATGCAAAAGTCAGCTAGACTAAACCATATTTTTCTCTGTTTTCTTCACCATCTTTTGGCACATTGCAGTCTGTGTCTGTCTCTTGGAATCATTTTCAGTAGATTTTAGTGTTATGATACAGAGTATTATTAGCTAAGCTTTCAAGACTGAACAGAATTTGACTAGACTTCGGACTAGTTTTTAAAATGATAGACTGCCATTGGCATTTCATAAGATCATTAGATGCATACCATAGATGCATTTTGCTTAGAGAAGTCCAGGTATAATGTTGACTATGGATTTGTAAAGCAAAAGGAATCTTGTAGTTGTTTGTTTGTTTGTTTGTTTGTTTGTATGTATGTTGTTAACGCTGCACACATCAGTATTCCAGCTATATGACAGTGATCTGTCAATAATCAAGTCTGGATCAGATAATCCAGTGGTGGACATCATTAACATCGATCCACACAACTAGTATATGATGACATTCAATCCACCATGTCCCCAAGTCTGACCCATTTAGCTGCTTGTTATGACAAAGATAGGTTGCATGATTTCTACCTGTATTCTTACCTGGAATCCACACAGATGAATCTTGTGTCTGACACTTAAAGTTAATACAACACATGTTCATTTGATGTCCTGTCACTTTTGGTTTTTATATTTGATTGTGACAGTTAATTATTCTATGTTGTCAGTGATGAAGAATGATGTCTGTTTATTTTGTATAATGACCTCAGTATTTTCACAAGGTTTAACTAGCTTTTCGATTAACAGCATATGGATGTTTGCTTTTTTTTAATAGGTGAATTACTTTGGTATGACATGTGTGAAAGCACTCCTTCAACATCAGAAGAATCAGCACGGCAGTTTGGAGAAATTGCAAACATTATTCAGATTCTGTACCTCCAAAGCAAGGAATGGTCAGAAGATGACATCATCAGTGTTCTGGATGAACTTACAAGTAAACATCTTTCCCCTTCTTGCATTTATTGCCATTTCAGACTTACAATCAATGCAAGTCAGCTGCTCTTGTAGTGGAAACAAAAATGAAAAAAATGTGTGCTCACATAACCCTAATGTTGAAAGTGAAAATCCCATGTTTCAGACACAGCAGGTCCCAGGATACCCTTAAAGTTATTTTCTCTCTCTGCTCTCTATGTTTGTACACAAAGTACACTTTTCTTGTTGGAGTCATGTTGTTCCAGCTATAAATCTTTCCAGTAACCATTTATGCTATTTAGGAGCTAAATGAATTTTTGATGCATAGGAACTTTATTGTCAGCATGTATCAAAATAATATCATTCTTAAAGTTATTGATGTTTAAGACATATTTTAACTAGATAAAGTAACTTTAGAAACCATGTATAAATCCAATGTTTAAGTAAACTGCCCTATTTATCATATAGAACTAAGTTATTTGCAGCCACATTTGTTTGCACATATCATGAAAGTCAATAACTTTTTGATGAAGCAGACACTACATCAATGTATGGGGCTTAAAATTAGTTCATGCTCAGTACCCTCATTTGCATACTTATTATATCATGATACCAAGTTTATCGGAGTGGTTTAAGGCATTGATCATAACACTATGGATTATGTGATGAATATATTTCTGTCATGTAAACGATGCTTAATATAGCAGTCCTGAACATTAACACAAAAACTTACTTGATATTATGCCAAAATACAAGACTCAAACATTTTTTGTCACAAACTGCTGGTTACATGTTCACGAGCAGGCAGCTATTTCGAATAGTTTTACACCTAAAATGTTGGAGACTGAGTAATTGGTTTTACTTGGAGAGAATGATAGTATTGTAGAATACATGGCTTTTCATCCTGGCAGGTTACCCTGACGAATGGTTGGCAGAGAATGTGGCACATCTTTTACTTATGTGCGGAGATCAGATAACATCCAAACTCCTCATCAGCAAGGCAATCAATGGAAGAATTATCGAACTGTGCAGCATCACTACCTCATTCTGTTTGGTACGTAGAACATAAAACTAAGATTCTAATATTCTTTAAACTGTTCTATGCTACTTTGATAATACCCTGGACCTATTTGTTACCATGACTTCATTTTGAGACTCATTTGAGTGACACTACCAAGGTTTGTTAGTCTACTGGTTCGAGACGATTCATGTAGGAGCTCCGTAAGGACTATAACCTTTCCCCTTGAAATGGTTTCATGAATTATCGTGACGATTAATTACCAAATATAGCTGCATGTGAACTAATACTAATAAAGTGAAAACAAGCCATTCCAGCAAAAAGGAATTTTACTCACAGTAACGACAAAAATTGAAAAGTGTGCTTTTCAAGAAATATGCATTTTGCTAGCTATAAACATCATCATTGAGTTTTTATCACATGGTTACAATCTGACTGAAGAGTTGGGTGACTGTGAGCAGCTATATTTAGCAGTGTGTTCAGCGTACACACATTACCAGAACTAACTGAAAGAAAAAACATGCTGATGCAGTACTGTTGACCAAGTTGACAACTCGCAGTCACCCAGATTGTAACCCTGTGATCAAAACTCATTGATGATTATTGCCAGCAAAGAATATTGATACTGTCTTGGTTGACATTTCAAACTGTCGACTATGTATACAGGTGAGCTACAGTGCCATGGCACTATTTCTCAAGTAGTTCTGAATGAGAGGCATTATGTTAATCTCAGTGTCTTTTCAGGTGTGTGTGAAGAACAATTTCAGCTTGAGCTATGTAATCACGATGCTGCAGAACATCATCAAAGTAATGGACAGCCCTAAAGACAGGATTACTTTCATCAACAGCATGATGGACATGTTCAAGGAGCTTATCCTTGACATGCATGAGTACACAGAATCAGGTACTACATCAAAATATTAAACTCTACAGTATAATTATTTTTGAAGAAAAGCTCCATGATATTCAGCTCACTGTTACTTAAACTAATTCTTCTACACAACATTTAATGATAGATGATGTATCAATGTACTGGTATTGGCTTCTGATCAATTGAGTTAATTGAAAATTTTACATTGCATCAGCAATATTGCAGCCATATTGCAATGTCAGATGAATTGAACCTAAATATTGGAAAAGAAAATTGGATAGAAAGATACTATTTTTGAGGCAGGAAAAGCCTCTCAATATTAAATAATGTTCTATATATTAATAAATCTTGAATTGGCACTGACATTACTTTGTGACTTGTTAAGTCATAATTTAACAAAATTTGTGTATACCATGGCAAGATTTTCCTGTTGCCATATAAGGAAATCTTTTCTTTCAGGTGATGGACACGATGGTGAACTTTATTACCTTGTCATGGCCCTCTCTGAGTTCACGAAGAGGGTGATCCATATTGCTTTCAAAAGCCTCCTAGGATAAATTTGTGACACATGTGACCACACTCTCAGAATGCTGTATCTGTGATATGAACTGCTAATTAATATTGTGGACATGTTCTGATTTAGCCTGAACTTAAATTTTTAATCTTACTTTTGACAGTAAGTGCCATAAACAGAACACCAGTAAGTCAGTTTCTTCATATATTTTGAAATGGTGATCATACCAACTTAATGTTCTGACTGTTTGTTTATCACATTTTGCTGGTATAGTTTTAAAATCACATTTCGTTAGCAGATCATGGGTTTATGAAGTTAAAATTTGTTATTATTATTGTGTATAAAATCCTGCAGCAATGAAAAATATTGGGTATTCTTGGCTGTCTACTGCATATTAAAATGAAAGAATGTCAAGTCATTATTTTACCAGACTAGTAAACATAGCCAATAACGGTTGATCTGTTTAAGAAAATAATTCTGAAAAAAACAACTTTGAGGCTTGTAGGCAGAAGTGTTTCATACAGACTGCATGTATTTCCTTTGTTGGACCCAAATCACTTTGGTAATTTTGATATGTTCTTACTTCACAAGAAATGTCTTTAATTTGTTCTACAAAAGTGTAACATGTCCTCTGATATCTATTATACTATGTGCCTGTAAATATCACTGAATAATCTAGCCTCTGGTAGATAAAATGCTCTCCGCAAAACAGAAATATTAACTTCTCTGACTCTCAACACTAATCGGGTGTTTATGGAAATGCTTGCTACAGACATATTTCCTGATACTCAATGAGGAAAAATCTTGTGTTTTCCATATATATTTAAAATCACTTATATTGAAGAAATTCATATTTGTAAAAGACTACATGTACTTCATTGTGTACATAGTCAATGGAGTTGTAAGTTTCCCTCAGATGAACAAGACATTAATATACATGTTTGCATTTGATGTTCTCCTTTCAGAATATTTTTTTTTAAATGCGTCTTGAATATAGGACTTTAATATTAGTCAGTTGTGTAACCTGTACAGGCACTAGTAGGCACTAACTGTTTAAAAACACTCCATACCAAACTTTCAAACAGAGGTATACAAATTTATACACTGAAATATTTGTAGTCATAACAGGTGTGGAATATTCACATGGCATCCAAATAGAATATAAGTGTTTTCCTCAGGACATTTTGTGTGGCAGTTAGTCAAAGTCCTTGTATATAAACAACTCTGAATCTCTGCTGTGTATAAAAGAGCATAAAATGATGTTGTTCATGTAACTTAACTTATATCAATGTTATACATGTATTTCCTGATCCATGTGAACTGGTGATGATTTTCTGTGATAAACATGACCTTTATTTGAAGTTGAAGTATGCTGTCACATGTCCTTTGAAAGCTGAATGTAAGTAATGAATGTGCTGCATTTGTTGACTTTGAAAATAAAGAAAATGCTAAGAAATATTTTTGATCAAGTTTCTACAGATCATATTGTATTCTCAAACCAAGATACTGTTGGTGATTATGGTCCAGGGTAACCAGTGGTCGACAGTTGGAGTATAATGTGACTCCCTCAGTTTAGCTCTTACTGATGAGCATGGAATACTGGGGACCTATTCCGCCACCAAGCCATGAAGGTAAGCTGCTTTCGTGGCTTCACATATATCTGCATGTGTTCTAGTGTGTTGCAGGGTCCAATACCAGAGCTTGCCTAGTGCTGTCACCCATCCACCTAAACCAAATATTTATACTTGATTTGATCCTTACAGTACTACATTCACCCAGGACATACTGGCACTTTATAATGGCACTGACGAGTTTGTTTGTGTAGTTTGTTGTTTAACACCACACTCAGCAATATTCCTGGGCCGCGGTCTGTAAAGAATCGAGTCTGGACAAGACAATCCAGTGATTGTTATCATGAGCATCGACCACGCAATTGGGATACGATGACATGCATCAGCCAAGTCAGCGAGCCTGACCACCAGATCCCATAGTCACCTCATACAACAAGCATAGTCACCCTTTACAGGTTGCTGAAGATCTATTCAAAAGTACAATCAGTATAGAATGAATAGTGTTGCTGTAGTATACTTCATTTTTCAGGAAAATAACAAAAAAAACCGCCAAGTATACGTTTCAATCTCATTAAAATCAGATGTTAGTTCTTGCTACCGCTAAACAAAGATCTGAGGACATCCAATTAGGGGTCACGTCAGAAGGACCTTTCACCCGACCAATCAGAGCGTAGCTTACCAGATCATGAAAGTGACAGTCGGAATGTGATTTCTTATCATGCAACCCCGAAAACTTTTTACACGGGGTATTCCGAACGATAGTTACGAGGTTAACGACTGAATCCATACAATCTCGACCATCTAGTAGCCATTCGAGAATGTTCTTTTGTTCAGGTTTCAAATTTTTAATCGAGAATTTGTCAAAATATGTTTCGAAGCGTAGTCGCCAATTTGAAATTAGTGCCGTAAAACACGAGTAAGCTGCCTTCTGACTGGCTAATGTCGACTTCTCGTCAGTCATTCCATTGGTCGATCAAAGTTCGCGCAAGGTCGGTCTGACATGACCCGTGATGGGATGTCCTCAGATCTTTGTTTAGCGGTAGCGAGAACTAAGATCTGATTTGAGTGAGATTGGTATTCGTTTCTGCAGACATTCTAACTCTGTGTATTGATTACACATGCTACATTAAAGCATGTCATAGAGGGCAAACCTAATATTTGGAAAACTGTACATAAGGTCAAAGGTTGTTAACTTTCAGAAAATACTCAAAATACTGAAGACATGTCATATTTCTTTTATTTCAGAGCCATATGGAGTAGAAATTGACAAGAAGTATAAAACACGATGCTCTGTCATTAACCTGAATGTTATGCTTTCTATTAAACTATATGAAATTTAAGGACCATGGCCTTAGGGTATGGAAATTTGTTTCCTGGTGACATAAGGTCGGTCAATAACCTTCTGTTAAGGTGAGCTTAACATTGTAATTGTATGTATATGTACATCACGATGATCATCCCCACGTCACACAATTGCATATTCCGTGGATGAAACCGAATAGACCCTATTAATGTCAACATTAATGTCATGTTTATTGTACAATCTCGTCATGGAAAGATAAAACTTAAACTTGTTGGCTTGAACGAACTCGCAAGCCATCTTGTTTTCAACCGGCTGAGTGAAAATGACCTCTCCGTTTTCTGGCACAAAAGAAGCCAGTTTACAAAACAAGGCATGAGCAATTTTGTCACTGTCGGCAAAAAGTGGATACATACGAAAGCCAATATCCGCTGCTCTCAGTACCCCATATCCACATATCTTTCCATTCTGAACGGCAACAAACGTCTTTGCCTTTTTAAATAAAGCCCAGTTTCTCATATAGGAGGGTCTCGGCAATGTATGAATGTCTGCGTCGTATGTAACAACGTCATCAAAATTGACGTCTTCTACTGGGATGATATCAAAATCTCCTTTACTCGCTTCCTTCACGAAATCCGGATTTACTGGTCCCATGTTATAGTGGAATGTAAACGATGGGATGGTCCATCCAAATTGTTCATAGAACGTGATTCTGTTGGAAAGGGCTGTTCCTCCAACGTTGCGATGTTTCATGACATCCATGACGGACCGAAACAGTATCTTTCCTATGCCCTTTCCACGGTATTCTTCTTTGACAACGTTCATTCCCGACGAAGCAAACGTGTCACTGTGTGACAGAATGCCATTGTGCCCTGAATAAATGAAAGACTACAAAAGTATCAACTTATTACATGCATGAGGGTGAGGGTCTACTGTGTCTACTGATTTAAGACCCGTGAATATCCGGGGTAGAATCTTCAGCAACCCATGCGTGCCGTAAAATAGCGACTGTACTTGTCGTAAGAGGCAACTAACGGGATCGGGTAGTCAGGCTCGCTGACTTGGTTGATGCATCATGTAGCATGTCATCGTATCCTAATTTGATTGTCTGGTCCAGACTCGATTATTTACAGACCGCCGGCATATAGCTGGAATATTGTCGAGTGCGGCGTAAAACAACAAACCAAACCAAACGTCTCCTAATTGCGTGGATCGATGCTCGTGATGTCAATCACTGGATTGTCTGGTCTAGACTCGATTATTTTTCAGACCGCTGTCAAATAGCTGGAATATTGCTGAGTGTGGTGTTAAACAACAGACAACGTGTGCTAATTTGTGTACTTCCACACTTCATAATTAGCCGAAGGTGAAGTAAAAGTGTCTTTAAGATTAAAAGCCATGTTTGAATGTTGTTTAACGCCACACTTAGATATATTCCAGCTATATGACGGTGTTTTTTAAGTAATCTACATATTTATAACACGGAACAATTGTGCGATATCAACTACAATGAAAACTTTCGTTAAATCACCAAGTAGGCAAGTAATGACGAAATTGCTTGGTCGATCTAGAGATCAGACAATATATCAACACTCGTTGATAAAAGTTTAAAGCTTTTCGGCAAGCGTCGGCGTTTTAAACTTTTACTACTCGTGTTTATATATTCATATCAAAAGACACTCGGGTGAGATTCTCTATTAATGTTTAGTTGACGTTATTTCTATCATTAAACAGATGCGTTGTTCGCCTACTGAATGTTTCCCCTCTTCAAACACTCTGATCTACAAGTAACATTACTGTTGTGGGGAGTTTGCTGTACCTATAACTTCCCCAGTGGGCGTGACCACTACCACAAGTCCAGAGGGGTCCGTGTCGAAAATACACTCCAAGTAGTCTTTCTCCATGTTCCACTGGTTGGCCGACGTCAACTCGTACAGGCTTTGAATGTCCTCACGGCGCATGCGTCGAACCTCATAGTCAACCCCTTCTCGTACAGTGGAAAACCTTAAGTTGTATTCATTGTATTAAACAGTGATTGAACTAAGTATCGACGCTGTGTTATCACTGCTACACGTAGTATCAGTACTGGCTACATGAAATATATACTTATGGTCAAACGTTCAGCACAACATGCATGAAATTAAACATCAATTTCACAGCTTTCTTAATAATTTTTAAATATTTAAGGAAAACAAAAAGCTGTTGGTTATAATTTAAATATGTTGATTTACTGCCACTTTGGTAAATGTAATCTGTTATGGCGTTAAGATTTGTATATTTATGATGTGAATTTCCATATATTGTTCAGTTTGTCCAGTGGAAATGTCAACAAATGTACTTATACATTTTCACATTTCAATCGCAATGACATTACTATTCATTCATAACTTTCCATTTTCACTCCTTTTCGTGAAATGTTTCCTGTCCAGAAAATATCATGAATTGAAAAGTAGAACAGTTACGTTGCCTATTTTCTTACCATACGTATATGCACATCCGAACTGGCGCAGTCGATGGTGTGGGGATTTAATTCAGCGGGTAAGATACTACCTTCATCATCCAGGCCAGTTGCCGTTTACAAACAACAATCGATACAAATAATGGGGAAACATGTTTTGTGGGTGAAGGATGAGAGTGAGTGAGTGAGTTTGGTTTTACGCCGCTTTTAGCAATATTCCAGCAATATCACCGCGGGGGACACCAGAAATGGGCTTCACACATTGTACCCATGTCGGGAATCGAATCCGGGTCTTTCAATCTCATTAAAATCAGATGTTAGTTCTTGCTACCGCTAAACAAAGATCTGAGGACATCCAATTAGGGGTCACGTCAGAAGGACCTTTCACCCGACCAATCAGAGCGTAGCTTACCAGATCATGAAAGTGACAGTCGGAATGTGATTTCTTATCATGCAACCCCGAAAACTTTTTACACGGGGTATTCCGAACGATAGTTACGAGGTTAACGACTGAATCCATACAATCTAGACCATCTAGTAGCCATTCGAGAATGTTCTTTTGTTCAGGTTTCAAATTTTTAATCGAGAATTTGTCAAAATATGTTTCGAAGCGTAGTCGCCAATTTGAAATTAGTGCCGTAAAACACGAGTAAGCTGCCTTCTGACTGGCTAATGTCGACTTCTCGTCAGTCATTCCATTGGTCGATCAAAGTTCGCGCAAGGTCGGTCTGACATGACCCGTGATGGGATGTCCTCAGATCTTTGTTTAGCGGTAGCGAGAACTAAGATCTGATTTGAGTGAGATTGGTATTCGTTTCTGCAGACATTCTAACTCTGTGTATTGATTACACATGCTACATTAAAGCATGTCATAGAGGGCAAACCTAATATTTGGAAAACTGTACATAAGGTCAAAGGTTGTTAACTTTCAGAAAATACTCAAAATACTGAAGACATGTCATATTTCTTTTATTTCAGAGCCATATGGAGTAGAAATTGACAAGAAGTATAAAACACGATGCTCTGTCATTAACCTGAATGTTATGCTTTCTATTAAACTATATGAAATTTAAGGACCATGGCCTTAGGGTATGGAAATTTGTTTCCTGGTGACATAAGGTCGGTCAATAACCTTCTGTTAAGGTGAGCTTAACATTGTAATTGTATGTATATGTACATCACGATGATCATCCCCACGTCACACAATTGCATATTCCGTGGATGAAACCGAATAGACCCTATTAATGTCAACATTAATGTCATGTTTATTGTACAATCTCGTCATGGAAAGATAAAACTTAAACTTGTTGGCTTGAACGAACTCGCAAGCCATCTTGTTTTCAACCGGCTGAGTGAAAATGACCTCTCCGTTTTCTGGCACAAAAGAAGCCAGTTTACAAAACAAGGCATGAGCAATTTTGTCACTGTCGGCAAAAAGTGGATACATACGAAAGCCAATATCCGCTGCTCTCAGTACCCCATATCCACATATCTTTCCATTCTGAACGGCAACAAACGTCTTTGCCTTTTTAAATAAAGCCCAGTTTCTCATATAGGAGGGTCTCGGCAATGTATGAATGTCTGCGTCGTATGTAACAACGTCATCAAAATTGACGTCTTCTACTGGGATGATATCAAAATCTCCTTTACTCGCTTCCTTCACGAAATCCGGATTTACTGGTCCCATGTTATAGTGGAATGTAAACGATGGGATGGTCCATCCAAATTGTTCATAGAACGTGATTCTGTTGGAAAGGGCTGTTCCTCCAACGTTGCGATGTTTCATGACATCCATGACGGACCGAAACAGTATCTTTCCTATGCCCTTTCCACGGTATTCTTCTTTGACAACGTTCATTCCCGACGAAGCAAACGTGTCACTGTGTGACAGAATGCCATTGTGCCCTGAATAAATGAAAGACTACAAAAGTATCAACTTATTACATGCATGAGGGTGAGGGTCTACTGTGTCTACTGATTTAAGACCCGTGAATATCCGGGGTAGAATCTTCAGCAACCCATGCGTGCCGTAAAATAGCGACTGTACTTGTCGTAAGAGGCAACTAACGGGATCGGGTAGTCAGGCTCGCTGACTTGGTTGATGCATCATGTAGCATGTCATCGTATCCTAATTTGATTGTCTGGTCCAGACTCGATTATTTACAGACCGCCGGCATATAGCTGGAATATTGTCGAGTGCGGCGTAAAACAACAAACCAAACCAAACGTCTCCTAATTGCGTGGATCGATGCTCGTGATGTCAATCACTGGATTGTCTGGTCTAGACTCGATTATTTTTCAGACCGCTGTCAAATAGCTGGAATATTGCTGAGTGTGGTGTTAAACAACAGACAACGTGTGCTAATTTGTGTACTTCCACACTTCATAATTAGCCGAAGGTGAAGTAAAAGTGTCTTTAAGATTAAAAGCCATGTTTGAATGTTGTTTAACGCCACACTTAGATATATTCCAGCTATATGACGGTGTTTTTTAAGTAATCTACATATTTATAACACGGAACAATTGTGCGATATCAACTACAATGAAAACTTTCGTTAAATCACCAAGTAGGCAAGTAATGACGAAATTGCTTGGTCGATCTAGAGATCAGACAATATATCAACACTCGTTGATAAAAGTTTAAAGCTTTTCGGCAAGCGTCGGCGTTTTAAACTTTTACTACTCGTGTTTATATATTCATATCAAAAGACACTCGGGTGAGATTCTCTATTAATGTTTAGTTGACGTTATTTCTATCATTAAACAGATGCGTTGTTCGCCTACTGAATGTTTCCCCTCTTCAAACACTCTGATCTACAAGTAACATTACTGTTGTGGGGAGTTTGCTGTACCTATAACTTCCCCAGTGGGCGTGACCACTACCACAAGTCCAGAGGGGTCCGTGTCGAAAATACACTCCAAGTAGTCTTTCTCCATGTTCCACTGGTTGGCCGACGTCAACTCGTACAGGCTTTGAATGTCCTCACGGCGCATGCGTCGAACCTCATAGTCAACCCCTTCTCGTACAGTGGAAAACCTTAAGTTGTATTCATTGTATTAAACAGTGATTGAACTAAGTATCGACGCTGTGTTATCACTGCTACACGTAGTATCAGTACTGGCTACATGAAATATATACTTATGGTCAAACGTTCAGCACAACATGCATGAAATTAAACATCAATTTCACAGCTTTCTTAATAATTTTTAAATATTTAAGGAAAACAAAAAGCTGTTGGTTATAATTTAAATATGTTGATTTACTGCCACTTTGGTAAATGTAATCTGTTATGGCGTTAAGATTTGTATATTTATGATGTGAATTTCCATATATTGTTCAGTTTGTCCAGTGGAAATGTCAACAAATGTACTTATACATTTTCACATTTCAATCGCAATGACATTACTATTCATTCATAACTTTCCATTTTCACTCCTTTTCGTGAAATGTTTCCTGTCCAGAAAATATCATGAATTGAAAAGTAGAACAGTTACGTTGCCTATTTTCTTACCATACGTATATGCACATCCGAACTGGCGCAGTCGATGGTGTGGGGATTTAATTCAGCGGGTAAGATACTACCTTCATCATCCAGGCCAGTTGCCGTTTACAAACAACAATCGATACAAATAATGGGGAAACATGTTTTGTGGGTGAAGGATGAGAGTGAGTGAGTGAGTTTGGTTTTACGCCGCTTTTAGCAATATTCCAGCAATATCACCGCGGGGGACACCAGAAATGGGCTTCACACATTGTACCCATGTCGGGAATCGAATCCGGGTCTTTCAATCTCATTAAAATCAGATGTTAGTTCTTGCTACCGCTAAACAAAGATCTGAGGACATCCAATTAGGGGTCACGTCAGAAGGACCTTTCACCCGACCAATCAGAGCGTAGCTTACCAGATCATGAAAGTGACAGTCGGAATGTGATTTCTTATCATGCAACCCCGAAAACTTTTTACACGGGGTATTCCGAACGATAGTTACGAGGTTAACGACTGAATCCATACAATCTCGACCATCTAGTAGCCATTCGAGAATGTTCTTTTGTTCAGGTTTCAAATTTTTAATCGAGAATTTGTCAAAATATGTTTCGAAGCGTAGTCGCCAATTTGAAATTAGTGCCGTAAAACACGAGTAAGCTGCCTTCTGACTGGCTAATGTCGACTTCTCGTCAGTCATTCCATTGGTCGATCAAAGTTCGCGCAAGGTCGGTCTGACATGACCCGTGATGGGATGTCCTCAGATCTTTGTTTAGCGGTAGCGAGAACTAAGATCTGATTTGAGTGAGATTGGTATTCGTTTCTGCAGACATTCTAACTCTGTGTATTGATTACACATGCTACATTAAAGCATGTCATAGAGGGCAAACCTAATATTTGGAAAACTGTACATAAGGTCAAAGGTTGTTAACTTTCAGAAAATACTCAAAATACTGAAGACATGTCATATTTCTTTTATTTCAGAGCCATATGGAGTAGAAATTGACAAGAAGTATAAAACACGATGCTCTGTCATTAACCTGAATGTTATGCTTTCTATTAAACTATATGAAATTTAAGGACCATGGCCTTAGGGTATGGAAATTTGTTTCCTGGTGACATAAGGTCGGTCAATAACCTTCTGTTAAGGTGAGCTTAACATTGTAATTGTATGTATATGTACATCACGATGATCATCCCCACGTCACACAATTGCATATTCCGTGGATGAAACCGAATAGACCCTATTAATGTCAACATTAATGTCATGTTTATTGTACAATCTCGTCATGGAAAGATAAAACTTAAACTTGTTGGCTTGAACGAACTCGCAAGCCATCTTGTTTTCAACCGGCTGAGTGAAAATGACCTCTCCGTTTTCTGGCACAAAAGAAGCCAGTTTACAAAACAAGGCATGAGCAATTTTGTCACTGTCGGCAAAAAGTGGATACATACGAAAGCCAATATCCGCTGCTCTCAGTACCCCATATCCACATATCTTTCCATTCTGAACGGCAACAAACGTCTTTGCCTTTTTAAATAAAGCCCAGTTTCTCATATAGGAGGGTCTCGGCAATGTATGAATGTCTGCGTCGTATGTAACAACGTCATCAAAATTGACGTCTTCTACTGGGATGATATCAAAATCTCCTTTACTCGCTTCCTTCACGAAATCCGGATTTACTGGTCCCATGTTATAGTGGAATGTAAACGATGGGATGGTCCATCCAAATTGTTCATAGAACGTGATTCTGTTGGAAAGGGCTGTTCCTCCAACGTTGCGATGTTTCATGACATCCATGACGGACCGAAACAGTATCTTTCCTATGCCCTTTCCACGGTATTCTTCTTTGACAACGTTCATTCCCGACGAAGCAAACGTGTCACTGTGTGACAGAATGCCATTGTGCCCTGAATAAATGAAAGACTACAAAAGTATCAACTTATTACATGCATGAGGGTGAGGGTCTACTGTGTCTACTGATTTAAGACCCGTGAATATCCGGGGTAGAATCTTCAGCAACCCATGCGTGCCGTAAAATAGCGACTGTACTTGTCGTAAGAGGCAACTAACGGGATCGGGTAGTCAGGCTCGCTGACTTGGTTGATGCATCATGTAGCATGTCATCGTATCCTAATTTGATTGTCTGGTCCAGACTCGATTATTTACAGACCGCCGGCATATAGCTGGAATATTGTCGAGTGCGGCGTAAAACAACAAACCAAACCAAACGTCTCCTAATTGCGTGGATCGATGCTCGTGATGTCAATCACTGGATTGTCTGGTCTAGACTCGATTATTTTTCAGACCGCTGTCAAATAGCTGGAATATTGCTGAGTGTGGTGTTAAACAACAGACAACGTGTGCTAATTTGTGTACTTCCACACTTCATAATTAGCCGAAGGTGAAGTAAAAGTGTCTTTAAGATTAAAAGCCATGTTTGAATGTTGTTTAACGCCACACTTAGATATATTCCAGCTATATGACGGTGTTTTTTAAGTAATCTACATATTTATAACACGGAACAATTGTGCGATATCAACTACAATGAAAACTTTCGTTAAATCACCAAGTAGGCAAGTAATGACGAAATTGCTTGGTCGATCTAGAGATCAGACAATATATCAACACTCGTTGATAAAAGTTTAAAGCTTTTCGGCAAGCATCGGCGTTTTAAACTTTTACTACTCGTGTTTATATATTCATATCAAAAGACACTCGGGTGAGATTCTCTATTAATGTTTAGTTGACGTTATTTCTATCATTAAACAGATGCGTTGTTCGCCTACTGAATGTTTCCCCTCTTCAAACACTCTGATCTACAAGTAACATTACTGTTGTGGGGAGTTTGCTGTACCTATAACTTCCCCAGTGGGCGTGACCACTACCACAAGTCCAGAGGGGTCCGTGTCGAAAATACACTCCAAGTAGTCTTTCTCCATGTTCCACTGGTTGGCCGACGTCAACTCGTACAGGCTTTGAATGTCCTCACGGCGCATGCGTCGAACCTCATAGTCAACCCCTTCTCGTACAGTGGAAAACCTTAAGTTGTATTCATTGTATTAAACAGTGATTGAACTAAGTATCGACGCTGTGTTATCACTGCTACACGTAGTATCAGTACTGGCTACATGAAATATATACTTATGGTCAAACGTTCAGCACAACATGCATGAAATTAAACATCAATTTCACAGCTTTCTTAATAATTTTTAAATATTTAAGGAAAACAAAAAGCTGTTGGTTATAATTTAAATATGTTGATTTACTGCCACTTTGGTAAATGTAATCTGTTATGGCGTTAAGATTTGTATATTTATGATGTGAATTTCCATATATTGTTCAGTTTGTCCAGTGGAAATGTCAACAAATGTACTTATACATTTTCACATTTCAATCGCAATGACATTACTATTCATTCATAACTTTCCATTTTCACTCCTTTTCGTGAAATGTTTCCTGTCCAGAAAATATCATGAATTGAAAAGTAGAACAGTTACGTTGCCTATTTTCTTACCATACGTATATGCACATCCGAACTGGCGCAGTCGATGGTGTGGGGATTTAATTCAGCGGGTAAGATACTACCTTCATCATCCAGGCCAGTTGCCGTTTACAAACAACAATCGATACAAATAATGGGGAAACATGTTTTGTGGGTGAAGGATGAGAGTGAGTGAGTGAGTTTGGTTTTACGCCGCTTTTAGCAATATTCCAGCAATATCACGGCGGGGGACACCAGAAATGGGCTTCACACATTGTACCCATGTCGGGAATCGAATCCGGGTCTTTCAATCTCATTAAAATCAGATGTTAGTTCTTGCTACCGCTAAACAAAGATCTGAGGACATCCAATTAGGGGTCACGTCAGAAGGACCTTTCACCCGACCAATCAGAGCGTAGCTTACCAGATCATGAAAGTGACAGTCGGAATGTGATTTCTTATCATGCAACCCCGAAAACTTTTTACACGGGGTATTCCGAACGATAGTTACGAGGTTAACGACTGAATCCATACAATCTCGACCATCTAGTAGCCATTCGAGAATGTTCTTTTGTTCAGGTTTCAAATTTTTAATCGAGAATTTGTCAAAATATGTTTCGAAGCGTAGTCGCCAATTTGAAATTAGTGCCGTAAAACACGAGTAAGCTGCCTTCTGACTGGCTAATGTCGACTTCTCGTCAGTCATTCCATTGGTCGATCAAAGTTCGCGCAAGGTCGGTCTGACATGACCCGTGATGGGATGTCCTCAGATCTTTGTTTAGCGGTAGCGAGAACTAAGATCTGATTTGAGTGAGATTGGTATTCGTTTCTGCAGACATTCTAACTCTGTGTATTGATTACACATGCTACATTAAAGCATGTCATAGAGGGCAAACCTAATATTTGGAAAACTGTACATAAGGTCAAAGGTTGTTAACTTTCAGAAAATACTCAAAATACTGAAGACATGTCATATTTCTTTTATTTCAGAGCCATATGGAGTAGAAATTGACAAGAAGTATAAAACACGATGCTCTGTCATTAACCTGAATGTTATGCTTTCTATTAAACTATATGAAATTTAAGGACCATGGCCTTAGGGTATGGAAATTTGTTTCCTGGTGACATAAGGTCGGTCAATAACCTTCTGTTAAGGTGAGCTTAACATTGTAATTGTATGTATATGTACATCACGATGATCATCCCCACGTCACACAATTGCATATTCCGTGGATGAAACCGAATAGACCCTATTAATGTCAACATTAATGTCATGTTTATTGTACAATCTCGTCATGGAAAGATAAAACTTAAACTTGTTGGCTTGAACGAACTCGCAAGCCATCTTGTTTTCAACCGGCTGAGTGAAAATGACCTCTCCGTTTTCTGGCACAAAAGAAGCCAGTTTACAAAACAAGGCATGAGCAATTTTGTCACTGTCGGCAAAAAGTGGATACATACGAAAGCCAATATCCGCTGCTCTCAGTACCCCATATCCACATATCTTTCCATTCTGAACGGCAACAAACGTCTTTGCCTTTTTAAATAAAGCCCAGTTTCTCATATAGGAGGGTCTCGGCAATGTATGAATGTCTGCGTCGTATGTAACAACGTCATCAAAATTGACGTCTTCTACTGGGATGATATCAAAATCTCCTTTACTCGCTTCCTTCACGAAATCCGGATTTACTGGTCCCATGTTATAGTGGAATGTAAACGATGGGATGGTCCATCCAAATTGTTCATAGAACGTGATTCTGTTGGAAAGGGCTGTTCCTCCAACGTTGCGATGTTTCATGACATCCATGACGGACCGAAACAGTATCTTTCCTATGCCCTTTCCACGGTATTCTTCTTTGACAACGTTCATTCCCGACGAAGCAAACGTGTCACTGTGTGACAGAATGCCATTGTGCCCTGAATAAATGAAAGACTACAAAAGTATCAACTTATTACATGCATGAGGGTGAGGGTCTACTGTGTCTACTGATTTAAGACCCGTGAATATCCGGGGTAGAATCTTCAGCAACCCATGCGTGCCGTAAAATAGCGACTGTACTTGTCGTAAGAGGCAACTAACGGGATCGGGTAGTCAGGCTCGCTGACTTGGTTGATGCATCATGTAGCATGTCATCGTATCCTAATTTGATTGTCTGGTCCAGACTCGATTATTTACAGACCGCCGGCATATAGCTGGAATATTGTCGAGTGCGGCGTAAAACAACAAACCAAACCAAACGTCTCCTAATTGCGTGGATCGATGCTCGTGATGTCAATCACTGGATTGTCTGGTCTAGACTCGATTATTTTTCAGACCGCTGTCAAATAGCTGGAATATTGCTGAGTGTGGTGTTAAACAACAGACAACGTGTGCTAATTTGTGTACTTCCACACTTCATAATTAGCCGAAGGTGAAGTAAAAGTGTCTTTAAGATTAAAAGCCATGTTTGAATGTTGTTTAACGCCACACTTAGATATATTCCAGCTATATGACGGTGTTTTTTAAGTAATCTACATATTTATAACACGGAACAATTGTGCGATATCAACTACAATGAAAACTTTCGTTAAATCACCAAGTAGGCAAGTAATGACGAAATTGCTTGGTCGATCTAGAGATCAGACAATATATCAACACTCGTTGATAAAAGTTTAAAGCTTTTCGGCAAGCGTCGGCGTTTTAAACTTTTACTACTCGTGTTTATATATTCATATCAAAAGACACTCGGGTGAGATTCTCTATTAATGTTTAGTTGACGTTATTTCTATCATTAAACAGATGCGTTGTTCGCCTACTGAATGTTTCCCCTCTTCAAACACTCTGATCTACAAGTAACATTACTGTTGTGGGGAGTTTGCTGTACCTATAACTTCCCCAGTGGGCGTGACCACTACCACAAGTCCAGAGGGGTCCGTGTCGAAAATACACTCCAAGTAGTCTTTCTCCATGTTCCACTGGTTGGCCGACGTCAACTCGTACAGGCTTTGAATGTCCTCACGGCGCATGCGTCGAACCTCATAGTCAACCCCTTCTCGTACAGTGGAAAACCTTAAGTTGTATTCATTGTATTAAACAGTGATTGAACTAAGTATCGACGCTGTGTTATCACTGCTACACGTAGTATCAGTACTGGCTACATGAAATATATACTTATGGTCAAACGTTCAGCACAACATGCATGAAATTAAACATCAATTTCACAGCTTTCTTAATAATTTTTAAATATTTAAGGAAAACAAAAAGCTGTTGGTTATAATTTAAATATGTTGATTTACTGCCACTTTGGTAAATGTAATCTGTTATGGCGTTAAGATTTGTATATTTATGATGTGAATTTCCATATATTGTTCAGTTTGTCCAGTGGAAATGTCAACAAATGTACTTATACATTTTCACATTTCAATCGCAATGACATTACTATTCATTCATAACTTTCCATTTTCACTCCTTTTCGTGAAATGTTTCCTGTCCAGAAAATATCATGAATTGAAAAGTAGAACAGTTACGTTGCCTATTTTCTTACCATACGTATATGCACATCCGAACTGGCGCAGTCGATGGTGTGGGGATTTAATTCAGCGGGTAAGATACTACCTTCATCATCCAGGCCAGTTGCCGTTTACAAACAACAATCGATACAAATAATGGGGAAACATGTTTTGTGGGTGAAGGATGAGAGTGAGTGAGTGAGTTTGGTTTTACGCCGCTTTTAGCAATATTCCAGCAATATCACGGCGGGGGACACCAGAAATGGGCTTCACACATTGTACCCATGTCGGGAATCGAATCCGGGTCTTTCAATCTCATTAAAATCAGATGTTAGTTCTTGCTACCGCTAAACAAAGATCTGAGGACATCCAATTAGGGGTCACGTCAGAAGGACCTTTCACCCGACCAATCAGAGCGTAGCTTACCAGATCATGAAAGTGACAGTCGGAATGTGATTTCTTATCATGCAACCCCGAAAACTTTTTACACGGGGTATTCCGAACGATAGTTACGAGGTTAACGACTGAATCCATACAATCTCGACCATCTAGTAGCCATTCGAGAATGTTCTTTTGTTCAGGTTTCAAATTTTTAATCGAGAATTTGTCAAAATATGTTTCGAAGCGTAGTCGCCAATTTGAAATTAGTGCCGTAAAACACGAGTAAGCTGCCTTCTGACTGGCTAATGTCGACTTCTCGTCAGTCATTCCATTGGTCGATCAAAGTTCGCGCAAGGTCGGTCTGACATGACCCGTGATGGGATGTCCTCAGATCTTTGTTTAGCGGTAGCGAGAACTAAGATCTGATTTGAGTGAGATTGGTATTCGTTTCTGCAGACATTCTAACTCTGTGTATTGATTACACATGCTACATTAAAGCATGTCATAGAGGGCAAACCTAATATTTGGAAAACTGTACATAAGGTCAAAGGTTGTTAACTTTCAGAAAATACTCAAAATACTGAAGACATGTCATATTTCTTTTATTTCAGAGCCATATGGAGTAGAAATTGACAAGAAGTATAAAACACGATGCTCTGTCATTAACCTGAATGTTATGCTTTCTATTAAACTATATGAAATTTAAGGACCATGGCCTTAGGGTATGGAAATTTGTTTCCTGGTGACATAAGGTCGGTCAATAACCTTCTGTTAAGGTGAGCTTAACATTGTAATTGTATGTATATGTACATCACGATGATCATCCCCACGTCACACAATTGCATATTCCGTGGATGAAACCGAATAGACCCTATTAATGTCAACATTAATGTCATGTTTATTGTACAATCTCGTCATGGAAAGATAAAACTTAAACTTGTTGGCTTGAACGAACTCGCAAGCCATCTTGTTTTCAACCGGCTGAGTGAAAATGACCTCTCCGTTTTCTGGCACAAAAGAAGCCAGTTTACAAAACAAGGCATGAGCAATTTTGTCACTGTCGGCAAAAAGTGGATACATACGAAAGCCAATATCCGCTGCTCTCAGTACCCCATATCCACATATCTTTCCATTCTGAACGGCAACAAACGTCTTTGCCTTTTTAAATAAAGCCCAGTTTCTCATATAGGAGGGTCTCGGCAATGTATGAATGTCTGCGTCGTATGTAACAACGTCATCAAAATTGACGTCTTCTACTGGGATGATATCAAAATCTCCTTTACTCGCTTCCTTCACGAAATCCGGATTTACTGGTCCCATGTTATAGTGGAATGTAAACGATGGGATGGTCCATCCAAATTGTTCATAGAACGTGATTCTGTTGGAAAGGGCTGTTCCTCCAACGTTGCGATGTTTCATGACATCCATGACGGACCGAAACAGTATCTTTCCTATGCCCTTTCCACGGTATTCTTCTTTGACAACGTTCATTCCCGACGAAGCAAACGTGTCACTGTGTGACAGAATGCCATTGTGCCCTGAATAAATGAAAGACTACAAAAGTATCAACTTATTACATGCATGAGGGTGAGGGTCTACTGTGTCTACTGATTTAAGACCCGTGAATATCCGGGGTAGAATCTTCAGCAACCCATGCGTGCCGTAAAATAGCGACTGTACTTGTCGTAAGAGGCAACTAACGGGATCGGGTAGTCAGGCTCGCTGACTTGGTTGATGCATCATGTAGCATGTCATCGTATCCTAATTTGATTGTCTGGTCCAGGCTCGATTATTTACAGACCGCCGGCATATAGCTGGAATATTGTCGAGTGCGGCGTAAAACAACAAACCAAACCAAACGTCTCCTAATTGCGTGGATCGATGCTCGTGATGTCAATCACTGGATTGTCTGGTCTAGACTCGATTATTTTTCAGACCGCTGTCAAATAGCTGGAATATTGCTGAGTGTGGTGTTAAACAACAGACAACGTGTGCTAATTTGTGTACTTCCACACTTCATAATTAGCCGAAGGTGAAGTAAAAGTGTCTTTAAGATTAAAAGCCATGTTTGAATGTTGTTTAACGCCACACTTAGATATATTCCAGCTATATGACGGTGTTTTTTAAGTAATCTACATATTTATAACACGGAACAATTGTGCGATATCAACTACAATGAAAACTTTCGTTAAATCACCAAGTAGGCAAGTAATGACGAAATTGCTTGGTCGATCTAGAGATCAGACAATATATCAACACTCGTTGATAAAAGTTTAAAGCTTTTCGGCAAGCATCGGCGTTTTAAACTTTTACTACTCGTGTTTATATATTCATATCAAAAGACACTCGGGTGAGATTCTCTATTAATGTTTAGTTGACGTTATTTCTATCATTAAACAGATGCGTTGTTCGCCTACTGAATGTTTCCCCTCTTCAAACACTCTGATCTACAAGTAACATTACTGTTGTGGGGAGTTTGCTGTACCTATAACTTCCCCAGTGGGCGTGACCACTACCACAAGTCCAGAGGGGTCCGTGTCGAAAATACACTCCAAGTAGTCTTTCTCCATGTTCCACTGGTTGGCCGACGTCAACTCGTACAGGCTTTGAATGTCCTCACGGCGCATGCGTCGAACCTCATAGTCAACCCCTTCTCGTACAGTGGAAAACCTTAAGTTGTATTCATTGTATTAAACAGTGATTGAACTAAGTATCGACGCTGTGTTATCACTGCTACACGTAGTATCAGTACTGGCTACATGAAATATATACTTATGGTCAAACGTTCAGCACAACATGCATGAAATTAAACATCAATTTCACAGCTTTCTTAATAATTTTTAAATATTTAAGGAAAACAAAAAGCTGTTGGTTATAATTTAAATATGTTGATTTACTGCCACTTTGGTAAATGTAATCTGTTATGGCGTTAAGATTTGTATATTTATGATGTGAATTTCCATATATTGTTCAGTTTGTCCAGTGGAAATGTCAACAAATGTACTTATACATTTTCACATTTCAATCGCAATGACATTACTATTCATTCATAACTTTCCATTTTCACTCCTTTTCGTGAAATGTTTCCTGTCCAGAAAATATCATGAATTGAAAAGTAGAACAGTTACGTTGCCTATTTTCTTACCATACGTATATGCACATCCGAACTGGCGCAGTCGATGGTGTGGGGATTTAATTCAGCGGGTAAGATACTACCTTCATCATCCAGGCCAGTTGCCGTTTACAAACAACAATCGATACAAATAATGGGGAAACATGTTTTGTGGGTGAAGGATGAGAGTGAGTGAGTGAGTTTGGTTTTACGCCGCTTTTAGCAATATTCCAGCAATATCACGGCGGGGGACACCAGAAATGGGCTTCACACATTGTACCCATGTCGGGAATCGAATCCGGGTCTTTCAATCTCATTAAAATCAGATGTTAGTTCTTGCTACCGCTAAACAAAGATCTGAGGACATCCAATTAGGGGTCACGTCAGAAGGACCTTTCACCCGACCAATCAGAGCGTAGCTTACCAGATCATGAAAGTGACAGTCGGAATGTGATTTCTTATCATGCAACCCCGAAAACTTTTTACACGGGGTATTCCGAACGATAGTTACGAGGTTAACGACTGAATCCATACAATCTCGACCATCTAGTAGCCATTCGAGAATGTTCTTTTGTTCAGGTTTCAAATTTTTAATCGAGAATTTGTCAAAATATGTTTCGAAGCGTAGTCGCCAATTTGAAATTAGTGCCGTAAAACACGAGTAAGCTGCCTTCTGACTGGCTAATGTCGACTTCTCGTCAGTCATTCCATTGGTCGATCAAAGTTCGCGCAAGGTCGGTCTGACATGACCCGTGATGGGATGTCCTCAGATCTTTGTTTAGCGGTAGCGAGAACTAAGATCTGATTTGAGTGAGATTGGTATTCGTTTCTGCAGACATTCTAACTCTGTGTATTGATTACACATGCTACATTAAAGCATGTCATAGAGGGCAAACCTAATATTTGGAAAACTGTACATAAGGTCAAAGGTTGTTAACTTTCAGAAAATACTCAAAATACTGAAGACATGTCATATTTCTTTTATTTCAGAGCCATATGGAGTAGAAATTGACAAGAAGTATAAAACACGATGCTCTGTCATTAACCTGAATGTTATGCTTTCTATTAAACTATATGAAATTTAAGGACCATGGCCTTAGGGTATGGAAATTTGTTTCCTGGTGACATAAGGTCGGTCAATAACCTTCTGTTAAGGTGAGCTTAACATTGTAATTGTATGTATATGTACATCACGATGATCATCCCCACGTCACACAATTGCATATTCCGTGGATGAAACCGAATAGACCCTATTAATGTCAACATTAATGTCATGTTTATTGTACAATCTCGTCATGGAAAGATAAAACTTAAACTTGTTGGCTTGAACGAACTCGCAAGCCATCTTGTTTTCAACCGGCTGAGTGAAAATGACCTCTCCGTTTTCTGGCACAAAAGAAGCCAGTTTACAAAACAAGGCATGAGCAATTTTGTCACTGTCGGCAAAAAGTGGATACATACGAAAGCCAATATCCGCTGCTCTCAGTACCCCATATCCACATATCTTTCCATTCTGAACGGCAACAAACGTCTTTGCCTTTTTAAATAAAGCCCAGTTTCTCATATAGGAGGGTCTCGGCAATGTATGAATGTCGGCGTCGAATGTAACAACGTCATCAAAATTGACGTCTTCTACTGGGATGATATCAAAATCTCCTGTACTCGCTTCCTTCACGAAATCCGGATTTACTGGTCCCATGTTATAGTGGAATGTAAACGATGGGATTGTCCATCCAAATTGTTCATAGAACGTGATTCTGTTGGACAGGGCTGTTCCTCCAACGTTGCGATGTTTCATGACATCCATGACGGACCGAAACAGTATCTTTCCTATGCCCTTTCCACGGTATTCTTCTTTGACAATGTTCATTCCCGACGAAGCAAACGTGTCACTGTGTGACAAAATGCCATTGTGCCCTGAATAAATGAAAGACTACATATGTATAAACTTATTACATGCATGAGGGTGAGGGTCTACTGTGTCTACTGACTTAAGACCCGTGAATATCCGGGGTAGAATCTTCAGCAACCCATGCGTGCCGTAAAATAGCGACTGCACTTTTCGTAAGAGGCAACTAACGGGATCGGGTAGTCAGGCTCGCTGACTTGGTTGATGCATCATGTAGCATGTCATCGTATCCTAATTTGATTGTCTGGTCCAGACTCGATTATTTACAGACCGCCGTCATATAGCTGGAATATTGTCGAGTGCGGCGTAAAACAACAAACCAAACCAAACGTCCCCTAATTGCGTGGATCGATGCTCGTGATGTCAATCACTGGATTGTCTGGTCTAAACTCGATTATTTTTCAGACCGCCGTCAAATAGCTGGAATATTGCTGAGTGCGTTGTTAAACAACAGACAACGTGTGCTAATTTGTGTACTTCCACACTTCATAATTAGCCGAAGGTGAAGTAGAAGTGTCTTTAAGATTAAAAGCCATGTTTGAATGTTGTTTAACGCCACACTCAGACATATTCCAGCTATATGACGGTGTCTTGTAAGTAATTTACATATTTTTTACACGGAACAATTGTGCGATATCAACTACAATGAAAACTTTCGTTAAATCACCAAGTAGGCGATGACGAAATTGCTTGGTCGATCTAGAGATCAGACAATATATCAACACTCGTTGATAAAAGTTTAAAGCTTTTCGGCAAGCATCGGCGTTTTAAACTTTTACTACTCGTGTTTATATATTCATATCAAAAGACACTCGGGTGAGATTCTCTATTAATGTTTAGTTGACGTCATTTCTATCATTTAACAGATGCGTTGTTCGCCTACTGAATGTTTCCCCTCTTCAAACACTCTGATCTACAAGTAACATTACTGTTGTGGGGAGTTTGCTGTACCTATAACTTCCCCAGTGGGCGTGACCACTACCACAAGTCCAGAGGGGTCCGTGTCGAAAATACACTCCAAGTAGTCTTTCTCCATGTTCCACTGGTTGGCCGACGTCAACTCGTACAGGCTTTGAATGTCCTCACGGCGCATGCGTCGAACCTCATAGTCAACCCCTTCTCGTACAGTGGAAAACCTTAAATTGTATTCATTGTACTAAACAGTGATTGAACTAAGTATCGACGTTGTGTTATCACTGCTACACGTAGTATCAGTACTGGCTACATGAAATATATACTTATGGTCAAACGTTCAGCACAACATGCATGAAATTAAACATCCATTACACAGCTTTCTTAATAATTTTTGAATATGTTAGGTAAACAAAAAGCTGTTGGTTATAATTTAAATATGTTGATTTACTGCCACTTTGGTAAATGTAATCTGTTATGGCGTTAAGATTTGTTTTTTTGATGTGAATTTCCATACATTGTTCAGTTTGTCCAGTGGAAATGTCAACAAATTTACTTATACATTTTCACATTTTAATCGTAATGACATTGATAATCATTCATAACTTTCCATTTTCACTCCTTTTCGTGAAATGTTTCCTGTCCAGAAAATATCATGAATTGAAAAGTAGAACAGTTACGTTGCCTATTTTCTTACCATACGTATATGCACATCCGAACTGGCGCAGTCGATGGTGTGGGGATTTAATTCAGCGGGTAAGATACTACCCTTCATCATCCAGGCCAGTTGCCGTTTACAAACAACAATCGATACAAATAATGGGGAAACATGTTTTGTGGGTGAAGGATGAGAGTGAATGAGTGAGTGAGTGAGTTTGGTTTTACGCCGCTTTTAGCAATATTCCAGCAATATCACGGCGGGGGACACCAGAAATGGGCTTCACACATTGTACCCATGTCGGGAATCGAACCCGGGTCTTCGGCGTGTCGAGCGAACGCTTTAACCACTAGGCTACCCGACCGCCCCTGAAGGATGAGAGGGGCCATAAATAAAATATTATTTGTTGATTAAGTTCAGCTTATATAATAAACTGTTTCAAATTCTGCGACTTGCTTGTAGAAATGGAAACGTGAAGTAGAGACCATATAGCGATACCGGTATATGGCCTCTGCGTGAAGAAGTCAAGATTAAGAACATAATCAAGATAGATGTACGTGCTTCTCAATAACAGAGACCATATAATAGATGGTCTCTGTCAATAACGAATGTCCTTTTATCGGGGATACATATATAAAAAGGATGTATTTCTTTATTAAATGTATAACCTGACTAGTAATAGGAATTCAAAATCGTCAACCGTCGAGTATATATTCTGGTACTGGTTGGTACTTGCGGAAACCCTAAGTTTGGTTTATGGTCCGATATGCGGTTTCATGGTGGCCGAAAGCCAGTTCACGGTAACCTATAACAAAGTTTAAGTAAACAACCAGTTATATTACAGCTTCCGCCAGGAAGCATATGTTCGAATAGCGAGATAAGATGGGAATGCTAAAAATAGGGACAAATTAATAAAAACATGTCTTGAAAAATCTTCTTGCGTAATACCTCTGTCCAATGTGCGTAGCAGGATACGAGCAAATAGGCCCGCGTGTGCGGAACGCAGCCAAAGCCAGTTTCTTCAAAATCTGGGCCATCTTCAGCGTGCTGACACGTCAGTATCTGTCCCTTTCCCAGACCAAGCCTCAGCGCTACGTGTATCAAGAGGTATGCCTGTTGTACAAGCGCGTAGTTCAACTATCTATGTATGTTAACTGTATCTAAGCACGACAAAACGAAACGCGGGACATGTTGTGCCTCACGCCGACCCAGGCAGAGTTTAATGGAACAGATGGTCCCGGGATAATTTTGGGTGGCGATAACACCGCCTTATCTGTGGTTGGCGGAGTGATCGTAATTGGCGACTACTTCGGCTTTAGATAAACACAGATGCCATCTGCCATGAAGTTGGCAACTGATAATAACCGAGATATGCCTAATCTTGTCTTTGGTTCACGTTATTCATGCAGTTTACAGAGAATTACGCAGTGTCACTGAATGAAATAGTGGTTGGTTGGTTTGTTGTTTAACGCCGCACTCAGCAATATTACAGTTATATGACGGCGGTCTGTAAATAATCGAGTCTGGACCAGACAATCCCGTGATTAATATCATGAGCATCGATCCACGCAATTGGGATCGATGACATGCATCCACCAAGTCAGCGAGCCTGACCACCCGATACCGTTAGTCGCCTTTTACGACAAGCATAGTCACCTTTTACGGCAAGCATGGGTTGCTGAAGACCTATTCTACCCCGGAAGAATGAATTAAATAGTGATAAGCTATTGTAACATTTATAATTGTTCGTAAAGTTTGTGTTGTATATACTGTTAATCTGATAGGTGTCATGCAGCTTTGGGATCTATTCTATGGCTGTATAGTTGCTTGTGCATACGCCCATTGTATTAAATATTGGTTTGTTTGTTGTTGTTTTTTGTTAAACGCGCACTCAGCAATATTCCAGCTATATGATCGCGGTCTGTAAATATCATGACCATCGATCCAGGCAATTTGGATACGATGACATGCATCAACAAAGTCAGCCAGCCAGACCACCCGATCCCGTTAGTCGCCTCTTGCGACAAGCATAGTCGCCTCTTACGGCAAGCATGGGTTGCTGAAGACCTATACTTTACCCGGATCTTCACGGGTCTTGCATTAAATAAGAAACACATCTAGCCATCGAAGGTTATCATTCGGCTTTAATTGTCTCTATTGACAGTGGCATTCATAATCCAAAACAATAATAATCTGTCACGGACTTTTAATCTAAACATTCTTTTCGTAGCTACTAGTATATGAACTAGTATATTGACGATGCGAAAATAAACTTCACCACACTTGAGTAAAACAAGCAGCCATAGTGTTCACATCTCCCCATGTTGACTTCGTGCATATGTATAAAATGAGCATATACCACATTAAAGAGGCATTAAAATATGCAAACATCAAACTAAACACTCATGTACTAAATGTACAGCTCAACATTGAAAACATGAACGTAAAGCTTAGTCAAAACGGGGAATTAAACTGAGTAATTCCCAAACACAAAGAATGTAATGAACTGTGACTTCACTGTGCACAATCCTCTACCGCGGAATGACCGCCTCCGTGGTCTAGTGGTAGAGCGTCCGCCCGGAGAGCGGAAGGTCCGATGTTCGATCCCCTGCCGCGTCACCTAAAAGACGTTTAAATATGGTACTTGTTGTTACCCTGTCTGGCGCTCGGCATTAAGGGGCTAAAACAAGGACTGGTCGATCGGAGTATACTGTGTCTGAGTGGGGTATTCATGTTAAACTGCGGCATGGTATCTCAGTGTGCTAGCACTATAAATCGGCATCAGTCCGGACTAGTACAAGCAGCCACACAAACACACACACGTACATGCACGTCGCTATATAAGTGCAATAATCTTGGACGCGACGTTAAACCCCATTTCACCTCACCTCACCTCTACAACGGAAGATTTGGATCACCAGTCGAGGCCTGTTAGTTATAAGAAATACTCAGTCCACCAGGTGCCTTTGGAAACACGATAGTAATAATGCGCCGAGTGAGAAATCAGACTTACCGGAAGCGCTCGTAAAATATCCGACAAAGCTTTCATGTTTATACGTGAAGCTTTTGTTTGTTTGTCTATTGTTTAACGCCGCAGATCTTCACGGGTCTTCTACATAAAGCGGTGTAGCTGACTCGGTCAAGTGGATAGATTAACATTTGATATATGAAATGTAAATAGTTGAAAGATTTTTTGTTCATTGTCTTTTCATATGTAATCAGAAGGTGCCCAGTAAATCTCTTCATTTTTTTAAATCTGAAGAAATCTAGACTTGCCGAGAATTTGGTAGTTTTCTGATGTTTTAGTTTCCGTGTCTGCTTCATGTTCCGAGTCAAGTGTCCACTGGCCTAAAACAAAGCCTAGTTTCTTCGGAAAGACGAGTCTGCTTGAGAATCTAACAAGTGGGAAATCCCAACCTTTTGGGTTACGATCGCTTTCCCATCTTAATATCTCTCGTTAATACCTTTAACGATTTCGAGAACAAACCCATATTTCTCTTAGGGTTAACAGGCGAACTGGTCAGTTTTGCCAAAGCCTTTCTATACGTATACACTCAAGTTAAAGTTATTGTTAAGCTTTGTGAATAATGTTGACCACATTATCATGTAATGTTGCTTTTCAAATGTTTTCTGGGTTGTCTCGAGTGTAATGCCGGATTCATCGGAAGCACATATTAAATCATCATCATTAATACGAATACGACAGCTGATTTTCTTATATGCAATTCCGGCCAACGTTGCACGTACATAATTACAGTTGAAAAGTGCTTGAAATTCATCACCAATGTCACTACTATCACACAAATTACATTTTCTTACACCAGAAACTGACCATAACTTCTGCGGTCTACTTATACTGCTTGGTGTTGTTTTGTCCGTGTTGGGCACTCTGGGTGACAAGGGGCCACGGGTAGCCCAGTCGTCTAAGGCGCCGCGATTCGCTATACAGAGTTGCGTCCCTTGGGTACGCCATGATTGTGGGTTCGAATCCCGGTACGCACCGATTATATTTCTAGGTTTGTCAGCACTGTACCCGTGCTCGTGGGTTTCACCGAAGTGGTAAACGTCTGAGACCTGCATCACTTCGGGCTTTCCTCCCACATTAAGCTGACACGCCGCGATATAACTCTAATACTGTTAAAAAGTGGCGTTAAACGCAACTCACTCACTCACTCTGGTTGATAACCCTTCTACGTCTGGACAGGGTTTCCCCCCCTCCTGTATTTGTCGACATTATTGTTAATTTGAGTTAAAGAATTATCTAGTCACGCCGAAGGCCTGCATTCATTCTAGTCCTTGGTCGGGTGTCCCCCAGAGAGGGTATGCAAGACCACGTCATTCGTGGTAGTTTTTCTCCACCACAATTTTAATCGTAGAATATATGTTCATTTAACTTTGTCTACATTTGTCAATAATCGCCAACAACTGAAGGGATGGTGTAAATCCGGCTGGGGTCCATGCATGAAGCAAAGGTACTGTAGGTCCCCATGGGCCCTAGTGTGGTAATCTACCTTCAGCTGCTGGAAATCTATAGCCCTTTTTACATACTGTAACATATAGTGATATCTGTTTATGGTTGTATGCTAGTTTTAAATATTAATCTGTGATATTCTTGTTATTTTACTGTCCATCGATTGCGGGTTTTTAATTAACATAAATATATGAATTCTTAATGTAAAATTCCTCGTCAAGATTTGGTTGAAATATTGCCGATGTGACGTAAATATTACTCACTCACTCTGTAAGGGTACAATGTGTGAAGTCATTTTGCCACAGAAGCATGCGATCCTTTCACTCTATTTCCAGACAAATGCAGGGTTATATCATCTCGTGACAGATATACGGAGAGGCGCAACTTGGCGCTAATTTGGCTCTTCGGGAGACCCGGGGGCACGGGTGGCCCAGTCGTCTAAGGCGCTGCAATTCGCTGTGCAGAGTTGCGTCCCTTGGGCACGCCAGAAACTAGCTATGAGGGTTCGAATCCCGGTTGGCCCCGATTATGTTTCTAGGTTTGTCAGCACCATACCCGTGCTCGTGGGTTTCGCCGAAGTGGTAGACGTCTGAGACCCGCATCACTTCGGGCTTTCCACCCACATTAAGCTGACATGCCGCGATATAACTGGAATACTGTTAAAGCGTAGTTAAACCCAATTCACTCACTCACTCTTCAGTAGACCCGGGTTCGATTCCCACATGGACCATGTGAGAAGTCCGTTAATTGGTACCAGCTCTACTGATTTACCAGTGTTGCCTAGTGAGTTTGGTTTTACGCTGTTTTTCACTGAATACGTACGTACGTATTGCGGTTATACCCCGTCATGCTAGCTTAATGATGGGGACAAGGCCGTAGACACTTGCCACTTTGGTGAAACACGCGAGCACTGGTATGGTGCTGGCAAACCATGAATCTGGGATCCGAACCCACGAACAGCTAGTGGCTCCTAATTAGCTGGCGCACCTTAGAACATATAGGTTCTTAAAATAGACACTTGAACATGATTTTCAGATCGTAGCTTGAAGTTTTAAATTTGATAGTTGCTTAGCGATAATTTTAACGTTTATTTGACACATCGAATATCGTTTTATCATGTATATGCGCCATGCTGTTTTCTCATTACTTCACTGGGGCGTGTTTACGTAAGATAACGAGTACACTCAAAATAGGCGACATATATATCTGTATATTGTTGTTTATTTTGGTCTGTAAAACATTCTCTAAAAAATAACCAAATCAAGCCCTTACGTATTACTTAAACCTAACATATATGCCTCTCATTGTGGGGCAAAAAACAAGAGTGTGTACTTTTCTTGCAGGCACGTCTCCAAAGATTACAGCTCATTATATTAATTTTATTTAAAAAAAATGAGCACCTGTATATGTTGGAGAAAATAAAAACATAACTGACCTCCTATTTAAACATGCTGATCCAGAACCTACCCCAACCCCCGCCCCACATCCCTATATGTTTTCCAATGCACAGTATATTTTATACTTAAACTAACCTAATTCAAAAATGAAGAACTATATCAACTGATTCCTCGCAACCGTGCATGCATATAAATGGTTCAGTTCACATAGAAGAGAAGTGTTCAGCTGCCTTTTATCTTTAATCAGCCAGCATTTTTAAAAGATCTAGCTTGCCTATAGCTAGATCTACGTGAAATTTGCAAAGACGCGTTTCTTGTAAATAAACTTATAATGGAACAACGTGCGGTAACCAGGAGGCTAATGAGGGTATATATCGTAGTCTGGCATTAGACTTGTTGATTGACTGTTTCTATAAATATCCCTGGTTCCAGTATCCGAGATATTTCATTTGACGTCACACAGTCTTGTTGTGGGAAATTTGTGAGCAGAAAATGATGATTTCTATGACATACTAGTTTCGTCACAACTTAATACTGTATCCATTAATAATTTCTACACTTGGTAATTAGTGTATGTCACATTTAAAATGCTATTATTTTATGACTCTTGTGTATCCATATGTATATCAGTTACGGAAACTATATCTGAATTTGGGAATGTATTCGTCACTGAAACAACATGTAAATACAGCAGTGTGAAATAGTCGTGTGGTAACTAGTCTCAATAATGCCAATGACCAATAACAGAATTGATCAGAAAAAATAGACAGCTTATTATGGGTTTCTAGCAAACGTTATTGGCAATCTATCGTCGACTGATCTATTTTCAGATCTGTAGGTAATTTTATTTTGTATATAACAACGGATTTCGTGTGCTCTGCCCCATTAAACGGAGCGGCAGTCATGTTGAGCGAAGACAGTTTGCGAACCATCCAGTCCGGTTCTGAAGCAGATCTTACCAAAGTGCTTGAAGCATTTAATTCAGAGGTGAGTTTCATGAAGAATTTTTATAGTGTTAGTCCGTGTACTCCTGTTTTTGTAGCGATATCTATATTAGCGACCGCGCCCAGCTCTTTTGTGCAATTCTGACATGCGATTTTAAGGATTTCTGTTGCAGTGCTTGCAGGTGTCGACCCTAATTGGTTTCCCATGAAATGTTATCCTATCTTTGACAGTTGCTCCTTCATGTTGATCCAGAGTTCAACACATACATAGCACACCAACTGTCTTTGTGTATGTGTAAACGAAGTTTAATCCGGTGTATTACTTTGATCTATCGATCTTATTTGTTACCAGCTAGATCTAGCATAGTTCTTACATGGTAATTTTTTGTTATATTCTGAATTCTTTTTCATCTTGGGTGATTGATGCTGACAAAATTAGAGGTTACAAGTGTTGTGAATGTACATACACATATATTCGCATAATATCAGTGTCAAATGTTTTTGGCATTTCAGTTGTTTGTTTTTTTACCCAATGATATCAGATCGGAGGTATGTTATCAGGGTTATATATTGCTGTTCATGTTGTCGTCCACACAGGTGCTACAGACATGTACCCAAGGCAGCTTTCAGTATGCACAAAAGTACCCTAGCATGGCAAAATATGAAAGGGACGCTCTATTATCACAAAGCACAAAACCAGGTTCGGTTGTGCTGTAACGTAAACTCAGTTGCCTTATGGTGCAATTATGCTGTTCACCATAATACCCTTTAATTCTGACTTTAGCGCCATTAAAATTGCCATGCTAGGGTAAATTTGTGTATACAGAAAGAAACATGGGGTACATTTGTTTAAGGAGAATTGTTTCTAAAAAAGGCCTGTGTCGTATTTAAATACACAATAGACTGGAACCAAAGTAAAAATATATGGAATACCCAAGGAAAACTATTGAAAGATTGTTATTGAATAATCTTGTACATATTGTTTCTGATATGTTTGTAATTAATTGTATGAGCATATGATGATGGCTGTGTTTATCTCCTTTCAGAATGCCCAGACATTCAGCTTCCCTAATGTAACAACTGACTTCAAACAGGTGAGCCACACTGATATATAATGATAGCCCCTGGGAAAGAATGGGTCATTTAATCTACTGTACCCTACTCCAAGCTTGATGGCTGTTTAATTTGGAAATACATGTCTGTCTCTGTCACTCGCTTTTGAACGAAGTAATCATAATAGGATAGACTAGAAGATTCAACTTTAGAATTACGTGGATTTATTTGCAGAAATGCGTGCAGACAATCACAGGTCGCCTGAAGGGGGCACTGTCGTCCAAGTGTCAGATTCTGTGCCTGCAGGCTCTTAGGATCTACAGTCGTGAGAAGGAAAGGATGGAGGTACTGACGTCGGATGAAACCCTGGAGCTCCTGGTCAAGCTGTCCGGGCTGCAGTACTACGCAGAAGAGGAAGGGGAGGGTGTCACTATCCAAGATGGAGACCAAGATGGTGAGAACCACATATTTTGTGATCATGTAAACGTTCATCCTGACAATTAAGACACAATATAAAGTTGAACCTTGTTGCGTTGAACTTGTGGGGACCAGGAGTTATCCGGGCTTCGAGGCAACTCTGGATTTTAAGGCATACATGCAGCCCAGACTATTGACAGTCAACTCAGGCGAAGCATCAATGACACTGTCACTGTTTGGATCAGCGTCGTTGTATGAGTCGATTGTCGAATAATAAATTCCCTAACATAATCTTAATCTGTTTGAAAGTTTGCAACTGTGGGTGTGTGGACGTTATTTTTTATTTTGAACTGTTTGAGTCATCTGGGGAATTTTATGCATAATTTGGATACTTGAGACTCCCAAATGAGTTCAAGACAACCGGCACTTTGCCACATCCAGTTCAACAGATCCGAGTATAAATGATGATAAATATATAAAGGAGTTGTGATGTTAGAAGGTAAGTTTCAGACACCTGGGAATTTAACACATCCACTTTCTACACGAAGTTCAAGTGTATGTTGTTTTGCAGATCTTTTATCACGATAAGGAGGTCCTCTTAATTTCATGTCTGTAGACAACTTGGTGGACTAATTGGGGATTGTTTGTTCACAATGTCTGGCGAGTATGAATTGACCCGTGAAGATGTGGGTTTGAAATGGTCTTCAGCAACCTGTGCACGTCGTAACAGGTGACTAACAGGATCGGGTAGTTAGGCTTGCCGAATTGGTTGATGCATGTCATCTTATCCCAATTGTGTAAATCGATGCTCATGATGTCAATCACTGGATTGTCTGGTCCAGAATTGTTTATTTACAGATCACGGTCATACAGCTGGAATATTGCTGCGTGTGGCGTTAAACAACAAACAAACAAACAAATTGGTTTGAATTGACCTTAGGTATGATAGGAAATCATAAGGGGACCAACTTCATTGTAACCAGACTCATTGTGTTGGGCAAAGTTCATTAATTTGAAAGTGTTTTCATATGTATGTGTAAAACATTGAACATGTTGAACATGTTGAAAGCAATCAGACGTTTATATTTTATTTTCAGTGATGGTTGAAAGCCAGAAATGCCTGTGCAATCTCATCTTCAACAGTACAGTTGCTCAAAGATACTGCAGGTGAGTCATCTTCCTAACATGTACTTTGATTGGCCACTGCTTTGTTCTCAGCTCAACTCTGTAGACGCGTGATTGGTTGACTGATGATAATAACTATTTATTGTTTCAGTGAAAAGGGATGCATCGTTGGCTTGGTGCAGAGATTGAAAACATACGGTGACCCTGACCTCAACTATGAGATAAAGGTATTTCCTCTTGAGTGACCTGATATATTTTAGTTTTACAGCATATTATCAGTTGTAGCATCATCACAAGGGGCACATGGGGTTTTGTGCGTCCCTCGTTAGGTTTTATGCCACTCGCCTCAGTCTCGTGGTATAAGACCTGACCCTAGTGATCATGCTACAACTATTAACATGCGGGGTATAACATATTTATTCGCCTCCTGAGAAATTTATTTCCCTCCAAGGTGGGATACATAATATCTTTTATCAGGATCACGTGGACCAATCAGATCTCATCACTCTCACATGGAGGTATGATAATAATTCTTTGTAATATTTTACCTGCTATGTTGACTATAAAGCGTGTATATAGAGGTTCTCATGCAAGTGTGTTTTGGGATAGTAAATAATAGGGATTTACCTGGATCTACATATTTGGAGTCCAGGGGACCAATTTTAGGGTTCCAAGACATGACTATTATGGTCCAAGGCTGGTAACCTGTGGCATGCTTCATTTGATTTCCAAGAACTTTATCATTGCACATAGTCATAAACGTGTCATAGATGTCAGATTAATTGATGAAAGTCACCTGTTGACACCCTAAACATGTCCTCTATGATAATATTAATAAAGTTAATGATTCAAACAGCCATATGTTTTTGTGTCCCACAGGACTCGGTATAAATTGTTTCAGTCTAATCTCAATTTGTATGCGATAAGACATTGAAGGTCCTGTGTTAGGAAGAAATATTGTAACCACTGAGCCTAGCGTCCTGACTAAATGGCTTCACAATTTCTGTCTCCAGCGTTTCCTACGTATTGGAGAAATGCCTCGAATCTGTTAATTCTGGAAGGGAAGCAGAGAGAATTGATTTTACTTCCAGAATCAACAGATTTGAGTGATTTCTCCGACTTTAGATATTGTATGCCATGTCACAGTTGATATATACTTTACTGTAAATCTTGAAATTAACTCATGCATGAATTAAATGCGAAAAATGCGAGTGGTCTTTGGTTGCATTAACTAAACTTTGCATTTATGTCTCCAAAATGACTATCAACAATGAGACGGCCTCATGGCACACTTTTGATAGCGGAAATACCAACTTGAATATTAACACAAACAACCATATATTCAGGGGCTATTTGCTGTTTGATTGGATTAAGGTAAGGTTGGATTAAGGTAAGGATATATATCATTCCACTGGGTATGGTGGGTTGGGTGTCAGGGGGAGGAGTGTCACATTAATAATGAGCCACATTTTTGGGTAGGGGTCAGCAGTCCTATTAATTTGGAGATGCATTAATTTCAAGATTTACAGTAATTTCTCTATGAATTTGCATAATGACCTACAGTTGTGTCCGTTTTGCTTGTATTTAATTCTGAATGGCAGTGATCTTCTGAGAATCAACAACAACAACAATAGTGTGACGTCATCATGATGGTTCAGTGTTGTAAAAGGCCTCACCTACGTCCTGTTACTTAATGATTCCTGTTGGTAACCAAGGCAACTGGTTTTCTGAGTATGTCTGACCGCCTCCCTGGTCTAGTGGTAGAGCGTCCGCCCGGAGAGCGGAAGGTCCGGAGTTTGATCCCCTGCCGCGTCATACCAAAAGATGCTATAAGATGGTACTTGTTGTTACCCTGTCTGGCGCTCGGCATTAAGGTGCTTAAGCAAGGACTGGTCGGCTCGGAGTCAGTATACTGTGTGTGAGTGGGGTATTCATGTTAAACTGTGGCATGATATCTCAGTGTGCTAGCACTATAAATTGGCATCAGTCCGGACTAGTACAAGCAGCTACACACATACACACACACACATGTCGCTATATAAGTGCAATAATCTTGGACGCGACGTTAAACCCAATTTCACCTCTGAGTATGTCCACATTTTACATCAATGTATTTTTCTGTTGCAGTTCTTTGACATGAGAATGTTGTTTCTCTTGACTGCCTTGCCAACATGTATTCAGACCAGGTACTTGATCTTTACATAGACACCTGATTGTTTTGTGTTCCTTATGCAGTGTTCGAAATTAAGCATGAAAATCAAGGGATTCTTGTCCTAACTCTAATGGTAGTTTAAGGGATCCCTGTTTCAATACTAAAGCAGAAAACCTCATGGCACTGAGGGACCCCTATTTTTCCAACACTGATTTGAAACCTAAGACATGGGTAAGAGAAGTTTGAATATTTTGTACATATCTTTGTAAATATACTATACCAGTCTTTGAAAGGCATTTTGAAGTGGAACACATAAGGAAGAGAATTTATTGAGATATTGTCGATGTTCTTCAGTATAAAGAAGTATACATCCATACATTCTCTTCACTATACCAGTGTTTGAAATTATGCATGAGTCAAAGGGCTCTTGTCATAGCCCTAATGTTAAAAAGTAAAGCGTTAATGGTATAGCGTTAACACCCTAGGACCCCTTAACTTCGAACACTGCTATACTAAAAAATACTATTGGTATGTAATTCTATATGATGGTAATAACAACCATTTTAGGTTTTCGTTCTATATTATCTTCAGATTTGAATTGCTTTTGTAAGAAGTCATTTAGTTGGTAACTAAGATGGAAAACTGTACCGGCTATGTTCACTTGACTGTCTTCTGTGACGTCCAAGACCTGCATCACTTCAGGCTTTCCTCCCACATTAAGCTGACACGCCACGATATAACTGGAATACTGTTAAAAGCGGCGTTAAACCCAACTCACTCACTCACTCACTCACTGTCTTCTGTGACTTGTTTGCTCCTAAGCATATTGACAACTGGTAACATTTGCCTTCATGATAGAAGGGGGGCGGTCGGGTTGCCTAGTGGTTAAAGCGTTCGCTCGTCACGCCGAAGACCTGGGTTCGATTCCCGACATGGGTACAATGTGTGAAGCCCATTTCTGGTGTCCCCCGCCGTGATATTGCTGGAATATTGCTAAAAGCGGCGTAAAACCAAACTTACTCACTCACTCATGATAGAAGGGTTATTGAACTAGAGTTATAGGTCAGTGGCTAAACCTAGAAAGTATTGCTGTTATAGTTCTTTAATACAGTTGCTGAACACTGCCCTGTTTGTATTGCATCCAAGGAGTGTTACTTTGTTACTATACCATGTGACCGCCTCTTGGTCTAGTGGATAGAGCGTCTACCCAGAGATTGGAAGGTTGGTGGTTCAATCCTTGGCCGCATTATACCGAACAACATTAAAAGATGGTAATTGTTGTTACCCTGCCTGGAGCTCGGCATTAGGGGGATAACTCAAGGAGTGGTCTTTTTGGAGTCAGTATACAGTTTGTGAGTGGGTTATCCATCTTAAACTGTGGCATGATACTTTAGTTGATTAGTGCCATAAAACTGGAATTCCGGACTCGTACAATCAGACACCCACACTCATGCATATCACTAAGTTCAAATATCTTTTTTTTTTCAATTTTTTTTTTCAATCATTTTACATTTATTTGATAAATGTGACATTCAATATCAAATATCTTGAACGTGACATTAAACCCCATTTCACCTCACCTTTATTGTACCATGTCTGTGACTATCCTTCAGACCAAAGATCCGGTATGAACTTCATGGCTTCACGTATCTGATGGAGGTGCTGGACCTCACACTGCGAGCTGCGGAGGAGAAGAGGACAGGGCTTGGTGACCAGGATGTCGACCTGTGTAGCGAAATCCTCAAGATCCTCTTCAACCTCACGGTGGCTGTTGAGAAGAAGTCTGCAGATGAGGTGAGTCTAGAAAAAGGTGGGGTGGTGGGTTGGCTAAGTGATTGAGGAACTGACTTGTCAAGCTGAAGGCCTGAGGTCCATTCCATTACCCACATGGGTACAATGTGTGAAGCCTATTGCTAGTGACCCCTCCAGTGATGTGGTTGAATATTGTTAAACTCCCTGACTCATTTACTCGCCAGACAGAAGCTGAGTCATGTCATGGCTGACTCGTTGGTTTATATAAAAGTTGAGATACATACAGCTTGGTTGTTTAATGCCTCACTCAGCAGTATTCCAGCTATATGACGTCAGTCTGTGAATAATCGAGTCTGGACGAGACAATCCAGTGATTGACACCATGATCATCGATCCACGCAATTGGGATACGATGACATGCTGTTCACACAAGGCATTGACTTTCAAGGCCTGCATCGTGAAGGCTGGGATTTTTATTGATCAATGCAAGATCATCTTTGAGACACTAACAGCCTTTTACAAATTCTGCAATAGGGGAGATAATGGATTAAGGGGAGATAATTCTTAAACAGTTTCCATTCATACTGAAGTTTTGACAAATAGCATTTGCAAGCCTCCAAGGGTTGTTATGCCTCTAAAATAATTATTTGGATAGTTTTTGTTGAGAAAGTCTCACTGTTTTTTTAGTTTCATAGGAAAACTGAGCTCACTTCTTTGAAGGTCCAATTTATTAAGATTTTAGACTATCAGTTTGCTGTTCTAGGGAAAATTAATCATGTGGATTGATATAATGTACAATAATGAAACAGTATTAGTATTATTTTGACATGTTAGAAGCTTCATTAAAGTTAAAGTCAAACTGACATACAGTTATTTTGATAAAACTTGCATCAGTAGTAATGTGTAAACTATGTACTGCAACACACAACTCCGTGGTCTAGTGGATAGATCATCTGTCCTGAGAGCAGAAGTTTGGTGGTTCAATCCTTGGACATGTCATACCAAAAGACGTTTACCCAATGAAAAATGTAATAACCCAATTTAGAGAGAAATCTTCGAGTAAAAACTCAATTGCTAAAAAAGTTAAGTGTATTGAGTCCAAGATAATTCATTTTTTATATTTTTTATTGACCTTCCTACTCCTTGTGATAACATCTACAATGCAATTGCTACAATTGAAGAGAATTGAAACAGAACGAGATCAACGCCCTGCCTGCAAAGATTGCAGACATATTTTCTCCACTGCTGATCCACATGATCTGTTGCCTTCCAGACCACAAGTGTTCCCATCATTCCCACCTCTCAGAGGAAGTCTTTCTATATCTAGGCTAGTGTCATTGACCAACGATCTAAATCTTGGGATGTTGAGCATGGGCCTTCCTCCATGAGGAAGCCTAAACGCGTCACCATACTGGCTGTCCCCTCCACTGTAACAGCCCTGAAACCACTTGCGTCTAACATCACTTCCCTGTTGGTTGAGGACAGTGGCGTGTCTGACAGTGTTCTTTATGATGACGTTCCTGCCAAAACAAACCAGCCATCAGTCCTCAGTTCATCTGCAACCACGTCTACACTGCAACAATCTATCTCATCGGACGTTTGCACAGTCATGTTGAAGGACAGCTTGACTACGTCAGCCTTGACAGTCCATACAGTCAACCCTTCTTGCATTTCATGGACATCAGCAGAATCATCCCCAGCTCCTCAACGTGATGTCCATGGATTGATCGACTAAGTTCGCCTTCTACTTCTACTAAAGAGCCACAGAGCAGAGATCCAATTTGCTCTGACAAGGATCGCCGTGCTTCCTCTAAGAGCCATCGCTTGAATGATCAATGATCTTGTGATATCTCTTCTAAAGGTTGACATTTAAAGCATCGACTTTCGGGTTGTAAAGGCCGATGTTCCGGGGACTGACGCTCTGGTTCAACAGGTTGACGTTCCAGATGTCAAGGCTCTTTTCCAATGGACACTCATCTGGATAGACACTCGGACAGTCGATCCACATCACGGTCTACGTTTCCGGCTTCACACCACCTAAGACCCTGGCTGTGGCAGCTCCTGCTACAGAGGCTCTTCCATCTGCCTACCTCATGGAACCATCATGACCAGACCAGTGTTTCGACACCTGACTGAGTTGCTCCTACAGACCACAACTTCTGCTCTACAGCATCATACTGGTCCGCCCTTGATACCTCCTCGGGACACTAAGACTCTCTCGTCGGCCATTGAACAGGTAGATCAGGTCGGCGTGAAGCTCAGGATGATCTCCAATATCAGCTGCATTCTTGCAAGACATCTACTTCGATTGATCAAGACCACATTGTCAATCTCAACCTGCAGGACGCGTACCTACACATACCCATCCACCAGGAGCACCGCCATTTCCTCTGGTTCATTTTCCAAGGCCACAACTACCAAATCTGTCCCCATGGATTTTTACCCATATTACCAAGCCAATCACAAAGTTCCTGCACACCCAAAGAATCTTCCTTGAAGCGTACATCCTCATGCGTCATCTAGAACTTACACAGCAGCGTCTCCATCAGCTTGGCTGATACGACTTTCCCTCAACCGACCTTCTACCTTGAGTCATTCCCAAGGTGATGTCCGCCAACCAACTTTGACTTCTGTCATCTCACCCTATTGATCAGCTCGAATTTGCTTCTCAGCATTGGTAATAATTCCACCATCTTCCTATGCAGGATGAACTTCTCCACCTCACTCCCGCCTCCTGTAGTTGTCGCTTGGAACCCTACATCTATCACTGAGGCGCATTATACTTCCACCAATATCTTGGCACCCGTGAAGATCGTGGATAGAATAAGTCTTCAGCAACCCATGCTTGCAGTAAAAGGCGACTAAGTTTGTCGTAAGAGGCAACTAACGGGATCGGGTGGTCAGGCTCGCTGACTTGGTTGATGCATGTCATCGATCCCAATTGAGTGATCGATTATCATGATATCAATCACTGGATTGTCTGGTCCAGACTCGATTATTTACAGACCGCCGTCACATAGCTGGAATATTGCTGAGTGCGGCGTAAAACAACATACCAACCAACCAACCAAGATCTTGGATCGACTCGGAACTCAAGGGCTCCACTTATGCTTCTTACCTTGCGCAAACAACTCTGTCATTACCACTATAACCGTATCTAAGATCTCCACGGTTGCTGAGCTACAGTCCCTCATTCAGTCCTACAAGTTGGTGGACCACTTGTCTTGATTTCAACCACCCACTTGGGACCTATTCACAGCATCCTTCGTCATCTGACTTTGGCAGAGAATGGACCACTTGATGAGAAGGACTTTGAGTTGTTCACCCTTTAACAGCTGCTACATCGAGTGAGATCCACGTTCTCAGTGGGATATCTGGGATAACCAGATCGTCCATCCTCAACACAGATGACCTAATGCCAGATGACCTTCAAGCTCTCCACATCTAGCGGCGGTACAGCCACTTCGGCGTGGATGTAAGAGACTCTTCATCCCACTTTCTACAGTGGCCACAACGGAAGTTTCCCATACCACAGTCTCCTTTTGGCTCCATTCGACTACCCTTCAAGCTTACACCTTGCTGGATTGCCTCCTGTGACATCCAATCCACATGAGACTAGAGCCCTCACTTCTACCCTGGCCTTGCACAGCAATTGCCCCCAGTTGTTGTTACCCTGTCTGGCGCTCGGCATTAAGTGGCTAAAACAGGACTGGTCGGCTCGGAGTCAGTATACTGTGACTGAGTGGGGTATTCATGTTAAACTGCGGCATGGTATCTCAGTGTGCTAGTACTATAAATCGGCATCAGTCCGGACTAGTACAAGCAGCCACACACACACATATACACGTGCATGCACGTAGCTATATAAGTGCAGTAATCTTGGACGCAACGTTAAACCCCTTTTCACCTCACCTCACCTCACCAGTTGGATCCCTTGGTGCTGGCGTAACAGCTGACGACTGCCCATCAATGCAGATAGATGATACCGTACCAGCACCTGGTCGCCAGTACTTTGTATCCTGTATTTACAGAATAAATATTGGAATCGGCACTCCTTTGTTTATAGTCATCATTATTCTGGTTCCCAGACTGAGTATCCAGTAGTGGTTGATTGACCTTGTCTATAGAGACTCTGGTCTACAACATAGATGTCGCCACAAGGCAAAGCCGTTTCGACGGTGTCCTAAACCTTTACCTGCCCACCTCTGCTTTAGGTCTCTGCTTTAGGTACATGCTTCCATAATGTTTTGAAGATCCTCTTGTGGATGATGTCAATCTTCCCTCTTCTCGTCTTAGCATGCTTCAATCCCACGGGCATGATCGATAGCTTTGACAAAGTTCTAAAAGAGATGCCAAGCTGGCTCTCCTGTCTGTTGGAAATAGAGATGTGGTTCTATTGTAGAACTGATTGGCTGGAGACCCCTTCCAGATTGGTTATAAGTAGCAAGCTGAATAGATCTCTTCATAGCATCGCGATCTATCTTGTATCAATGACCTAGGTGAAAACATGTGACACATGTTATACCTGTTCTCATATTACGTCCTACTAGTGTAAATGGGTTACATCGCCTACTATGGCCACTCAAAAGTTCTTGTCTTTACGAAATGCGACAGTATTATGACTTGTTTGTGTCACTGTTTAGCACCACTGTACCCCGTGTACTTCTCATGGTTGTAGATTACTTAGGCCAGGGTATCTGTCCAACCGTGGGATAAATGCATGGTGTGAGACAGGATTATGTATGACCATCCCTGCATCACAGCTCCTCTAGCTTGTCAGATCTAAGAAAGGGAATGAAGTGGCAGAGATAGCCATGTGTTTAGGTCAGGACAGGTTTATAGTGTCCCATTTGTATGGGTAGTGACCATGGTGATACTGGGATGTGTTCGCGTGAATTATTTTTTTGAAGCTGAAAACTTTTGTTCAAGCATGTTTCCATGTTGGTTTGAAAGAAGGAGAAATGCATAGTGTGAGATAGGATCAGTATTATCAATGTACAATTTAATGTAAAATTTACAAACTGTTCAATAATCAGCATACTTAGATTTCTAGTATTTCCCGCTTGGCAATAAATAGCGTAACATTCACACTGCCCTCCAGCCTATATGGTAACTGCCCTGCAATTTCCTATCTTCAATCTCAGAAATTTAACAACAAATGATTCAGGGTTGTTATTCACATGTTAACAGAAAGCAGTCAACTTATGACAGAAAAGTACTGTATTAGATATGAATCGTATTGCACCCATAGTTTTGGAATAACCTCATTGTACTGTATTGGATAGGAAACCAATCGTATCACTCCTATAGTACTGTTACACCTCTACACACTAGACTAACACTGTACTTGAATGTTGCAGGAGGAAGAGGCCCACTTCATGAGGCTGGTGAGCGTGCTGCGGGATCTGCTCATGTGCACCACCATCTCTAAAGACAAACAGGAGGAACTTCACAGGTAAATGATGGACTGAGGTGTTTTTTTATTTCCCCATCCCCCCCCCACCCCCTCATCAGAAACTGTAGTGGATGAGTGTGTAGTGGCCATAAAACCATGAACGTTTTGTTCCAAAGTCTGATGCTTTGTCCACATGACCAAAGGGGCCAACCCTGTCACCAAGCTGACAAGGCAAGGTAGGGAATGTCCTCTGTGGGATAACTCCATGCCCTGCTACTCTGACATGGTAAGGACATGATCCTTGGGATATCTCACAGCCCTGCTACATTGACAAGGTAAGGACGTCATCTGTGGGATATCTCACAACACTGCTACACTGACAAGGTAAGGACGTTGTCTGTGGGATAACTCCATGCTTTGCTACTCAGACAAGGTAAGGACGTCATCTGTGGGATATCTCACAACACTGCCACACTGACAAGGTAAGGACGTCATCTGTGGGTGACTCCACACCCTGCTACACTGACAAGGTAAGGACGTTGTCTGTGGGATATCTCACAACACTGCTACACTGACAAGGTAAGGATGCATCTGTGGGATCTCACAGCCCTGCTACACTGACAAGGTAAGGACGTCATCTGTGGGATAACTCACACTCCTGCTACACTGACAAGGTCAGGACGTCATCTGTGGGATATCTCACACTCCTGCTACTCTGACAAGGTCAGGACGTCATCTGTGGGATCTCACAACACTGCTACACTGACAAGGTAAGGACGTCATCTGTGGGATCTCACAGCCCTGCTACATGCTGAATATGATGACATTCCTTGTCCCATTGTCTGGAGCTGAATTAATAGGAAAGGTGAGGTGGTGGCACAGGGTGCCCAAGTGCTGTCTCACTGAAAGGATTTGCAGTTTGTAGGTTTGAATCCAAGATGCACAGCTACAGGCCATTCTCATTGGTTTCTCTAAGGTGAAGTGACTTTAAGCTTATTTTAAGGCTACTTTAAGAAGTTCTTTTTCACAACCACATGTAGTGAATGTTGTTAAAATGTTGATGTTTTCAGCCACACAGTCAACCTCCTCATCAACATCCCCGTAGACTTCTACGAGGAGTTGCTGACCCCGCTCAATGAGAGTGATGTGCGTGGTGTCGAGAACAAAGACGTTGAATATGATGGCAAAAACATGGAGGCTATCATTGTCCTCATTGAATTTCTCAGTAAAAGGTTGGATAGGGTGAGCATGAGGTTCAGGTTTTTTTCGCTATTTTAACATTGTCACTGAATCTGTGTGACTAGTTCATACAAATTATTATGTTCTGATAATATATAAGGTGTTTAACATTTTATAAAAGGTATGCTTAATTTTACATTAAAATGTCATCATGATTGACTTGAGTCCACAAAGGCTTACTGGATTTGTCACTTGACCTTCGTTGTGTCCCTTTGACAAGTCAGGATGTGCTGATCACATCATATGAATAATGATTCCTGATCTGTCAGGATTGTACTTGTGCTTGTTAGATTTAAGTGGTAAACTTTAATGTTGCTGCAGTTGAAACCCAAGACAGTTGTTCTATTTAAAAGAACATTATTTTTTAGGAATTCACTGCTGATTTTCAGCCTTCGTAAAAATTAGATATTTTCTGTTCTTGAATCTGATGTGGTTTCAAATGACATTTATTATTTTGTCCATTGACTGCAGCCATCCAAGAGTCTTAAGGAGAGCCTGACCCCGATCCTCCACTGTCTGTGTGAAGCCTGCAGACACAACCGCTCAATAAGAAAGTTCTGCAGGACAAAGGTAAGTTGGAATGTCATTACTCTGACAAATCTGTAGCTGGCACCAACACTCCCTTCAGACTCAGGGTCTTTTCTGGTGAGGAATGTAATCTATAAACTGTAGCTGGCGCCAACTCTCCCTTCTGACTCAGGGTCTTTGTTCTGGTGAGGAATGTAGACTATAAACTGTAGCTGGCGCCAACTCTCCCTTCAGACTCAGGGTCTTTGTTCTGGTGAGGAATGTAGACTCCAATCTTTAGCTGGGGCCAACTATCCCTTCAGACTCAGGGTCTTTGTTCTGGTGGGGAATGTAGACTATAAACTGTAGCTGGCGCCAACTCTCCCTTCAGACTCAGGGTCTTTATTCTGGTGGGGAATGTAGACTCCAATCTTTAGCTGGCGCCAACTATCCCTTCAGACTCAGGGTCTTTGTTCTAGTGGGGAATGTAGACTATAAACTGTAGCTGGCGCCAACTCTCCCTTCAGACTCAGGGTCTTTTCTGGTGGGGAATGTAGACTATAAACTGTAGCTGGCGCCAACTCTCCCTTCAGACTCAGGGTCTTTGTTCTAGTGGGGAATGTAGACTATAAACTGTAGCTGGCGCCAACTCTCCCTTCAGACTCAGGGTCTTTTCTGGTGGGGAATGTAGACTATAAACTGTAGCTGGCGCCAACTCTCCCTTCACACTCAGGGTCTTTGTTCTGGTAGGGAATGATGACTTTAAACTGTAGCTGGCACCAACTCTCCCTTCAGACTCAGGGTCTTTGTTCTGGTGGGGAATGTAGACTATAAACTGTAGCTGGCGCCAACTCTCCCTTCAGACTCAGGGTCTTTGTTCTGGTGAGGAATGTAGACTCCAATCTTTAGCTGGCGCCAACTATCCCTTCAGACTCAGGGTCTTTGTTCTAGTGGGGAATGTAGACTATAAACTGTAGCTGGCGCCAACTCTCCCTTCAGACTCAGGGTCTTTTCTGGTGGGGAATGTAGACTATAAACTGTAGCTGGCGCCAACTCTCCCTTCAGACTCAGGGTCTTTGTTCTAGTGGGGAATGTAGACTATAAACTGTAGCTGGCGCCAACTCTCCCTTCAGACTCAGGGTCTTTTCTGGTGGGGAATGTAGACTATAAACTGTAGCTGGCGCCAACTCTCCCTTCAGACTCAGGGTCTTTGTTCTGGTAGGGAATGATGACTTTAAACTGTAGCTGGCACCAACTCTCCCTTCAGACTCAGGGTCTTTGTTCTGGTGGGGAATGTAGACTTTAAATTGTAGCTGGCGCCAACACCCCTTCACACTCAGGGTCTTTGTTCTGGTAGGGAATGATGACTTTAAACTGTAACTGGCACCAACTCTCCCTTCAGACTCAGGGTCTTTTCTGGTGGGGAATGTAGACGATAAACTGTATCTGACTCCAACTCTCCCTTTTAACTCAGGGTCTTTGTTCTGCAAAACATGTGTGCTTGTGTTCAGATACAGCCCTATGAATTCCAATTCCACATAACCATGACTACGCATGTGCTTGTGTTCAGATACTGCCTCATGACTTCCAATACCACATAACCATGACAACACATGTGCTTGTGTTCAGATACTGCCCCATGACTTCCAATTCCACATAACCATGACAACACATGTGCTTGTGTTCAGATACTGCCTCATGACTTCCAATTCCACATAACCATGACAACACATGTGCTTGTGTTCAGATACTGCCCCATGACTTCCAATTCCACATAACCATGACAACACATGTGCTTGTGTTCAGATACTGCCCAGTGACTTCCTATACCATATAACCATGACAACACATGTGCTTGTGTTCAGATACTGCCCCATGACTTCCAATTCCACATAACCATGACAACACATGTGCTTGTGTTCAGATACTGCCTCCGCTGCGGGAAGAAGTAAAGAGGCTGCCGGAAGAGGGGGACTCCCTGAGGAACAGGTGAGACCCAGACATAGTGCAAAGACATTTGAGTCTATGTGCCCGAACTCGACTCTTTGCAACATATACAGTAGCAGGGATAATTCTAGGGTGGGGCCTTGTGCTTTTGGCCCTAAAACTTTCAGATACAATGGGGCATTTAAGCATTGTGCTGTATGGGTAAGTGTGGGACTACCTCTTAAATATTTTAAATTTTCACATAAAGAGCCTATGTCAGAAAATTCCTAGAGTGAACCAGAGCTCCAGATAAGCTTTTGGTGTTGTGGGTATTTTACCCATGCATTTTAAAATCATTGGGTATCAGTAATTATCTCTGGGTATTCATATTTCCATTACAATAGTTTTTACACAGTTGGGTATTTAAGTTGAATATTTAAAAACACTATTCATCTAGTCCCTGCAAACTGGTGTCGTGTGGGTTCGAGAGCTTTATAGGACTCAAAAATACCACGATACTTCCACAAGAAAGTGTAATGGCAAATGATCATGATGTAACTGTCATCGTGGAGTTTGGCAAGGTTGACGGAATGTCCATATATAATTTCAAAATAAGTTGCTGATTTGCTAATCGAATACGCAGGGTTATTTCACAATATTTTGATGATACGCACAAGTTATATTTTTGGAGCGTATCTGTAATGTTCGTTGCGTAATTGATAAGCTTGAATTTGATTTTACTGCGTATTTCTGCATTTCTGATGCGTATTTTACGCAGATACGCAGCTTATCTGGAGCTCTGGTGAACCCTGCAGTAGGTTATGTTAGTTCCAGACTGTTAAACAAACCTCTGTGGAGTTTGGACATTACATCTTGATGTAAAAGTTACATGCCCTGAAAGCATGTGAATGCATTAAATTACAATGTATGAATTATCTGACAATGTGTTGTTTGTTTCAGATTGTGTAAACAGTTGACTTCTCCTGTCACAGAAGTTAAAGACTTAGTTGCTCACTTCATGTTTGTGTTGTGTAAAGAGAATGGTAGGTACAAGTGATCCATTCAGTTTCCAATACTCACCTCATCCTCACCATCTCAGCTCCTGTAGCTAGAAATATTGTCTCTACCCAACTTGTTTTAACATAATTTGTTTTTTTAAGAAAGTATACAGTCAAGTCCCGTTAATCCGACATGGTTGGTTGCATATGATTAGATTGGATTAACGAATATGTCAGATTAACGAATATGTCGGATTAACGAGTATGTCGGATAAATGAAACTTAAGTAGTATTATCGTTCGTGATCGGAAATCGGACAACTACATGATAGATAACGATACAAACACGTAATGAAAAATGAAATATTCATATTGTTATGTTACATTGTCAGCAGAATATCTTTTCTAAATATGCAACCTCTAAAGTTTAACACAAACTACTGTTACGGATTGTATGACTTATTCAAAATACTTTAAAAAGCATTGTCTGGAATGGAAGTCGTCAGTTTGAAACTGGTGCCGCAAGGCTCAAGAAGGCGGCTTTCTTAATGGCCAATGTTGACTTCCTGTTAGTCATTTCATTGGTCGGTCATAGTTCGTGAAAGGTCATACTGATGTGACCTGTAATGGGATGTCCTCAGCGGTAGCGAGAACTTGTATCTGATTTTAATGAGATTGGGGTAATCTAAGCATGTGATTAATCCTGATTTGTTTAGTTAAAGCATTAATTGTTTATTGTTAAGCAAGTTTATCTCTGCAGCCGTTGTAATATGCAGCTACCAGCTGACTCATCTCTCATCAAAACACGGGCTGTGTACTGGCAGGCAGATGACCACTAAGTACATTGATCACTGTGTCGGACTAACGAGACTGATTTATGAGTGATTTTATTAATTCGTTGCAAATTAGGTGTGTCAGAGTCGGAGTGCAAGACTGTTGGATTAATGGGTCTAAATAGCACTGATTTGATCATTCATTTTATTTCCAATACATATAGGCCACAAGCCTTTGTGTACAAAAGTTGAGTACAGACAGGTTTTAAGCTTTTAGTTTCCCATTTCTTACTACATTTGCATAATATAGATATTTTGCTAGATTTGTAATAATATATGTATCTGGTGATGACAGAAGCATATTAAATTTATGGTTGTTAGGATGACAATAGAAATTTGCTTTGAGATATAGTTGCCGTAACTTGACATACGATGGACAAATAAGCAGGAAGTGGTACTCGGTTTCAACACAGTCTAATTTACAAAGTTTGCATTTTCTTAAATTTCTTGGATTTTATAATGACGTCCATTCTCAATTTCCAAAGTATGACAACTCAGTCTGAATCTTGTGAGGGTTGTTTTCATATTTTGCGAATTTGAGAATGACAAATAAGGTTCACATTTAACATAAGTTTTAAAACAAGAATAATATGACATTTTTTAACTTGCATTTTTGAACTGATTTGATCGATTCCCATCATTAGTGTCTGAGTGCGTCTGTTGTTGCAGTGAATCGTATGGTGAAGTACACAGGTTACGGCAACTGTGCTGGGCTGCTGGCGCAGTTCGGTTTGCTCAAGCTGGACCAGGGGAACCCCAAGGGAGACTACTCTAGCGACTCTGAGGACACGGACACAGAGGAGTACTCAGAATTGAAAGACCAGTATGGATATCATTGTTTATTTCTATATTTTATATTTGCAGATAAATAGCCATGATATACATGTAGCCCCATGTGATCAGGGGATGGTGGGATATTTTGAATCATTTGAAATAGAAGATATTATACAGTATAAAAAAGATCGGATAAGGTAGATGAGAAAGTGGATAGGAGAGGGGGAGATAGATATAGAAGATAGTGGTATTTTATGTTTCTAGATATGCAGCAATACCAAACCATTTGTTTATAATGAAATTTTTGAACCAGTAGGAATATCTGTTGCACATGTATTGTTTAGTAACTAAATAATGTAAATGGATGTAGGGTTTGGGATTTTTAGTGTGCCCAGGATCATGATAATGTTTAAAAAAATGTCAAGTCAGTACCTTGAGCTTATAAGGAGATATATAACTTTATGGATAACAACTTCTGGTCGTCTTCCTGTGGCAAGAGAGTTAACTGACTATGAAAGTCCAGTTTCCCCTCTTGCCGTACTAGGCTGGTATTATGGAGCTTCATTTTGGCTGGACTAATGTATAGTCCAATCAAAATCGCGCACTGAAATCGAAATCAGGTTCATAAACCGTCATGCAGATTTTGGTCGATTGCAGGATTTGCGAAGCTTGTGCACTGCCAACTTGTTGTCAGCAGATATTTTCCAAATCTTTTCATGTTTTTAATCAAGGTGCTCACGTGATTTGAGGCATTTCGCGATGTAAGACCCCTTTTATCACAATATAGATCTTGATTATCGATCAGATCATCCTGACTGGGTGCCACCATTTTGTGTGAAGCAAACGCAAGTGATACGTAAGGTGGAATTTGATTGGTTCATAGGAGAGGCATAGAAGGGACATAACTGGTAATAGCCACTGGTGGCGCTCCGATCGAGCCCAGTAATTCCAGCCTAGTTTGGCAAGGGTGGAAACTCGTCTTTTAAAGTCAGTGAACTCTCTTGCCTCGGGAAGATGCTCCTAGTTTGTTGCCTATAGCAATGTTTCCATGTACTCTCACACAGTTATCAAGCTCCAGCAATGTTTTGATGTAGATGTAGATTCTCACACGGTTATAAGGCTCGATTTTACATTGAAATGTTGCTATATGCTATAAACGTGAAGTTCTTTTCTATTAAGTTGTATGTTTTCCTATTTACTCACCAACTTCTTGAATGACAGTCAAACAGTTACCTTGAGCTTGTCTGGAGCTCTTCTCACTAACCCACCTGTTGTGAGGGGCAAATGACAATAGGCGTAGGGAGCCAAATGGTTAAGGTGGTTTGAGGCTTATCACACTGATGGGTTGTGATGTCTACATTGATCGTCTGTGAAGCTTATTTCTGTTGTCCCCCACCTTTATGTTGCTGAAGTAGTGAAATATTGCTGAAACTCACTCACTCACTATCACCTCAGAATAAACCCTGTGACTGGTCGGTGGGAGGAGTCGAAGCCTGACCCCATGGAGGGCATGTCTGAAGAGCAGAAGGAGCATGAAGCCATGAAGCTGGTGGATGCTATGGACAAGTTACACAGGTGAGTCTAACATGGACAGGGGGCCACTGGTTGCCCAGTTGTCTAAGGCGCCACGATTCGCTGTGCAGAGTTGCATCCCTTGGGCACGCCAAAAACCTCTGATTTGGGGTTCGAATCCCGAATTACGTTTCTAGGTTTGTCAGCACCATCCCTGTGCTCGTGGGTTTCACCAAAATTGTTAACGTCTGAGACCTGCATCACTTCAGGCTTTCCTCCCACATTAATCTGACACGCTGCGATATAACTGGAATACTGTTAAAAGCGGCGTTAAACCCAACTCACTCACTTACTAACATGGACAGAGGACAGAAGCTGCCTCAAGGTTCATGAAGCTGATGGGGAGTTTTTTGTCAGAATCTGGTGGACTCCCTGGGCACAAAGCATGTTCAGAGCTGATGGATAAAGCTGGGATATTGCTGAGGAGGCATAGAAGACCAAACAACCTTGTCCATTGTCCCTAGCTCAACAAGATCCCTCATGAGGATAATATTTTTGCAATTGTTGGAGTTCCGTGTAAAATGCAAACTTATGACTGAAAGTCTCATATACTGTCCAAAGCATCTTTACACTATGATCACTCCTCTTTCTTCTTGTTCAGGCAAGGGTTGATCCAGCCTAGTCGTATTGGCCCCGACGGCCGCCCCGAGCCTGTGTCCCACATTCTGGAGTTGGCTGAATCGGGAGGTGCCACAGCCGCCAAGGAAACAGACTCGGACTGATTCAGCCAGGAGATGTAGTTGTTTGTGACTGACCAGATCAGTGATTAACCAACCCCTTAGTTCATTAATTTGAAACATTTTTCCCAATGTTTAAGTGATAAATTATGACAAAAATATTTTCAAAATGGAAGTGATAATTTTTCCAATGACAAAATGTTACAGGTGTTTTGTTGTTGTTGCTGCAGCTTATAGGATAGATGCAGGAGTTATTATATTACTCCCCTGGTGATTGTTGCTCTTGAAAATAACCAAGTTATGTACCAAAGCCTTCGTAAGTCATATCAATTTATGAGAAGTGTCTGTGTGGGGATTGCAAACAAGTGCAGTTATTGATTTCTCAATTTTTGCACTGTTGTAATTGGCAATCTTTCGTATACAATTATTTCTACTTGTAAGGAAAATGCGATATTCTTGAAAGCAGTGTTGATATTTTATTGGAGGAACAATCAAAACAATTCTTTTATGCTTATATTTGTGTACCTTTTTCTTGTAGTTCTGTCTTGGATTGTCAGACAGGATGGATGTTTTTCGGCGCCATTTCCAAAAGTTATACTCCTCCCTTTAGCATTTACAGAGCACTTAGATTTAGAGAAAAGCAAACTTGTTAATGTTCCATTCACTGTTTCAAAAAATGAATTTGCAACTTTTTACATTTGATTGAATAACTGAATGTTATATGGGCAGAAATATGATTTTCTTTCAAGAAGAGGTTAAATTATTGTTTTAATCACAAAAATAGGAAAAAATTGATTGACACAATTACAATAATTGTCACAATTCTTTTCAATATATTTGTTTATCAAAACAAGTTTCCTTCAAAAGTTTATCCCCTGTAATTGTTTTCTAAAACCTTTGAAGAACACTCAGATTGTCATTACGCTTGTCATTCTGCAATAAAAGTAAACAACAATAGATGTGTCATGTTAGTAAACTGCATTTTGATCTTAGGCCATCTTTTTTTCACTGATTCAGTTATTACAAACCAAACTTAACCAACCTGATGTAGGAGAACAGTTGTGTTATGAAGCAAGTAAATTAATTGCACAAGAAATCTAAATGTACAAGAAAACATGTTTAGGCCAATTCTATCATGTCTATAGGGGACTATAAGGTAGTCCAGTGGCTAAAGCATTCACTCATCACGCTGAAGATCTGGGTTTGGTTCCCATAATGGGTAAAAGGTATGAAGTCCATTTCTGGTGTCCCCCCCTTCCCCCCCAAGTGCTAGAATGTTGGTTACCACACTCATTCAGTCATTCATTCTGTTATATATCATTATATATCACGAGAATTAACTCTACAAGAATTGTAAAGCTTCTGGACTAAAAATCATAAAGTATGTTTTGGTACATGTATTCACCTTCATGTTATAAGAATCATTTACATGATGAGAATTGAATTTCTTTATCCTATCTAGTTCAGGGTTTGAAATTAAGTTTGGTTTACACAAGTTCTATAAAATGGCCTATAAAGTTGCCATTAACCTAAAGGTAAAAGAGGTAGGCTGCAAGGAAATCATTTGTCCTTCCTGAATTTTCCTTGTCTCACGCTAGTAGACTTTTGTTAATTTCAAATCCCGTGTTATTACAAATTGTTTCATGACAAAGTAAGAATACTGTCTTACAGCTAGGCCTTTCAACTTGTATTACCAGTAGTTGTTTTTCATAACTGACCAATATGAAAACTGTAAGGCCCAGACTCTTTTCACAAGTAGGTATTGTCTCAGGAAGGAGGAAGCAAACTAAAGTCTAGCTCTTTGGATGGCGGGGGCGGTCGGGTAGCCTAGTGGTTAAAGCGTTCGCTCGTCACGCCGTAGACCCAGGTTCGATTCCCGACATGGGTACAATGTGTGAAGCCCATTTCTGGTGTCCCCCGCCGTGATATTGCTGGGATATTGCTAAAAGCGGCGTTAAACCATACTCACTCACTTACTCTTTGGATGGCGACAAAGCCACTATCATTTTCCAACTGATTTTTCCTAAAACGACTTTATAATAGACAATAGTGACCCTGATGTTGAACGTTTGCTCAATATTTGTGGGTGTATACGAAGTCGACAGGATCAGCTGAAAAAAGTGCCAGATCATCTACTACTAACACTGAACACATGTGGTAAGTTAATTATAAGAGGTTGAATGTTTTTCCTATTTTTTCCCCCACTACATTGAATCTTTAGACCCTAAATGTTTTAAACCAACTAATAAAAAGTAAAAAGATTTTGTAACAAATAGACACACTCTTAGTAATTAATGTCCAATTAGAATACTTAATTCCACCCAGGATTCTGACTCTTCAATATCCTCAATATCCCAGTCGTCTAAGGCGCCGCCCTGTCGCTGTGCAGAGTTGCCTCCCTTGGGCACTCTAGAAACCTATGATCGTGGGTTTGAATCCCAGTGCCAGAGACAGGTTGAAATGCATTGTTGCTGTCAATGTAACATCACAGCTACAGAAGAGTATAATGTTAGGAGAATGATACCCTGAGCAGAGGACACATCACTCCGCTTGAGTGACACGGACGTTGTATTAGGCCAGGATGGCAAGTATATGAGAACACAAACTAGTCACTTAGAAAACAAACACCAATTGTAATGAAATATCTTGGGAGCCTAGTCATAAAGTGACCTTGGCAGGACTTGCCTCGGAGAATTTGTGGATATGCTAAGATAATATTGTCCATGTTCCTTATGCGCCACGATTCGCTGTGCAGAGTTGCGTCCCTTTGGCACGCCAGAAACCTCACTCACACTCACTCCTTATGCCCAAGTCATATGCTACTCAAAAGTTAGTATTACAACAGGTAATAATATGTCATGACATTAGTATTACCTGCTATTCTTTCATATTACCATAGTTAATCTGTCATGGCATGACATATTAACTATAGTACTATGAAAGAATCAGGTCTGCGTAAACTTATTTTGATTATACAGTTTTAAGTATTCCACTTCATTTCAGTATATATTTTGGGAAGAGACAGATATTATTTCTTATGTTAATTTTTTGTCAATATGCCAATAGGCGGGAGGCAAAATCTTATTAGACAATGATGTCAGGGTTAATTGGAGGTAATGTTTTAAAGAAAACCTCTAAATGTAAACAAAAAGGTGTTTAGGAAGCTTATCTTCAAATGATGCATCATGTTGGCGTTGTATGTCTCTGAGGCCACTGTGACAAGCCCAGAATAGTTGCTAGATGTTCAGCTGAAGATTGTTAGAGCAGATTGTGTAATGTACAGATATATATTTCAGATACTTTACATGCTACAAAAGGCTATGTGCAATATATCATGTCGACATATATATGGGACCATTTATTCTCATCATTTGTTAAGCTTAGTATGATCAAATTCAGGCTTTTTGCTATTCTTGTGTTCATGTATTCCTGATAACTCAATAAGCTTGGAAACAACTTTAAATGAAATGTTTGCGAGCTATTAAGTTTGTTCGTATCTTTTCACCTCATGTTGTTACAATGTTTTGTATTTTGTTTGTTATTATTGCTGAATTAGCTCGTTCTCATTACGACATTTATAACATGCTTAACAGCATTGAATAACTAATAATGTACCAGTATTTCCACTTCGGACCTATGTTCATTCAGCATATAGAGGAAAAGATCTCAAGGAATAGTTCAGGTGAACTATCACTGCAGAGCTATTTTGCCTAACAATTTGTAATTGGCTTCTTTTTTTTTTAAATTCAAAACTTGCCAAATTATTACACACGTTGTTTCTGCATCCGAATGGAAATTTCTGAATTTTTATAAAACATGTAATCATTATGTCGTTGTACTTCTTTTTCAGCCATTTTGCATTCATAATATTTATACTTACCTAGGGCTGATGAACAAGTATTCATAGCCCTGATGCTGTATACCTATGATCAGTTTGTGCTGTAGGAGTTAGTGTTCTGTGCACAGCAATGTTCTGTTGTTCTGGCTACTGTGGTTGTAGTGGTGGTATATGTTGAGTGGTTAGAATAGATTATTTGACTTGTGGCTCTTCATAATAATCTTTTGACTGTTTCTGTCAAAGAATGGAGAAGCACTGAGAATTTGTTATTTTGCTAGCCGAGAGAACGTAGCCTTTCTGACTTGTACAGAACTTAGGGAGGTATAGGAGTGTAGAGGATGTCCGTCTTAGAGCAAGCTCATGGCAGATTTCTTGGCTTCCTGGGAAGTATAGAACTCAAAGATGCCTGTTAAGTGAAGACTTTGCATTTGACATGTTTATTGCTATAGCCAAGACAGGTTAGTACTAGATAATATTGAGTTTGGGGACATGGGATGGCCAAGTTCATTCAGACACTGAAGAAATCCACCAGACTCATTTGTCTCCCTTAGTCTTCCCAGGATCTGCTGATTGTGAGTTCAAATCTTAGATTTGTTCTGATTGTCGCCCTGTGCTTGTTTAAATTCCTGTGCTGAAGGCAAAAATTCGAACCTGTGAACTTCCCCCATCAACCTTCAGTGATTATCCTCACTCAAGAAAATACATCCGGGATCCGCCTTTGTTGTGTCGGTACTTTCATTTTGTTAAAGTTAAATCAATTCAAGGGAATTAATTCACTTTGGGGGAAAAAAGTCCAAGACAATATGAAAATGAATATGCCTATAGCACGATCTTGACAAAAAATGGTAGATGTGAATTAAGATGATTCTGTGCGTTAAGGCTACATTGTCTCTGCTAGTACATGCTGGTGCTCGTTGTGGAACGTCTGCCTCTCACTGAGCCAAACTGAGTGTCAGTAGCGACCATTTCCAGTGTTTGTCTCACAAGCAGCACTATATCACATGGATTATTGTCGGACAAAATAATCCATTCAGTTATAAGAATTATCAGCCATGAAATTTTTGAAAAACAAATTTGTTAAAACTAGCTCAATTATACACATTAGGAATGTATATCTCGGATGAAATATTTGAGATAATTTGATCATTTCCTACCTAGATTTTTGTCAAATATGTGTTTCCTTTTATCACGATTTGACTGTAATGTGATAATCACAGGCTAATGGCTGTGTGATATGAGAATCACAGGCTAATTGCTGTGTGATATGAGAATCACAGGCTATTGGCTGTGTGATATGAGAATCACAGGCTAATTGCTGTGTGATATGAGAATCACAGGCTAATGGCTGTGTGATATGATATGACAGGCTAATGGCTGTGTGATATGAGGATCACAGGCTAATGGCTGTGTGATATGATATGATAGGCAAATGGCTTTGTGATATGAGAATCACAGGCTAATGGCTGTGTGATATGAGAATCACAGGCTAACTGCTGTGTGATATGATATGATAGGCTAATGGCTGTGTGATATGACAGGCACAGGCTACTGGTATGTGCTATAAAGATTACAGAAAAATGGCTGTGTGATGAAGTTGTTGCTATTATGAGTACTGTATTGTAAATATTGGTATGATATATATTTTGACAAGTACCGTGATGCATCTCATCCAATGCTATTTAAAGTCGGCACACTTCACATTAACTAAGTCTAACTTTGCTTTATAAATCAGTCCGTGGAGATCTGCATCATTTTCTGAGAATGATATATACAGTGAAAGCCTGGAATTTAGAATTCCTGCTTTCTGAATAATAACTTTTCGGGGATGTATGTATGTAACATAAGCGATATTACACTGCACCCTTAATTTGTTAGTCTGGAGATGTATAAGTTTGGATGAATTCACCGCCTGGATGAAGCAGGTTCACTGTGGTTTGTTTTGGGAGGAGCATTGCTTGACGTAGCACGCTTAGTGCTGCAATTTGAGACTAGGGCCATGTTGCATGGGAACTATTGATCAGAGATTGCATTGCAGCACTGGTATCTTGAATATCATTGCTTTACATAGTCTAATTGAAAACAATATTTGTGAACTTCTGGACCTTGAACAAGGAGTTCATCAATATATTGTTTTCAGTGATTCACATTTTGTGAACTGTTTTGCCAAATATTTATTAGGAGTTGTCTCACCTTGAACATACTCTCAGCTGGAGAAGTTTTGCTAGTGTATATACTGCTCAACTTTTGATAGGGAATTGTATACTGTAGGAAACTTTGAGGACAACTTATGGAAGGTCATTTATGTGTTTATATTAAGTTTAATTTAGAATAAGATTGTTTCCGTTCGACAGCAATATCAAATGCGATTTGTATGACTACGTCTTGCAATCAGTCAGATTGTCCTCACCTGTTTGTTCAGAATACTTTAAGAATAGTTGAGTAGTGTATCATTTAGAAAACGACAGCATGAAAAGTGTACCTATTTTAAAAGCAGTGCATTATGTGACCTCTTATGTGGGGAAGTATGTTTGAAAAAAGCAGTTGTCAAGAATATGTCACATTTTTCAGAACAAAGATGCACAAATTTAATTTAAATAGCAATTATCATGAAATATCTCACAGAAAACAAAGTTTTCAAACAGATATCAGAATATCAATATTTAGTTTCATGGTTCACAGAAATATTCTGATTTGATGTAGTTCAGTACATGCTGTGAACGTTATTGACATTTCAAATGTACCCATGTATGCTATGTATTTAAATAAACTGATCATGTTAATGAACGTCGGATTTTTCTCAGCTTTAATCCAAACAACACTTTATTTCTTGCCATAAACTTTGTATATGTTTAATGTCACTTTGTATTCTCTTTTATCATATATTTATCATATATACCAATTTTGTATGCTACATTTTGAAAAAACAACTTTTAACTGTTAAAGTCTTTGTTATACAGTGTACATGTATTAATTTATGTAAGTTTCTTTACCAGATATTGTTTTGTGTATATACCTATAGATATGTTTTGTAAGTATGTTGTACGTTCAGGTTGTTTATTTTGTCAACAGGGTGATGAGGAAGAATGAGTGGATCACTGATGTTTACAATAAACAGAATTGTTAAACTATTTGGTAGAGTGAATGCCAAGCTGGAGATTGCAATGATAAGACAACTACTTCGTAGTATTCACTTCCTGGCAGTCTGAGTTCGTACAGGGGATTGTCGGAGCACCTGTAGAAATAGAAAAATATCATGAAAAGGAATTTGAAGAGAGCCTTGGAAATAAAATTTAGATATTTAAAAAAATATTAAAGCAACCATGTAGCCCCTGTAAAATTCTATTTGGAACTCTGGCCTTGAATAAACACTGATGAGTCCTTATTGTCACTCTGGCCCAGAATAAATACTGATGACAGTCCTTATCGCCACTTGTGTCAAGTATTACTAACAACTATCAATGCTCTTGTTTAGCATAGCTACTGATAACATAATCCTTATTGGCACTCTGGCCTAGAATTAAAAAAAACTGGGGCTACATGGCATCTGAAATAACAAATTGGAATGAGTTTGATCTCATCCATTCTGCCAATAATGATACTGCCAAAGTCAGTCATGTTTCATGGAAGGAGGATTTCACAGTTTTTGGCTTAAATATCAAATATGAGAATTTGAATATATTGTTCAAAATGTTTATATGAAGGTTCTTTGCTCATTACATAGTCTTCAAGTAATCAGTGGCGAGAATAACAGACAAAACCACCACCGTAACAAAGGATGTATTTTTTTGACAGCATGGGGACTGTCTCAGACACTGTATTTCGTAGTGAAGTAAAGAGTGATAATTAGAATTTCATATCTCTAGTTTTGATTCAAATGTAATTATTATTATTGTAACGATTGGGTACTTAAGGAGATGCAGTGTTTGACAGAGTCCCTGTTTTTGGATTTGATTTGAGAGGACAGACCAAAGGGTTATTTATATTTTTAACTGGATGACCAACCAGGAAATATAATCTGTTTGTAAATCATTGTTTTACTGTATTTGTGTTCTTATGGATTTATTAATTAGCTTTTATGAGTAGATAATAAACAAAGATAAAAACTTGGAACAGGTGCTTTCATTTTTAGCTTCCTGGCTCCAAAGGACCCAGGTGAGCTTATGCCATACCGTGGTGGCTTCCGTCTGTCCATTGTCCCTACGTCAACTATTTATTTAAACGACTTCTTCTGAACCACTAATTGGACATTAACGAAATTTGACTGGAAGCATACCTAGGTGGTGGGGCAAATGGTAGGGCTGACCCCCTAAGGGGCTGAGGGGCGGGGCTAAATAGGGGTAATTTGGCTATATTGCTTTGAACAACTTCTTCTCTGGAACTAAGAGATAGATATCAACCATATTTTGTTGGAAGCATTCTCCGGTGGAGAGGATTCAAAATTGTATAAATGATGGGGCTGACCCCTCAAGGGGCTGAGGGGCGGGGCCAAATAGGGGTAATTTGGCTATATTGCTCTAAACCACTTTTTCTCTGGAACTTAAGAGATGGACATCAACCATATTTGGTTGGAAGCATTCTCAGGTGGTGGGAATTCACAATTGTCAAAATGGAGGGGCTGACCCACGAGAATGTCATACAAACTCGAAGGGAAGTGTTTTATATAACTTATAAACCGAAAAAAGAAACTTAAAACAACATTCATCAACATTTTTATGTTTCAAACATACATTCCATGAACCTTAGGAAACGGACGTAAAATATCTGTTGCTGTCGTGCGGATCTTGAAAAGGACATTCTAAAAAGCAGTGCGGCTTATCAACCCCTCTGTAGCCTTCAGATACGAAGGTTGCGTCTTTGATCCTCGGTAATATGAAGAAAACACTGTCATTTGATTTTACATTTCATCATATGTTACAATCTGATCGGAAGTTGTATTTTACCCGGGATATTATAAGACATTATATAGCAAATATGCCTGGAATATCCCATAAAATCCCGGGGACATTACAATAACCCTGTTTATGAGATTTAACCCAACTGGAGAACAATAGGATGACGTCACTGGAGGTTTATATGGTCTCGCAATTCACAGGTGACTGGACAGAGTTCCGTCCGGAGAGATTCTCCCTTGAGAGATTTTTCTTGTTTTGCCAGCCCCATACACATGTCTTTCAAATTGGTATCCTCCCATAAACTGACATGAGGGTGGCAGGGTAGCCGGTTAAAGCGTCCGCTCGTCATGCCAAAGACTCCGGCCGGATTCCCCACATGGGTACAATGTGTGAAGCCCATTTCTGGTGTCCTCCACCGTGATATTGCTGGAATGTTACCGAAAATGGCGAAAAGACATACTCACTTCCACACGGTGATATAACTGAAATATTGTATAATGCGCATATAATTTTCCACAATGTGCTTAAATTTCCGTTTTCGGGTTCAGCCTCCACTCAATATGTGTAAATCGTCAAATATTGGGTATTGGTCGTCAAAGCATTGAAATGGTATTTTGCAACAATGAACCTTTTTTTCTCGCCCGCCCCGCCCGTCCCGCTCTGGGAAAACCTTGGAGATGAGAAGCACAAAAGTATAGACTCACTTACTGCTACAAACTGCATAGCTTCAGAGGCGACTAACAGGTTTGGGTGGTCAGGCTCGCTGACTTGTTTGATGCATGTCATCGATCCAAATTGCGTAGACCGATGCTCATGATATCAATCACTTGATTATCTGGTCCAGACTTGATTATCTACAGACCGGCGTCATATAGCTGGAATATCGCTGAGTGTGGCGTTAAACAACAAACCAACAACAACTAAGCATAGCTTTAGATCGGAAAATCATAAAATATACCATATCATCTGCACATTACAAATATTTTGTGACGTCAAAATTTGATTTAATGTGATATGGGTTCATGCCAAAATGTTTTGGGTAAATCGGTGTAAGTGTCTACCGATTACAGCAACGATACCAGGTCACCAACAGCATGCCGTCTTCCTGAAGCCTGGTTCTTCGCCTGTAAGTTAGACTAACATATAGTCTCTGAAATGAACATATCGTACAGAAAAAACAGTTGTTCAGTTATCTTAATAAAAATATAATAAAAAGGGAGCCCAGTGATTCTCTTCATTTTCAGATACTGCAGTAATCTAGACTTGCATGGGCTGTAGTTGATATATTTGTATCAGGGTCTGTAAGACAGACTACCTGCAAGTCTTTGCATGGCGCTAGTATCCATACAAGAATGGTGGATCCACGTATTGGTGTGCCGTTTATTAGAAAAAGGCACAAGGAAACGCAAGTGCATTTTGATTTTATGGAAAGCATTCGGAACTTTGTACAATGGTCGTTTGTTATGTTGCGTTTTGGCGACCCATTACCTTCAAAAATGCATTGATATTTAAATGGGAATCTTTAATGAAGTGACGTTTCTTTTGCGGTTCAGTAGTGTACTTTATTTTGTTTGTTTATTTGGTTTTTCATAACGCCGCACTCAGCAATGTTCCAGCTATATGACGGCGGTCTGTAAATAATCGAGTCTGGACCAGACAATCCAGTGATTGATATCATGAGCATCGATCCACGCAATTGGGATATGATGACATGGATCAACCAAATCAGCGAGCATGACCAGCCGATCTCGTTAGTCGCCTATTACGACAAGCATAGTCGCCTCTTACGACAAGCATGGTTTGCTGAAGACCATACACATTTTCTAACAGCCTCAACATTTCTAAAAATGGTATTGTACATAGACCGCCACTGGAGAAGAGCTTCACATCTAAACTTGTAATGAAACTCGTCACCAACCGCGGGAGAACTACATAAATTACACAAACGTTCCACTCTTGGGATATCAGATCACCGCCCAGTTTCAATTGGTAAGTTATGGTTTGTGGTTCTAAATTGTAAGATTGGTAGATAAACGTTCTTAGGCAGATAAAGGTATTTTTCAAAGGTTATATTTTTATACATTTTTATTTGTTACATTTTATAGTACACACATTTATAATTCTCAGTAATGGAACTGTACCAAATCTGCAGGAACTGGTCTTTCAATATGTTAAAGCTAGCCATGATGAAGAACACATTAACGGGTTGTCAAATATTTGACCAAGTCCACGGTTGTTTAGTACATTTTGATGTAGAGGGGTTCCCTGCCGAGCTCCCCATAAGTCATATAGTTTGGTGTTGCATTTCGAAGACCTGCTGCCAGTTTAAGAAAATTTAAGTGAACTACCGATTAGTTTAATGTTTTCAAATGCCCAGATTTCACAACAGTACATTAGGGGAAATCAAAGTGTCAAATGCGGATATTAAACATTCCAAAGGCAAATTAATATTACGTGCTTATTTTAGTGAGGAGAACATAGCTTTTGTTGCATTTTCTACTAGGGTTTTGATGGCTTCTACAAATCTCCCGTTTCTGGGAAACTTTATTCCAAGGTAAGTATAACTAACGACAATTTCTATACTTTGATTGCCAAAGGTGAATGAGTATTTCAGATTGCTGTTTCCACTAGGCTCCTTTTTATCAAAAAATATAAATGAAAAGTTTTACCATGAATTAAGAAATTACTCGATTCTGATTGGTCAATCATGGGTTATCAAATCACAATAAACTCCCTCTGATTGAAACAGCCGATTTGACGGCAGCATCACCGCTGTGGCACTTTTTATTGTTCTACATAATTTTATAACGATTATATCATTGTGAATAGTATCTTATCGTACATAATATAATAATGTCTCGTCATCCAAGATATGGCTGGATGTTAAACATCTTTTATCGTGCTATGAAATGTTTTAGCTATGTGTGTTTACCTTGACACTTTAATTAACTGTCTGTTTGTCTGTCCGTCCGTCTGCATAGAATAGTAGTTCTTTTTCAGTCATTTTCGTTAGGCATTTTGAAACAATTATATGTATAATTATAGGTTACAAAAAGTTATGGTTACTACAATACTCAAAGGGTGTGCAGCGCGTTCGGTTCCAAATTAAATATATCGCGGTTAAATTTACAGGTAAACTAGTTGTTCATGGAAAACACAGTATGTTTGTCACCTCACCCATTACTTACTTACTTACTTATATTGTCGCACACGGGCCCGGCCAGGCCATTTAATGTGTTTCCGAAAAGGGGAAAAGTGAGTTTGAGCAACCCAGGAGGGGGGTTTAAGGGGTTGCTTATATAGTAATTTTGAAATTTTGAGATTTGGAATGAATGCCAAGAGTGGGTGGAGGACGAACTAAGGGAGCTGTGTGTGTTGGGTGGTTGTTAGATAAGGTAGTTTTGGTTTTAATATTTTATTTGGGGTTTAAATGCGACTAATTAGTCCTGTTTTAATTAGGTATATGCCTAAGGCTTTGAATTTTTCTAATTTATTTTGTGGATTGATGATTGATTCTAGTGTAAGTGCGGTTTTAAGATTTAGGGTGGTCTGTAGTGTTGTTCGGTGTGTTTGGTAGTGTGTGCAGTGAATGAGTACGTGTTCTGGTGTTTCTTGTTGTTTGCAATGTGGGCAGTGTCCTGTTGTGTGTTGATTAGCTTTTTAACGGTGATTATTTAGTTTGATGTGGCCTGTTTGTAGTTTAGTGATTATTTACTCATTACTCTGTGTGGACTAATAAGGTATGGAGCCACCACTGTGAAAACAAGTTACACGTTTTACACCTGTACAGAGGCAACAGTTGGACATACACAATTAAAGTTTACAGGGGGCCGATTAAAATTAAGAACAAGGCAATGGATGCCGCTAATCACTGTAGCTATTTTACACACTCTTGGTTGCGTAACACTGGTCGACATGGGACCACAGGCATATAATAGATTAAAGTACTGCTCTATTATACAATAAAGAGCTACCTCATAATAGATTAGATGTGACACGAAGCCAGATAACAACGTACAATACAAACATGCGTCACTTTTGAAATTTCTAAACAACAAAAATATATCACGGTGATGTTGGCGATTTAACGAGCGCTTCTAGTGAATCTGATATGGCATGATGTTGCGTGAGATTCACAGATGGAATTCGGATGGTCGCTGAAATAAAATTTTATACAGGTTTGTTTGTTTGTTGTTTTAATGCCACACTCAGCAATGTTCCTGCTATATGACGGCGTTCTGTAAATATTCGAGTCTGGACCAGACAATCCAGTGATTGAAATCATGAGCATCGATCTACGCAGTTGAGATACGATCACATGCACAAACCACCCGATCCCCTTAGTCACCTCTCACAAGCATGGGTTGCTGAAGACCAATTCTAACCCGGATCTTCACGGGTAAAAACAAAGATAGTTAACAAATATAGTCATAGAACCGAAAATCAAGTTTTAAATATTTTTTATATACAAGACAGATGAAATATGATTTCGAAATATATAATTACATGTCCGTGCTATTTATTACTTGACACGAGATAACCGACAAGCAGCTATTCCTGACACATCAACCCAAACCGACACACAAACATCACAACAGTTCCCTCTGTTAATCTGTTGTCACCATGGGTCATGTCAGCCAACACAATGTGGACCCAACGATAAGCGGCCATCACAACGGTTATCTCCCAAAACCCCTACATCCCATTTCCCCTACAACCCAGTTCCCCTACAATTAGTTAAAACAACACGCGGCATTTACCTGTCTGGTATTATGAACTCACCTTAAGGTCTGGAGTAGAGGTAGATTCTATACATGGGTGGAACGTTCACTGCCTGCCCTGGACTGTGGAATCAAGTGTACATCATCCATGTAAGACTCGGAGCCACGACCCATCCCCTCATCTTCGCCTTACTCCCCGACTTTCAGACAGACACCTACTCAAGACTCTTAAAAAATAAAGCTTCAGGCTACTCAAGGATGAAGTTCAACAGAGACTAAACAGACCACTTGCCCCGTCATGCATCAAGACAGACTTTGAGCCTTTATCCTCAGGCTGGGATAAAGAGTGAATTGAACATTTGAGATGAAATTTATTTTAATGTATTATGAATTTTGAAAAATGAACATTTTGTTATAATGTATTATGAATTTTGAAAAATGAACATTTTATAATAATGTATTATGAATTTTGAATAATATCGTAATCGTAATTAAATATTTATCTCAATCTAGACTCTATTCGTGTTTCTTGGGTTGTTCCATTGTATGAAATAGGTAACAGACTAGGGATTAGCAGTGCCATGGACCGTGAAGTTTGTTGTCTTAAGCTGTAGGGGAAATGGGATGTAGGGGTTTTGGGAGGTTACCATCACAACATAGCGATGTAATTACAACAATCACACATTGGAACGGCGGTTAGTGCAAAGATTAAGACCTCTCGAACCTCCATTGTAACACCGAACCAATCCTAGAACAATGAAGCACCATGGCATTCATCCTCAAAGGTTGAAGATATTTAAATCGCACGCCAAGTTCGCCAGTTACCCATGTGCAAGATCCGCTATAGTGTAATTAATACACGCGGAAAGCGCTAAATATCCGACGACATACGTACATCGCCATATATTGGGCCCATGGACTACCGATCAACGAGCTACCGTGTGACACTCTCATCTGGAGATAACGACCCCGCGTAGTATCTGGAGTAGGGGCAAATAAGGCTTTATTCAACATGGCTGGTAAGATCTTAAAGTTGGTCATTCTTTGTGAAATGTGTATATTTATGTATATTTTCATAGATGGATGTGTACATATGTTATACACTGGCTGCATTCTGTATCTGGAATCACGCTGACAATCATCGACCACGTGGACGGAGCTGCCGAGACTATATCAGTAGCCATATCGTGAGGAAATAAAGATTATTCTTCCATGCGGCGTATATGCGAGTATATTGGTATTGGTCTTTGAGCAAGTACATTTAGTTCATATAATTGGCCGTTGGTACTGTCCACGTCCGTTTTCGCCTGAAGACATTGTAAGAGACATGCACATATTTTACTGACGCTTCACTGACTAATTCATTTCCTAAACCTTGCTAGTCTATGACATTATATCAGTTAGGATAGTACCCGGTGCTTGGTATGCCATAATGCTACCCGTTATGAAACTACCGGCTTTGGCCATGCCATAATGCTTCCCGTTATGAAACTACCCGGTTTGGCCATGCCATAATGCTACCCGTTATGAAACTACCCGGTTTGGCCATGCCATAATGCTACCCGTTATGAAACTACCCGGTTTGGCCATGCCATAATGCTACCCGTTATGAAACTACCCGGTTTGGCCATGCCATAATGCTACCCGTTATGAAACTACCCGGTTAAGCCATGCCATAATGCTACCCGTTATGAAACTACCCGGTTTGGCCATGCCATAATTCTACCCGTTATGAAATTACCCGGTTTGGCCATGCCATAATGCTACCCGTTATGAAACTACCCGGTTTGGCCATGCCATAATGCTACCCGTTATGAAATTACCCGGTTTGGCCATGCCATAATGCTACCCGTTATGAAACTACCCGGTTTGGCCATGCCATAATGCTACCCGTTATAAAACTACCGAGTTGGGCCATGCCATAATGCTACCCTTTATGAAACTACCCGGTTTGGCCATGCCATAATGCTACCCGTTATGAAACTACCCGGTTTGGCCATGCCATAATGCTACCCGTTATGAAACTACCGGGTTTAGCCATGCCGTGATGCTACACGTAGTTCTACCCAGAGTAATGTCGTGCTGCTGTGACGGAAAGGCAACGTAACGGGAAGTATCCTAACGCCATCATTAGAGCAAGGGTAGATAAGTTTACTGATAGATAACAGGTAACATTACGCGGCAACATCATACACATTCACACACAATATAAATGGCCCCTTTTATGAAATATGTTGTGTACCAGGGCACGGCACGGACCAATACCGGAAGCTCTTGGATCGGAGCGATGACGAGTTGGAGCTGAACACCGCTGATCGCACCATGGACCTTCCATACCCGTCACCAGCAGTGGAGATGCACGACTTGAACAAGGGGCCTAACCGCAGACCTCGTTTCCAGACCATCGATCCACGGACGCGGTACGGGTCAAACCCATGCTGCACCCCTGCCATCTGTGGCCTGGTGGTGGCGTTCCTTCTCCTGGGGGTCGGGGGTGGGTACCTCGCCGGTATCTTCACCCGGGTTTCTCTAAAGGCTGGGGTGAAACCACGAATACAACCTTCAGGGACATGGCGGACCAAGTTCACAGACTATGGTAAGATATCTTTTTATGGCTTGGTTTAATTATTTAAAAAAAAATTGGGTCCATAATTTGTTTGTTTGTTGTTATACTCAGCAATATTACACCTGTATGACGGCGGTCTGTAAATGATCGAGTCTGAGCCTGACAATCCAGTGATTGACATCATGAGCATCATGCAAGCCTATCCACCCGATCCCGTTTGTCTCCTCTTACGACAAGCATGGGTTGCTGAAGAACAAATCTAACCCGAATCTTCACTGGGGGATCTTATATATGAATAATGATGATTTTTTAAGTGATCACGGCGAATAATGAAAGAATGTGAGCCGCTGTTATTTTTGTTTTAATCAGAGTATTTTTATTTCGCTCAAATGTTTCTTGGTCAATGTACTGTTTTACAGTCTTACTTTCACACAATACAATTCATTTAATGGTGTATGCTATTTTGTTTAAGATTTGACAATCAAGAGGTAAATATGTCTTCTGAAAAAACACCAATTTTCTTGATTTCCTATCCACGCCGATGCTCATACGTATGACGCACTAGATGACATTCCTCACACAACAGAATCAAATATTTCTGTCAGCTGATCTTTTACACACATCATTTTCAACAATTCACCTCAAGACAAGTAGTCATAGCGCGACCTATTTGGGTGAGTGAGTGAGATGGGTTTAACGCCGCTTTTAACAGTATTACAGTTATATCGCGGCGTGTCAGCTAAATGTTGGAGGAAAGCCCGAAGTGATGCAGGTCTCAGACGTTAACAACTTCGGTGAAATCCACGAGCATGGGTATGGTGCTGACAAACCTAGAAACATAATCGGGGCGAACAGGGATTTGACCTGAAGAGGGGGATACTCCGCTTTGGAGACACTGTTAGAAACATGCACATATTTTACTGACGCTTCACTGACTAATTCATTTCCTAAACCTTGCTAGTCTATGACATTATATCAGTTAGGATAGTACCCGGTGCTTGGTATGCCATAATGCTACCCGTTATGAAACTACCGGGTTTGGCCATGCCATAATGCTACCCGTTATGAAACTACCTGGTTTGGCCATGCCATAATGCTACCCGTTATGAAACTACCGGGTTTGGCCATGCCATAATGCTACCCGTTATGAAACTACCCGGTTTGGCCATGCCATAATGCTACCCGTTATGAAACTACCCGGTTTGGCCATGCCATAAAGCTACCCGTTATGGAACTACCCGGTTTGGCCATGCCATAATGCTACCCGTTATGAAACTACCGGATTTAGACATACATGTAATGCTCCGTTATGAGTGAGTGAGTGAGTTGTGTTTAACGCCGCTTTTAACAGTATTCCAGTTATATCACGGCATGCCAGCTTAATGTGGGAGGAAAGCTCCAAGTGATGCAGGTCTCAGACGTTTACCACTTCGGAGACATTTTGTAGACACGACACACAACAAAATTAAACGTTTTCTAGAGGAAAGAAAACGACGTTTCCAATGAACAAATAATCAACATTCCATTAGCTTCTAACCTGGTTGTATGGTTACCTCCCTTGTCAGGCACGGAGTCCTGCATCCGTCTAGCAGACGCAGACGGCGACGGGTATGATGACGTCATCATTGGACTCGCATTCGGAAAGGACGTAACCTTCATGTTGACCGAAAACACTATGGACCAGTTCTGCAAGGACCAAGGTAGGACCTGATTGTCATTTATGCAGGTGGCGTTACTGCGTATTCAGCAACGTTTCGGCAACACCACGTCACATGTCTGTATGTGATGGGGTTGGGAGCAGGCACATCAGGCCACGCATGGTAAACGTGTCGACCTACGCGGGAACGAGGGTAGCCATTCCTCTCTTAGAAGAAAGTCATTCTTCACTACTCGCGCCTTTCCGAAACCTGCAAGAAGACTCGTTCCCCCTATCGACGAATGTTATGTGCGAAAATCATTCGTGACCAACTCGTGTTATTCCGGGACATCCGAATAGTAGGTTACGGAAAGGGGCGAGTGGTGACGAATGGTGCGAAAATACGACAAACCAATCAGAATGCGCGTATGGCATCAGGTACTTCGATCAAAGAATCTCTCAGGAATAATTTTTGATTTTACAAATGTCTTCAGTCATACTGTATAAATACCGTAAGTCGAGAGGTGTTTTTGATAACATCTGGAATATATATGAAATGGGGGAAATATACTTGACTCATAACGCAACGCACGTTCTTTTAATTGTGCCCATTTGCGCTTAGACGGAACCCAGTCGCAAAAATGGCCACCAGAGGGTCATGAGTCGCAATTCGGCTTGTCCCGGAATAACACGAGTTGGTCACGAATGTAAGAAAGTAGGCCAAGTGGTTGAAGGTGCACCCCCTACCACCCAGAGTTATATCCCTTAGTTGCCAGGCCCAGTAGCTGTTCACCGTACAAAGGTATATGTCTTAGTTGCCAGGAAGCGCTGCTCGTGGGTTCGAGGCTAAGAATATGATCATTTATGATCCTTGGCTCTGTTGAGTTCTGGAACAAAAGGTGTAAAATACGCTATGCAGAGTTATGTCCCTTAGCTGTCAGGATCCGCTGGTCTTGCGTTCGAATCTCAGATTGTGACAGAGTATAAACCAGTGGGTGGGAGACACGACTCGGTGTGTAGAATTAAATTCCTTAGCCGCCGGATGTGGGTTCACCCGATTATGATCATTGGTCTGTGAAGACAGGACTGGTGTTT